CGGTAAGTAATGTATCACTGGTGTAGAGAAAGAAAAACAAACAAGCAGCATGTTCTAGGAAACCCCTTTGCTAAAAGTTTTTCCCATTAAGACCCACCATCTCTAATAGCAAAGAGCTAGGAACCTCTTGGCAAAGAATCCCTTTTCTTGCAATGAGAGTATATCCCTAGCAGACTCCTGCCTGATCACAAGGATGTGCCATCCTTTGGTTTTTCACTAAGCTCTTTCTCTCTGATGCTCAGTCTAGATCTCAAGGAAAACTGGCACAATTCAGTAAGTCAAAAGCTTTCCACAAACCCCAATTCTGTGTGAGCTGCTGTAGGGTCAGGCCAGCTCACTGGAGCCTGGGTGCTGAAGTATTCGTGAAAAAGATCCAGACAAATCAGGCAAAGGCTACTTATCCCTATTTTAAACACATCATGGCCTCTGATATGAGACACTTTAGAGGAAACATGTCTACTAACTTGTTTTGAGTATAGCATGCCTGCATGTGGCATCATGTGCATGCTCCATGCTGATAAACCTGCTAGCTATCTGGCTGCCGGGTTATTCTTCACATTGCCTAGTGCTGTTCCCATTCATTATCCACCTTGATCCATCTCCTGCCTGACAGAGACGGGTCTCACTGCAGTCTGGGTTCAGTGCTAGGCATTTGCCATCCTTCTGACAGACATCTAGCTAGCACCTCTTCACAGTGCTGCTTTAAAGCGTACAGAAGATGTCTCTCAACTCAGCAGTAACTCAGACAAGTTTGCACCATGCTTTCTTGAATAGTACAGCCATGCCTCAACTTGCCTCCTTCCCACACACAGGATTTTCCTGGGGACCTATGTGCAATGGCAGTATACTCTATAAGCTGCAAGGATTCTTCTATTGCAGCAAGCTGTCCTTAGCAGAGCAACAGCTCACCTCCCTCTTCTTTGTGAGCTGGGAGTAATTCAATTGAAGATGATGTGGCTTCACACTTGAGTGCACAGAGGGTAAAACATTCTTTTCGCTGTCTGACAGCCAGATTAAGCTCACAATGAGACAAAGTCCAAGGCCATGTTCATGGGAGAGGCCAATTTAGACAGGGTAGCTGTGTCCCGAAGGCAGAGTGACTTTCATGTCTGCTGAAACTACTTTCTAGGTCTGCCTGCCAGATTACCCACAATGTGATAGAAACCAGGTGGTCAGCGTTTTTCTCTTTAAACACCTACAGAACTCATTCAGCCCCACTTTGAGTGGTCACACCACCCAGTGCCCATGCTCTCAATGCACAGTAACATGTCACTGCTTTCTAAGAGACCTTCTGAGTGCCATATAGTTCAATACATTATGTAAAAATAACTCAGTGACTGGACTGGTATTGCCTGCACCTACACAGAGGAGCTCACAACTGTCATTCCCCTTGTATCTGTCCTCTCCAAATACCAGACTGTTCCTAAGAAAGGGCTGCACAAACCCTGCACTTCCCGGATTGCCAGCCAGGAGCAAGTCACAGATATTTATGTCAAATAATGATGCAACTTCAAGCAGAAGTAGTAAAAAAACCCACAGAAATTAAGACATCTTTTCCTGGTGTCTCACTCATCCTCATGCGCTCCACAGGTACTCTCAGAAGAACCTCTGTGGTCAGAACTTACCCTGAGGCAGTGCAAGGGAGAGGAGGCTGCTGCTCCCTGCTCCAGCATCTGGCCATTAACCAAACCAAGCAGAAAGAGTTTGATAATAAACAGGAGGTAGGTATGTGCACCAAGGTGCCAGGTTTATGGTGGGTTTTCTGAGGGCTTTAAAATACACTGTGAAATTGATTCATCATCAGGACAAGAGCCTTTCCTTGTTGGGTCTGTCAGTCTCAGTTTTTCATCTGAGTTATCTGATTCACAACGGCTCTGTTCCCCCTGTTCTACTTAAGACAAATAAAGCTTAAAAACCATCCCATAATTTTCCCAGGTTTTCAGTGGAACTGCAAAATGCACAGAGGGGCTCTCTGCAGAGCCATTTACTCATGCCTTCCCTGTTAGCTTGTATGTGCCTACAAAAACAAAAGAGTAAATATATATACACATGTATCTACAATGCTTACACGGACCCAAACAATTTACAGTCCTGGAACACCTTTACTCTTCTGGAAATTTCTGGACTCAGTATTACTTCACACCATCTGTCTGAACTAAATGTCTACAAAATTCAGGTGGTAGAGTGTTTTCACACTCTGTGTGGCTCTCTTGCCACATATAAAATCCTGTGTACCTGTGCTGCTGCAATCCTATATGCAGATATGCAAGGAAAGGCTTGAACATACACCAGGGCTTGCCTGATTTGCATGATTAGGTGCATTTCTAACAATGCAGTGCAGAGTTATGGAAGCTGAGCTTTCTAAGTAACTGAAGATAAGGTGTTGCTGAGGGATGGCCTTCATGACCAATGCAAATGGAAACCCACAAAGCTTCCAGCTCATTCCTGGCAAAAGGCACTTTTTACATGTTAAGAAATTCCAGTAATGAGAAAATACATTAAAAGATAATGGTGAATGTCATTGGCTATGCCCAAGAATGCAAGCAAGCCACAGGAACTTGTAATCTGTGCAAAAACTTGTGCTTGTAACCTAGAGGAAACGGAGCAAATTCAGAGCTCTCTTCCTTTGACATGAGGTGTGCACACAGAAGGTAGGGATGGCTTCTCCTTCCCCAAATGCAGGGGATGCAGGTACTTACAGGAAGAGGGAGTCATGTTTGGAGGCTGTGGTCCAGCTCCCACTCTCCCAGGCTGGCTGCACAGCTCCTTGCTCCCCATTCCTTCCATGGAAGTGACACAGAACATCGCAAGCACAGGAAATGGTGGAGGTAGTGAAATCCTTGGGAGTCACCAGTTAGGACAGCCTGTCAGTGGCAGTGCATGGGGCCACCCCCAGCATAAATGACAGTTATTCCCCTGGGGAACCATACCGGAAGGTTTGCCTCATGTCAGTGTTAGCCTCTATGTAACAGCCTCAAAATGCAGCTGCAGAAAATGACTGTGTGCATCTAATGACACACCTGCATGTCCAGATCGCTTACTAGGATTGCTAATAAGCACTAAAATGAGTTATGCACTGTCCTGGCTCATAAACATGCATGTGATGTATGGCTGCTGGGCAAGGGAAATAGGAAGTCCTATACAGACAGCTGTAATAAGTGCACAAGACAAAAAAATAATTATGGGAGAAGATAAATGCATTTTGAAATTGCACTAATCACTTTGGAGAACGCCCTTTGCTGTGGGAAGATTTCCCTGATCACATTCTGAGACAGAGTTCACAGTCAGCTCACTTTGCACAGTTTGTGCCCTGCGACACTTCAGATTTAGCGCTCCTCTTGCACAATACCTGCTGTGTAGCACAAGTCAAACCACAACACAGTGCAATCTGAATGCTGTGTCACTATTTTTATACCATTCCCGTTGTGACCAATGAATTAATGCTTGATTAAGTTAGATGAGGTGGCGTGCACTTAGTAATGCTCATGTCATGCACTGTCACGTCATGCATTGTCAGAACACATCAACATAGCCTTCATGCTAATTGCCAGCTTGCCTGCAAAGACAGCCCACGCAGAAGGAATTTACAGACACGGGCTCGCTTCCACAAGCAACAGCTATTTTTGTAACAGTTCATATAATTCATTAATAGCTAGCACACTCATCTTTCTGACCAATTTCTCATTACTGGGATCACATAAGGGACTCCCTTTTATCTCCTACATGGAGACACAGAAGAACTGGCCAGATAACTTGATATTAAGTGTTCAAGGCCAAGCTGGATAGCATCTGGAGCAACCTGCTCTAGTGGAAGGTGTCCCTGCCTGTGGCAGGGGTTTGGAACTGAATGAGCTTTAAGGTCCCTTCCAACACAAAACATTCTGTGATTCTATGAACTCTGCCTTTTTAATTTTAAATCAATATATGCCAAATACTGTAGCTACAGAAGAAACTACTTGGATAATTAAACTCACAATAAAATTTAACAGTGTAACACAATACTAATGCTAGCAGAATGCATTTAAATGCACATGTAATGCATTTAAAGGCATTTCTCTATGACTGCATTCAGCGACAAACCACTGGAAGCACAGGACAAGCTACATGCTACTAAACTTCCATGCTTACACACATGGACATTAACGCAAGCCATGCAGAACAATACCTTCAGCTTTGACAAGTGTCCCAGTTCCTTAGCAGCACTGAAAATCAACTGTGTGCCCTATGATTGCAAGAAGTTAGAAAAGAAAGGAGGGTGAAAAAAAGATCATAAACAAGCTTTGCATATTATTCTTTTGAGCAAATCAAGTCGGTTCATAGCTAGAACTTCATATAACCACCCCAAGGCCAGTCACAACTCAACTGCTTGCCAGTTTATTACCTAATACAAAACCTGGAATTTCTGTGGATACCACATCAAGCGCTATTTTGGTGCACAGCATCATGCTAACTGGTTCACTCTTGCTTACAGCAGCCACGCATATAAGCACTATGTGCCTTCAAATGGAAGGCGCAGTCTAGGGGTGAAGTCAGTGTGCTGGCTTCGTTTCCAAGTGCTTCTTTAAATTTCAAGTCTACACAAGCATGCTTAAGCACAAAAACACACAACTGATAACATCTCTATAGAAGTAGAGCCCAACCACTGGGGTGGGAGTAAGCACACATGAGGTCAGAAACAAAACTGGGTGGCAAACAAAGTCCAGTGAAGAATACTACAGCACTGCCTTTACATGTCAAAAGCTTGGCCAATGGCTCTTCATCCCCCACTGTGGCTTACTGGTGCTGTATGACCAATGAAGAAACAAAAAGAAGAGATAAACCCCAATGATCTTGCTTCAAGTCACTCACACTCCAGCACAACAGATTTTTACACTACTGCCTATTACTGTATTTGGTATAAAACACCAACCTACTGTAACTGTGGCTATAAATTCTGCATCTATCATATCATGAAACTTTGCTCTCCACTTCATCCTTCTCAGGCTGGTGAGACGCTACACTTATTGAGAAAAAGTTGCTTATTCCTGGAAAATATATCACAGAGCTCTGCAGACAGCTCTTATTCCAGGTGCACCTCTAGGGATTGAATCTGGGAACTAAATCTGGGCTTGGTTTTAGGACCAAGACAAAGCTACTGGTGACCCCTTCCCCAGTTAAATCTCCCCTCTTTCTCCATCTTTCTCAGGAAACCCTTCAGTATGTCGGGAGTACTGAGCTCTCAAAAACGATCTTTGGCTCTCCCCACTGTAATTGGTCATTAGGGGCTAGCATTAAAGTACATGTCAATGTCACCACAAGTGTCAGTTGAGAAGTGCCTGCGGGATGTCTCAGGTAAATACCTGAAATAACCTTCCAGATACAGACACTGCTGGTGGCACTTTCCAGTAGGGTCTTTTTGCTCAGGAAAACACTTGGGAGAAGATGAATCTCATCTTATTTGGGTACTGCTGACTCCATGAGGACTGAGGACCACATTTCCCCACAGGATTCCAGCAAGAACAGCTTTCCTTTCCACAGCCTTCCTTCCCTCTCCTTTACCATCCCTTCTCATCTCAACAGCTTTTCACCATCCCACTTAACCACAACTGCCATAACTACTCCCAACACCAAAATTCCTCAAACTGTAATGAAGAAAGATGTAAACTCAGAATTAATATATTGTTCTTTGCCCCTGCCTATGTCACTTAGCTTGGGGTTTTTCTTTGCTGTCTTCCTCAGTGTTTGTTTAATTGCCACCTTTAAAGTCAGTATTCTGTGGAGCAGGAACTACCCATACATGCATTTGTAGAGGAGAGGGAACTGGGTTCAAGTGCGAACATCATTGCTGAAATGATTCTTTTTATTCCCCTATGATTAAAGTTAACATCAGCCATATTGATGGGTTCCCCTCAGCAAAAACTGTCTTTATACCTGCACCTAAAGGTAGCAGGCACCCTTTTACAGAAGGAAAGCAGGCAAACAGTTCACAGATGTAACACTGCAAAGACTGAGACCAACTGTAGGGACACCGGACACCCTCTGCCCATTACCACAGCAATCCAGAAGTGAATTTTTAGATGAGATACTTTTTCTTTAGTTTTTTCAGCTTCAGAAATTTCTTCAAATTAAAAGACTCCGTGACCTGAAATCACAGACAAGCTCTTGATCTGCTCAATCTGTAACCATCATCTAACCCTCACTGTTCCTCAGCCTTTTACGTTTGTTGAATACAAATCTATACAGAACAAACATTATTGACTTTGTACCTAAATAGAAACTCTTGATAATTGATTAAATTCAGAATTCAGGGGGGATGACATGGATGATAGAGAGAGAAGTGCAAGCAAGGACAATGCACCCATAAGGAAAGCTTCTGAAATAAGAGTGGCAGCTTCACTTGCCGCCAGTACCCAATAGGTAGCACTGAAGAGTACAACACTCTAAACTGAAGGAGTACAAAATTCTCTGTATTTCCAGCAAGAGAGGTTTAAGATGACTGCTTAACAGGATGAACACAGAGATTTCACTGTGGGATACACCAAATACGGTGCCTGCTGTTCTGTATGACTGGTCACAAAGTTTGACTTATGGGGTCTTGAAATGCAGGTTTTCATGCCTGTTGACCAAGCAGAAGACCAAAAAAAAAACCCCAACAAACAAACAAGAAAAAACCAAAACCACCAAACGTTTTTAATAACCTGAATTTTGAAAAAGTGAGTAGTCTCAAAACACACTATCAATTAACTTACCTTATACAGAATTTTCATGGTTCATTGGACACCTTTTTTTAATATACTTTTGAACAACATTTTAATATGCTTTTGAACAACATAACCAGCCTAGGCACGTAAGGAGGGCAGGTGGGTAACACTGAGCAATACCCAGTGACTTGATACACTTCGAGTAACAAAGCTGCTCGTAACTACTAATCAATCCTTGCCCACTAAGAAAATCCTTATCAATCACTGTCAATCTCTGTCAATGTGTTTGCAAGGAGAAATTCTTTTATACTGAGTTTGTCATCAGTGCTGGTAACATCTAATGAAAATCTGGACAGCTTCTTCCTCTGCCAAATGGCATTTTTGTAAACAAGATTCTATACCTCCTCAAAAAAAATGGTTTATTCATGGAAAACATATCACAAAGCTCTACAGACAACATTTATTCCAGGTGCACCCCTAGGGAATGAAAAACAACTAAACTTAAATACCAGTTAGTTTTGAGAAAAGCTGCCTGCAACAGAATTGATTCAAGTCTCAAGGGTAGGATATAAGGAAAATGAAGTCCTTATAAATTGCTTCTGCCTCGCTCTGTGGCAAACATAGCTGAAAAGGGGACAGGCATCAGTGCTGCTTTTCCTGGTTCTTCCCATAAAATTACTTTTACCTTCCTAATCTTTTTGGAAACATGAAAAACACCTGTACTCCATAATACAAAGATAACAAATTCCTTGCTAATAGTCTGCTTCCCCCCAGCCCCAATCAGGGAAAGCATTTAAAGGAGGATTATCAACTGACTAATTGCTAAAACCCAGCAGAACTACACTGGTTTATATTCCAAGAGGCTCAAACTCTCACAGCTTAACTGTCCTATTGCTCAACAGGAAAACTCAGGAAACGAGCCTGCTTGCAAGTCTTTTGAAATCCAATCCTTTTTGGAAAACATATTATTACTCAGGCTGAGTACATACTGAGACATACCAATCCAACCTAGTTTCATCTGGTACATTCCTTTCCCAGATTTTTTTAATTCCTATATTCAACAACGAAATGTGTTCACTCATTAGCAGCATTTAAGTTCATTTAAAAAACTTTATAATCAGGCAATGTTCACTACCACCCATTAAGAATTAAGACTATTTTTAGCTGTTGGCAACTCTGTATTAAACTCTGAGGAAACAGGCTTAAAAGTGGGGATGAAAAAGGGAAAATAATTACCTGTCAGTAAAGAGACCTGGGCACATGTGCAGTTCACAGACCATCATTTCATTTAATGATAAGAAAGCTTTTTCTCCTCATCACAAAGACAGTCTTAGACTTTCCAGTTCCTAGCTAGCACAAGGGGAGGCTTCATTTAAACTAATTCAAGTTAAGAAAGGTTTCAGAAAACCTCTTAAAGCCACCCTCTCCAGCAGCACAGAAGAGGTCTGGAGTGGAGCTGCTTGCAGATGAGCTTGAAGAACAGACAATTTGGAATTCATGTGTGAAATCTGTCTACAGCTTTAAGAAAATTTTCTTATCCTGGACCACGTTCTCATTTAGTGAAGGGCAGTCTGACAAGCAGAAAAAAGCACAGCAGGAACAAGCACAAATGGAGCCTCACGTGAATGGCTCCAGTGTACTATGTGAGATATATGAAGGAGAGGCTCCAGAGGAATCATCTCTGTTTAAATTTAGCAACCCTTCACTGACCAGACTGGTTACTGATGGCATACTACAGTTTTGTCCTAAGCAGCAAAGGTGAAAGACATGCATAACTAATCTATTAATATCCTAGTGCTGTGCATAGAACCCCAAAATAAAGATTCCCAGACAGCTGTGTTTGCATATCCACTCACCCAGGACAGAGAGTGTTGAATTAAATGTTGATCTTTACTTAAAACTAGCTGTGAGCTGCTCAGTGAGTTACTGGAGATCATGTTGCTCCTAATCTCACAACCCACAGCAGTCAATGCTCAGAGAGGAGAAGCCTCATCCAAAAGTCATTAAGGGAACCTGCAGCTCAGGTAGTCAGGGTGGGAGGCTGTCAAAGTGCTCCATCCCCATGGGGATTGGGCAGTACCTTACTGCTCTCCCACCTTACATAAAATCTTCCAGAAGCAGCAAACAGAAGAGCAGAGCTCAGATTTTCTTCCCTGTGTGATACAGGGAAGAAAATTTAGCTGGAATAGATAGGTCTGGAGAGTAAAAGGAATTACAGCACTGTGCAGTGACAGCAATGCAAGCAACAGGTGAGACACACTGCAGTGTCAGGAGCCCTCTACCCAAGTATGCTTTCCACAACCACCATCAAAAATGCTTTTGCACCTCTATCAGTTCTACAGAAAGTAGAGCAAATATTCCATAAAAGGGAATGTCTCCTACTACAAATATCCCCTACTACTTAAGGCCTGCAGAGGAGTTTTAGGAGGAAAATTGCCATTCAGTGTCCTTCAACCATGGAGAGGCAACACTAAGGTTTCTATTGCTGAGGGCTGAGAGTAAGAGAGTTACAGTGCCTGGGGCTCTTTCTGAGTCTGATGTGCTCAGAACACTGCCAACCCTGGGTTGTGCATTGTCTTGCCCTAACACTCTTCACTGCTAAGGATGACGAAAATCTGGAGGTGACAGGATAAATCACTACATTTCAGGGGACAGCAGAAGTAGCTCTCTGCTCTTGCAGTCAGTCCATCAAGCGCCTCGCCACAGGTAGCCTGTTCAAGGACCGCAGACAAGGCCAGTTTAATCATTGCATTGTTCAGAAACACCTTTCTGAAATGGCAACTCTTCTCCAGTCTGGACTTGCTCAACCTTCTCACTAAGACACAATTGATTAGACAGCTGAAATTCCAGCTATGAGTATTCTTCATTATTTCAGACAGCTGAGGATGCACTTCATTACACAAAAATTGCTTCTCATTTTGAAACTGAAGTGATGGGAACAAAGACACTTTGTTAAAGAAAAAACCCCATAAAAATCGAAGTGGCTTATAGCAACGTCCTGCAGATTGGAAGAATTGGCTGCTCACAGTTACTGCCTTCTTCATGAGGCATGCGCTGAATCAATCTCCCACTCTGCCTTTAAAATTCAAAACTAGCATATATAAAGCTCAGGCAGCTCCTCCCTGGTTCACTTCAAGGCCCTTGATCTCCGTGCCTCAATTGTGAAGGAGACATGTTAATGCTGCTCTTACATGATGATTTTATCACCTGTCCTAAAAGACTCCTTTTTACAACAATTCAACTGAGAAAAAGAAATCTCATCCTCTTAAATTTAGATTTTTTTTTCTCCTTTATAAATCAAAAAGGCAAGCAGAAATGATTACTCCAAATCTGAGCTCAGAGCAAGCAGTCTTTAGCAAATTACACCTCATGCTAATTTTATGCCTAGCAGGTACGGCAGCACACTGCATCTCAGCAGTTTTGTTTAAAGCTGTCAGCATCAAGGCCGGAGACAAAGGCTTTCCCTCTCAGAACAAGAAACACCCAGTGCAAGATACAGGTCTGCATCACTTCTCCAGACACTGCAACCCAAGAAGTTCACTCAAAATATACAGGCAACTATTGAATAGTGAAAACACTAATGTTCTACCCAGTCCTGGGGAAAAAAATACATCAGTATAAATAAGCCACAGACCAAAAGTTTACTCCAACACATTGATGAAGAGAAGTTCTGGATCAACTCCAAATAATGAGGCTATAACCCAGACTTCACACTGCCTCCAACTGTGTCATTCCCCAGAGCAGCTGGGCATGCATGAGTAACATTTAAACAGTTTCTATGGTTTCCCAAAATTGGGGAAGAGTTAATCTTCCATTGTTAAAGGCATCACTACATTCATAACACACATTCATTCAGCACATCCACACAGCTGAACAATTATATAAAAGACTGCTTTTGAAGGCCAACTATCTGGACATGCTTCCAATTCCCCACCATAAGAGATACAGAAATCATGCCAGCCCATACTGATGCTGAAGCCTTCGGGGGGGCAAAATGGGAGGTTGTGTCATTAAAAAGCAAGCCTAAATCAACCACATCTTTCCAGAGGGACACTTGAACAGATGACATAATTAGGAAAAAGTGTTTACAGGTGTTGATCTAACGCCATGAGGACATCACTAACTGCCCAATAATCCCACATACTCAGCTCCCTTTAAAGGATTGCAAATCCCTGATCAATGTGGTTTGATATACTTGATGGCAACTCCTTTTGGATCACGGATTTTTAATTGTTAGGGGTTTTTTTAGTATGCTCTGTATTTTGCAAGCCTACTATAAATAGAGCTGCTCTCCTCCTTCACCAGGTTACAGACATATTTTTCCATCCTTGAGTGGGCTACATGCAGGCAAATCTACCTGGACAGATGACTCATTAGGACAAGGAGATGAGTTACACAGGCAATGGCAACACTTTCTGCTATGAGTCAGGAAGGAGAAAATGCTTTACCGTATGATCTGTCAGAGGAGGCAGCACAATCAGTTTCTCCATGGTATTCATTACTACCCTCCAGAGCTCTTTCAGCACCCTCTTCAACACTGTCTTTTCACACACGGTTGCGAACAGTGTCAGGCTGCAGGGAGAGAGAAAGAACCAAGTAAGTTCAAGGAATGCAATTTACAGGGAACAGAAGATGTGTATGGGAGAATCAGTGCCCCATTCAAAGCAGTTCATCATAATGACTGGTTTAAGGGTAAAAATCTTCCCTTTTTATAAAGTGCAGCCTGTATTCACCATCTGAGCTCTAATACTGAAGATGTCTGGCTAATAGGAATTAATGGCATTTATGATCTCAACCATTTCTATTTATTGGCCTTGGGCTGCAGAAGTCATCACGAGGTTATGGTGGTTGGGAATATGCCACATAAGAGCACATACCATTGAACTAGTTGCCTTTAACAAGGTTTTTCCTGATGTATTGGATTTACAGCATATATAGGAAAAAAAACCCAAACAGATATAGAATAATAGGGTTTAAATTGAAGGGCTTATTATGATTTTTGTTGAATACTTAAATGAATACTTCCCAGACTGCTAAGCCAAAACTCTTGCACAGCTTCTGACAGCTGCCGAAATCTCTAAATCTCCCACATCTATAACCACCTTGACGTATTTCTTGGACTTCCCTGTATTTTGTGCCAATTATACCCACCACCAATCGCCTGCCATACATTTATCCATGCCTTTTTACATAAAGCAGTTCTGCTTTATCTTAGTTACTCCTCCTTTGTTATTGTACAGACTATCAAAAAGGCCAAGAAATGTTAGATTCTTCTTTGAAATTATTGTTAGATTCTTCTTTGAAATTATTGTTAGATTTTGGCGTTTACTGATCACACTGGGAATGCTATGAAATAGGAACTCTGCAGCCAGCAGTAGTGCACAGGCGATAGCAGACTCTTCTGCATTGTGTAACATCTTCTCCCAGGCTTCCCTTCTTCCCATAGCTGGTTAGACAGTAAAATTAACAAAGCTGAACAGAGACAAGACTGATGTGAGTAGGATGCAGAAAACATCTAAAAAGCCTCTCCTGCATAGGAGGAAAGAAAATAATCCAAACTCAGATTATCATAATCAAAATTACTTCCTCCACATCTGGATGAAAGGTCTGCCGCATATCAAGTTCCCAGTGATACAAAGGCAGGCGGTTCCTGAGGATTTGTGAAGGCATGCATAGAAAACGCCCAAATGAAAAGCTCCTAGATGTAATGATTGCTGCAGACAGTCACTTACTATATAGTGACCCAAAAGAAAGACAGGACAATCAATACAAATAGCAACAAAAAAAAAAAGTATTTTAAACTCATAAAGCTTCACATCTCTCACGCCATTTATTATGAAAATTGCTGGCCACCATTTTCAAAATAAAGAATTGCTGTGCATCAGCAAGAAGTTTAACTTCTACAGTGACTAAAAACTCCTTTTCTTTGTAGTTCAAGGCTTAGCTGATGAGAATTATGTGCAGTTAGCCAAAAAAAGCCCCTGTACAGCTGAATCACACTGCGTGGTGTTAATAGCAACAGTTAATTAAAGCAATGGATCAAGCTTATATACATCACATAGTTCAGAAGCTCATTTTCTAGTCAGAATAGCACCAGGTATGGCTAGAACAAACATGCTTACATGACTGGGATAGCAAGTAGTATAACTATCTCGTGTGTAAGTATGGTTTGCAATAAGTTTGCTAATAGGATACTGTGCAATTTGTACAGGAAAATGATATATAGCTAGTAAATATAGAATTTCAGTCTCTCCCACTACCTGATCAGCCATGTGTTTTGCTGATTGCTATAATTGCCAGAGGGAGAAAGGAGAACAGAGTGTGCTCTGACACTCAGTGAAGGCTGAAGAGGTAATCCATGGCATAAAAGAGAGGCAGATATGGGAAGAAAAGTCATTAATTCTTACTGAAAATTTGGAGGCTGGACATCTCAAGAACAATTCAAGAATGTGAAACTATTTTTCCTTCCCCCTTCCTGTTCCCAATCTGATGCACTGTATGTGTAACATGTATTTGAACACTCCCTTACTTTCCATCCAGGAAATCCATCAATGGCCTCAGGACATTATCTGCATCTTGTGCAACTGTGTTTCTGGCATTAGCAGCAACATTTCCTGTCCCTTTCACTTGACAGAGGATATCAGACATTTGCTTGACACACTCATCAATACGAGTCTGAAAGCTGGATAAGAGAGATGCAAAAACAAGATTATCAGTGGAACAGATCTCAGCTCTAGTACATAGTACTCTCATAGCTCTAGTACATAGTACTCTCATAGCTCTAGTACATAGCTCTCTCATAGCTCATACTACAAGTCCATAAATCACGCACTCATTTACACATTCTTCCTTCATGAGATTTTCTGCTCATTTCCTTACTATATTTGTTACCAAGGGGCATGCTATCCAGTTCCTATGTCCATCATCCACAAACAGCCTACCACCTCTAACACAAGACACACATTTGAGAAGAGTTTGTCCATTCATCTGCAAAAAGAAATGCTCCTTTCCTGTTTTCAAGAAACACTGCTTTTCTTTGCTCAAAGCACTCTGCTGTATCTTTGCTTTCTACATAGGTTGTTACCACAAAGACTGGGGTATCATATGGAACAAGGGCACAAGGCATGCACAACTCTGAGCACCCAGGAATCCACCAGCAGCGATCTGGTATGACCCATCATAAGGTAAGTCTTTAAAATAGCAGAGACAGCCTGAAGACTGGCAACAACAGAAACCAGTCCACTGCCATACAATCTATGCTCTATCAAAGTGTCAAAATGGGATATGGAGCTCAGCTGTGCAACAAGCAGTGTCACTGTAATGAAGTGACATGCAAGGCATCAAAGAACAGTTATTTTTCTATCTTGTACTGCTAAAAGGATATTCAAAATGAAATAATATATGGTTAATAATGATGACTAGATCAGCACAGCTGTCAACATATCAGCTCAGTGAATAAAGGAAAATGCTTTGACATTTAGAAGAACAGTTACTAACAACAGGGATTATAAGTGACATTTAGCTATCCACTAATAGCACAGGGGTTTGAAATCAGGAAAAGAAGTCAGTGTTAGCAGCTAGGGTAAAGATTTAAGGGCAGGTACACAGGTTTGGAAGTCAGCTTTAGACTGGAGTAAGTGGCCTGAACTTCTGCTGTGTGAGCCACCTTGGACATCCTTGGACTGGGTACTAGCATAAACCCCTCTGTCCTGCAGCTGTCACCTCCCTTCTCCACCCAATCAGTCACTTCTCTCCCCTCCTGCACTGCCACCTCCACCCTCATGGTCCCTCTTGCTCACTTCTAGCCTGCCTTTCACAAGATCAATTCCAGACAGCAATTCCAGAGTTGTCTCCTCACACTGCTTCCACTTTCTGCACTTCTAGAGGAGGGTGGCTTGCAGCAGTCAGTTGTGGCTACAATGACAGCTTAACCAGAGGCGTAAGTCACATAAAATAAAACAGTACCAGATACCAATAGTATTTCATGTACTTCTGACAGTGCCTGTTCTGTTACAGGTTAATATCATCCCACTGTTCTCCCACATACTGCATTAGTTGTAGGGCCCTCTTTCAAGATGCTATAAACCCCCAGCCAGGGGATAGAAAGTAACAGAATCCCTTAAAAGATAAGAGTTAACATGAGCCAAAATAGTGAAAAGTGATAAACCCATTACTGTGGCAACAGGTTCACTTGAAAGTGAAACTCATGCAGATGTAGAGTTCAACAGGAGCCCTTGGTAGCAGCAAGTTAAAAGACAATCTCACCTGTGCTATCAGAGCTTTCTGCTACCTGTTCCCACAGGAATTCCCTCCTTCCCTCCTACAGACACCAAGAACAAAACAGCAGCTACTGCATGTAGTATAAATCACCCTGAGGCTCCTTTTCTCCATGATATTCTTTAAAGCAGGAAAAGCTCCTGTGTCCAGACATAACCTTCTCTCAGCACAAGGGTGGTGAGGCTCTGTAGATACGTGCTGCTTTTCCAGCAGGTGCAATTATCTCACACAGATGAAGAAAAGTTAAGATCTGCAGCTTCAGGTGCACACAGTGTGGCAGAACAACTGCTTACAGACTCTGCACAGAATATTGTGGATATCTGTCTTACCTCCCCACATTTACATCCTTTAGAAGATCCCACTTATACAGTAAACCACAGCTCTACTTTTCATTCCCTATTACTATAAAGGAATAAGCAAAGCATCTGAGCCGTCTGACTGGCTAAATCTCTTGCCAGCACATCTCTCTCAAACACTCCCTGGTATGTATGCTGATACTGAATAATCTCTTTAAATCATATTTGCAAATGTCAAGATTGTACCCTAATTGTCTTTTAACAGTGCACCATGGAGACAGATTTCAGATAACAAAAACCACCCCTTAATTACGATTTCTCTCTCGTCCTCCATCTAATTATGAACCTTATCAATTCAATTCAGCTACAGTTTGAATCTCTCAATTTCTTGCTATAGCATCCATGGTAATGGGAACTTCTGTCTTATCTCCCTACTTAGCTCTGTGTGCTAAAATACAAATAGTCGCTGACAAATCCCACAGTGCGGTTTTTGGTCATAAGCACTGCAAATCTGTAGACTGCAGGAGGCCAAGTTGCTACAATTTGCTTTATTCCTCTTGCCCACATTTCAGCTACACTACAGTTCATGCCTGCATTATCTCATTATAAACCACAACTTGAAATAAATGGGGTTTATCTTGAAAAGTGGTTGCTTTTGAAGATCATTTGGGAGCCCTGTATTTCTAGATTTTGCTTAATTGATGTCTTTCATGGTTCACTACAAAATTATTATGAAGTCAAGTACATTTTTACCCCAGGTAAATGATAACATGATTTGCAATAAAACTTAATTGCCATAAATTACTCTGGCAATACTTTAAAAAGCTCCTCCCTTTGAAACATCATAAAACACCATTCACACAGAACAGGTCAATTTCAAATTCTAAACCTGTTTCATTTCTATTCCAATATTCATTAACAATCACAGAATCACAGAATCATAGAATCATAGAATAGTTAGGGTTGGAAAGGACCTCAGAAATCAGTCAACTGTTTCATACACTTAGAGCACAATGTTTAAACAAGGATGTTGCTCCATAAACACTGAGCTGGAAACTGCCTTCTGAGCAATAAAGAAGCAGGCACTTCTGTTACTGACAAGCACTACTTACAGAAAAAAAACCCACTCTATGTAATTCAAATACATTTCACAGTTGAGAGATCTCCATGTCACATTTCTGGGGAAAGCAATACAGAAAGGAGAGGCTCTATAAAACATTTCTCACTTCTTTAGATGATCTTAGTATTTGAAAGACCATGAATTTATGACAAAAAGAAAAATATAATGCAGTTGACAGGAGTGTCTTTTCTCTTCTTAATCAGACTGAATGAGATTAGGCAAAATAAAAGAATGCTTCAAGGACAGGCACCTCATTATACTCACCTGTTACCAAACACAGCACTCAGCTCATCCAAAACATTGTTCAGCTTCACCTGGAGCTCTTTGAGATGGTCACTTGCTTCTGCATCCAACTGTGGATGAAAGAGGAGAACTTAGCTTGAACTCAGAAGACAATTTGCTGCCCTTCACAGTGTTCTTCTTCACTGTTGAGGCTACTCTTAATATGCAGGTGAATTACCACCACTGGACTCTGCTAGCTAGGATGCTCTCCTCCACTGCCTGCTGCTGTTAGAGAAGCTATGAAATCAGCAACAGCCAGTCTCCAATACCCTTTGATACCTTTACTGGTATTTGTGAAGTCGAGAAAGAAAGTGCACACGAACAGAGAAAGCAGGCTGAGAAACCAAGCACTGTGCATTATCTTGGGCTCATGGGTCACTTCACTCCTCTAAGTATAGGAGAGAGGGATTTTCAAACTGTTATTTACTTGTGCATTTCTCCATTCACAGCCTTGAAAGGTGCTATTTCACCTTCCACCCTCCTGTCAAGTGTTCAAACTGAAGACTGACCCAGCCACCGCTCCCAGAAGACTGGAGCCCAGCTATTTTGAAAACATGGCCACAGCATCACAGCAGGAATTGTGCACCGATCACTTCTGGAAAGCATAATCTCAGCTATGGGTATTGAGCACAGGTAGCTCTGCTCTCACACAGGGCAAGGCAGCTTTTTGTATACAATTGTTCAGGGGAGACTTCACAAAAGAAACAAAAAAGAGTGCCCAAGTACTGCATGGGTGCTGCTGACACGCTGGCACATTGTGTAAGAATGTGCTTGCCCAAAGCCACCTGCTTTTATATCCAGTGGTGGGTGCCCTGTATTCCAGCTGTAGTGATTCTTGCAGCCTCGAAGAGCCACCTTTGGGTAACTTACCTGTATGTTTACATAAACCACATGTTTAATGTTTTAGGAACATTTACTCTGGAAAAGTAACTTGTAAAACAGATTTGCCTTTGTATGCAAGCAGGCAAGCTGCTTGTAAAACAAAAACCTTCCAGAAATGCTTGCATTTGGCATTCAGAGCTTCAGCCCTTACCTCTAAGGCAGAGCATCTATTTACAAATGTAATGAGCCAGATGCCAGTACAGTGGTTAAAAATCAGTTTAGATTTTTACGGTATATCCATATGTGAACATGACAGGAGTTCCCAATTCTATATTCAGTATTGAAGCCCTATTCATATTCGTCAGCATCTGTCAGAGAAAGCCAACCCTTAAGGGATCTGGAATCTGATCTGTTCATTTTCCTTTGTAAGCTGGCATGGAAAACTGACTCCATTAGGCATTTGAACCTGCGCTAATGAAATTCCTGGATCAGAATTTTAAAAATAATTAAAAAAACCTCCAAGCAAATGATGATTTATTTCAGCCTCATAACTTTTGGCATTGCTAGCTCTGATTATTTTTCCTTTATTAAAGTGAATCTGCATTCCTATTACTTTTTTAACTCCCTTGCTGTAAGAAGGCAGAAGGAGGCTAACGTGCCAATCACCAGTCATTCTAGCCAAGCTTTTAGGTAACAAAACAAAAACACCATCTGTTGGTGGTGGTTTGTCTTGCCCCTGCATTAATCCTTGCCTTCTACTGTGTAAAGGGAGAACGAGTCACAAGCTGTCTGGTTTGCTATCTAAAATTAATGGCACTGAACAGTCCTCTGATTTTGGCCCTTTTTGGATGATTTGAGGCAGCACCAGCTCATGATTCATCAAAACGTTTTGAGTAACTTCTTTTCCAGCTGGAAAAAAAAAAACAAGCCAAAAAACAGGAGAATGTGGCATATGACACCTATTCCTCACTATTTACTTCTACATCTTTATAAGCTATCAGATGCATGGCCTAGAGAATATTTAAGGTCAGGATCAACAACTTGCCATTGCTCATGAACCATGCAATTAATGACTAGCTTTACAGTGAGGTGACATGGAGACCTCACCAACTACCTCTAAGCTTCTCCTTCCTATTGTACTTGTTGACTGCAAACCGACTGTCTAGGGAGCAAAACAAGGGCTTATTTCTAGCCCTCATTTACGAAGAAACTGGAACAATGCTTTGCTTAGGGGATGAGCTCCGTTATCTGTGGGGTGAGGAACTCTCTGCTCCAGAACACTTGCTTACAGCTCTTTGGGTGCAAGTGCCAAGAGGGCAACCCAGATTTAACTTTGAGGTGCCCAGCCTCACCCTCAGGAAGCCAAACCCTGGTGGTAGGAATTCTGATTAAGTATCCACCGAATCCTCTGTCATCCTAGAAAGGCTGCTGTCTTCTGAGCAACTGCTACTATGAAAGGAGGAGTCCACATAATACATTACTGATCATTAAAGCTTTGGCATTAGCAAAGTGAATTTCAGGGAATTACCTGAGTGTGATTTAAGTCCATTAGGAAGGTGCTGGTAAGTGTGTACTACTGTTTCACATATATCAATTACATGACAGTTACAGAGTTCCCTGCAGCATGTGATGTAACTGCAAACAATTCTTTGCCAATACAGTGAAGCACTGATAACATTGCTTAAATGACACAGCGTATGTTTTGCTGTTGCTGCTCAGCCAATGGATTCTATGCATACCAGCTACTGCTGATAGCAGGACATGCTACTTGGAATGCACAGTAAATCTGGTTGGTAAAGCAGGAAGCAGTGTTAGACAATTGGGTCACTGCCATATGTCATGTCCAAACCACTTCTATCAGAAGCTGGAGCTCAAGCAGGCTTATGATCTCCATTTTGTGGGTGTATCAGAGATGATTCAGAGGAAGAAAGTTAATGAAAAGTTCTCTGTGCAAAACATGGGACAGTATCCACAGCAATGTGGCTTCTTATCTCTGAGCAAGTGCTTAAATTCCAGTGGAAACAATGGCTGGTGCAGCCATAGCTCTGTGGTTGAGGCTAAATGTGTGATACAGAAAATTGAGGTACAAGCAAAGACGGAAGAGGTAACCCCGTATTTACATCTCAGGGAAGAAAGCAAGGCTCTGTTAATTTCCTGAAAAGATCTGGGACTTGGCACTGCAGAGAATCTGAGCCTTGAAGTCTCATACAAGTACATTCAGGGCTGGAACCTCAAGCTCCTTGCTAATCTGATGGTGCACAGCACAGCACTATGAACTTCGATTTAGGTTGATCTTCCGCTTCAATCATGGATGAAATGGAACCCATGAGTCTTAGAATTCGCTGTGATGGGCTTCCAAGCTTTCCGAGAGATGCCATTAGTCCTTTGGTTTCTACATACACTGGTGTCTAAGCAGAACTGGAATGCTCATCTGTAGCTGTAGAAACAGCTTTTGCCTTCTAGAAGGTTGAAGATGTTAATCTTAAAGCCAGAGAACCTGTGAAATCATCAGGTCTGATCTGACACATCAGCAGTTAGAGGATTTTGCCCTGCTCTCCTATTTTAGCTTTATGCAAGTTACAGAGTTCATGTGCCTCAGGCTTGAAGCTGCTGATATTTGTTCTGCCCCGTTCCACTAGCCCCTGGGAGCTCCTCTCCGCAACTGTGAGGCAGGAGTTCAACTGATGCAGTTTCCCTTTAGGGATTCACTTGCACTGAATTTTCATCCCCACTTTCCTATAGGATTCAAGAGTAATATGAAATACTGAATCCAAACAACAGCTGACAGCTTCTCAAATACTATGTGGCCTTAGCCGTGGCATGCAGGATGCTAAAGAGGAGCCATCAAATAGATACCGCAAATCCTTTGAGAACATTCCTGTCAAGCCTTGGCAGTTCCTAAGCAGTCCTGAAATTTGTTATTCAGGTGGCTAACTTAGGATTTAGAACATGGGCTAACACGGCTGAGCATTAAGAGGACAGTATCCTGAAGCATTAATTGTACAGATTAGCTTGAAACCGAAGGCATGAAAATTGTATGATGACAATCTGCTGCTAATTCCTTGGGTTCCTTAGGCAGTGCTTGTCTCTGATACTCACCTCTCATGCTTGACTTTGGGGAATAAAAAGAAGTGCAGAAATGTATTAAACTAGGCTTCCATAACACATCCAGACTCCATCAGTGGGCAATGCAGTACAGCACTTTTAACTTCAGTGCCGTGAGTTCATAACTTATGAAAAGCAAAGCAAAATAATGGATTGCAGAAAGACATTTCTCTCAAGCAAAATGAGAAATCCTTATTCTGGTGTCAGGGACAGTGTGCAAAGCACACTGAAATCTGCAGGAGAACTGCAGAGGTGGGTAGAAAATGCAGGTCACATTAGGTTTTATTAGATAATGTACGAATAGCTAAATAAATGGGGCCAAGTTCAGGCAAACGCTAGCAATGAAATCTATATAGCCCACATCAGCACAGAGCTAAATTACAGTCTCCATTCTGTGGGTGTATTGGAGATTATTCAGAGGAAGAAAAGATTTCAAAAGGTATCAAGGACTCATACTGCAATTCCACTGCTCATTATGCTTTTAACGCTACCTGCCACTCCATACCCACTGGCTTTTCAAAACATGTTTCAGGAATGTCTGAGAATGCTACTGAAGTACAGTGAAGCTGTTTTGATCCCATGAGATCAGCACAGCTCAGAAGGGAAACAGAAGTATAAATCCTAAAAATCATTTAAGATACCTCTTTCTGCGTGTGCACATGTGATATATATATATGCATTGAGACCTCAAGCACAGACCCAAGAGAATCCCACCACAGAGCTCTCTAAAGCTCTGCTGCTGTCATTTCTAATTAGTAATGTTCACAGGCATATGATGTCAACACATTAAACACAGACATGCTGGGTAATTTTTGCACTGTCTGTGCCTTCTAAGTACTACAGTTGGGAAACTCAGTGAGGGCAAAGGTACCATTCCTCACCTGGGGAGGAAGAAAAAAGTAAAGGAAGGCATTATAACCAGGAGCCCAATCTCAAGAAATAGTACTTGTCAAGCACTTCTGTTCCACGTTATGCTATTACCCTGCAGGATGACTATGGGCAAGCCCTGTCCTTTCATTTTCCTTGATGCAAAAGAGAATAAGTGATAATGGATTTCTGTAGGAGTGTGTTTTGGACCCACTGGCCAAGAGCACTAGATAGCAGAAGTATTTCAAAGCTTTCCAGAGCTGTGCAGTGCTATAGCTACAGCTTTAGATGGAGATGGATCTGTGAATCAGAAGCAGATGAAGCCACAAGCACACATTAACTCAAACCAATCCCCAAGGTCTGGCTTCACGCATGGTACATCTAACGTTCTGCCACAGGAACAATGGAGTATTTGGTACCTAGTTCTCAACAGCACCTTTGAGAACAGAAAAAGGTGAACAGCTCAAGACAAGCAGGACATACCACTGTGCTATTTTCTTACTTCCCCAAGGAAGCAGTTCCTTTTTGAGCAGAGCAGTCAGGGTATCGCTTGTGCAAGGCACTGTGCGGTAAAACCCACAGATACATTTCCAGCAGCATGTTTGCCTACATGTTCTATTTTCAAAGTTGTTTCACCAATTGTTACTCAGTTTCGATCTGCATCAGAAAAAGGGCTACTCAAACTAGGACAAGACCTCATTTACTCTAGCAAAACACAGAACCTGGCAGGTTTCAACTCAAGAAGCGAAGTACTACACAGCCACTGAGAGGGAAACCCCTGGGCATAGCAAAAAACATAGGTGCCTAACACAGCACGATTTATTTCTAGTGATCAGCGGCAGCGTATGAAGTAGACAATCAGCATTTGGAAAGAAAAGAAAAAAATCACTTCCAAAAACCGTGTTTGCCAGATTTACTACTTGCAGCCTGGGTTTCTCTCCCCCTTTTCTTTTGATTCCACAGTACAGGAGAAATATTGGACTCATTACATCTGCTCTACCTTACTTACACCTCTTGAAAAAGGTTTTGAAGGGCAGAATGCAGACAAGAGGTCTAGGCTAGGAAAAGCAGTCATCAGCCTTGATAAATACTTTTTTCTTATCCTATATAACACTGTACCAGGTGGTATTTTCAATTTAAAATACAGGAAAACCCTACTTAATGGCCACCGGTAGGGAAAATAGTAGCAAATTGATTCCTCAGGGGAAATCAAGTGTATATGGATTATAACTTTATAAACCACTTCAAAGACCATTTCATCACAAGCTTATTTTTCCCTCAGAAAAAATGAGCATTTAGCTACCTCTGCTATTACAGCTGGGTGCCTATAATACTAGCTCTTGATGCAGGGCTCTGAAACTGGGATTGTTGAGAAATTAGGATGCAATTTCACTCAGAAAATGAATCACATGTGAAAGAATGACAGCAGTTTTTCTTTGCCTCACAGGGTAAGTCTATTTGTTGAGATTTTTGCCACCTCATAGAATTCTGCCACTGAGCACAAGAAAGATGCAAAACAGCAATACAGGCAAAAACTATGCTGCCCATCAGCAAAGCTGACTTTCCTCTTGGCATACAGGTCATAGCACAGGCTCTACCACAAGACAAATAAAGAAAATGCACTTAGGCTTTGAAAATTATTTTTTCCTAACATCAGCATCAGCAGCTTTTTCTTCATCTTCCTGAATCTTGAAAAGCAAAGAAAAAAGAAGAGAGAAAATAAATAAATAAATAAATATGCACTGATTATATCAAAAACAGTGATCTGGGGGAAAAAAAATGTATTTCTGTAAAAATGGCCATGAGTACAGAATTATTATTTGCATGTCTGCAATACATGAGATATTGGACATTTACTGCCAAAGGTTCCATATTTATATGCCATGTAAAATGATTCCATGTCAACAGTTCTCTGACCTGTCTTTAGAGTTGTGAAACCACCATGCCCACATCCAGTTCATGTAATCACAGTATGTGATATGCCTTCTCTTTCCTACTCCCTGCTATTCTGTGCTTAAAAACATTTGCTCTTCCATCTTATGACAAATTTAGTTGAAAAGTGGTCAGGCATGGCTGTCCCCTCACTCTTATTATAGTGCCAGATGTGACAGGGCTCTCCCTATGAGTACAGTCTTCAAAAGCCAGTATGATGCAAGTAACCTAGTAACAGCGCATTGGGAATGAGTAATTCTCAGCCTCTTAGCGCTCTTACCTCTTTACCACCCATGGCTTCAAACATCTTCTCTAGTTGCACCCTCAGCTGTTGGACATTATTCATCAGGATGCAGGGCTGAAGGGACAAAAGCAAGTGCGTGTTACTGCCTAGGATGCTGACACATTTTCACCAGTGGTACAGTTTGTGCCTCACCACCCTTCCCCAGATCTGAGCGTCAAACAGGAGGTAGGGTATGAACAGATTTCAGCACAAGTCATTTTTTAATCCAGCTTGAAATGGGATAGCAAGTTCCAGAAACCCCAGATCAGGAGATCTCTGCTGTTGCTTCTTCCTCCTCAGCTTTATGCAAGGGTGTCAAGGATGAAGTTTTAGTCTCTGCAGCTCCTGCCATGCTCTGCCAGAGTCCAAGCTGTGTCACCTTCAGCCTCTTAATTCTGCCATATACTATTGTGAGTGGTTTTCACCCAGTATCAGAAGGGGAGCTGCCAGCCAAAGCTGCTTCAGAGACACATATGGGTCCTCCCAGGCCACGCCTGAGAGCAATAGTCAAGAGCAGCCTAAGCAATAGACTTCCCTCTGGAGCTACATCCCCAGTGCAGGTGTGGGAGATAGCAAACTAGCACAGGACAAGCCCAAGGTTCAAAAATGTAAGGCTCTGTTTTATTTAATACACCGAATTTTACTGAATTCAGGAATAAAGAGCAATTAGATGGAGACAACAGTAAACCAAGGGTGCTGCTGACTACCAGATCAACAAAGCCTTTTTTTTTCTATCACCGTTCTGTCACACAACCCAAACAGGCATAGTGGAAGCTAATTTCCAAGGGACCTGACAACTTCCAAGCCCTGCAGATCATCTTCAAGACCTAGTATTATTTTATGGCCAAGACACAATTCAATCTGCAAAAGGACATGAATGATGATAAAAACAATATGAAAATATTCAGACCATCAAAACGGTCAGATGCAATGCGAGAAATTTGGTTTCATCAGAACAATTAAGTGGTTCCTCAGGGCAGAAAAGTTCAGCACAGCTTACCAGTTTCTCCTTCGAACAGTAGGACTGGAAGGTCTTGGAGAGAATGTCAGCATACTGCATCAGCACTTTCCCAATAGTCTGTGAAGATAAGATGTGATCACTGTTACTTGTTCTCTATCACTGCAGGAGAACTCCAGGAAATAAAATGGAAAAAAAAACCCCACATCATACTGTTTTGCATCCCACTAAGGGAAAATAAACAGATGGATATTGAAGGTATTACCTTAGCAAACCTCCTATTATAATGAGCAACAATGACAGGGTCTGGGCACTCCAGCTTCTTAATGATCTCAAAGCTCTGATTGAGCTGGGTGAAGACATCCACCACTGAGCAGGAGAACAGAGCATGCTCGGATGTTTGCTGGAACTAAAACAGAAGTACAAGGAGTCATTCTCAAAAGGAAAGATCTGAAACACACCCATTTCATGGATGTCTCCATTATCTGCAGTGTTGGAGGCAGGACAACTTTACCAAACCCTACATTTTCCTCAGAATTAGTCAAAAACTCTCAAAAGGGCCCAGAGGAGCTAAATAGCCAATTCCATCTGATTACAAGTTCACTGTCCTTCACCAACTATGACATGACAAGTACCAAGAAAATGCAGCATGATGCTGAGACCTTTAATGTGCACAGCTTGCCTGTCAGTTGATGAGGGAAGATGGACAGAGTGAAGAGCTTTTTTTAGATTTTCTTAAAATTTAGAGGTAATGCTTACATTAGCTTCACAGGCTACAGCACCAACAGTCACTGAACAAATGGGAAAGCTCTTGCTCTCCACTGGGAATACTCGGCTAATTAAGAGTAAGATCAGTCTGTCAGTGGATTAAGGTCACTTTCTCACTGCGTGACTAAGTATGTGCAAAGTGCCTTATATTTCAATTACCTCTCATAGACAGAAGAAGATGAGAGAACACCTCCCTCTTAATCTGCCTGACAGATTAACAGCAGTAGAACAGAACAGACATAAAGGAATTATATTCACCTTGCCACTAAACAGCTCGTTTTGACCTGCAGAGAAAAGGCCTAAAATAAACGAGTTTCCCAGATGTTCAGTAAGCAGAAAGAGCTGCACCCTCCATTTGTGCAACAGCTGAATTTACAGTGCTGGTGTTTGTTTCTGGGCACTGAAAGATGTAGCGCCAAGTCCTCCACTCAGAGTGACTTACGTACCCCATCTTTTTTATCTCTCTCCAGAGCACCATGCAGGAATTCTAAGGAAACATCTTCATTTTCATCCAGCCACTGCATCACAAACTGCTCAAACCACCTGCAGCAGCGACAGGAAAGACACCACATTACAGCAAGTAGCAGGCAATCAAACCACACTCAGACAGTGTTGCTGTTTCAGCCAGACTTGTGAAAGCTTGCCACTGTTAGATGTGATCTGAATGCTGTGATCTGTGTGTGAGGCCAAAGCTCCTGAAAATACTCTTACACAAGCTGCCAATGAGCAGGGCCTTTACCATCATTGGGCTCAACCAGCAGAACACAGCCTAGCCCAGCTTCTGCAGACTGTTAGTCCTGAGCTGGTTTTGTCCTTTTGTCCAGACAGGACAAGGGAGACTTCCAAACCCACTCTTTGCACACCAAGAGAGATAGCTGTCCTGCTGCCCATTTGGTGTACTACCTTTCATGTGAGAGTTGCAAATGAGTATAAAGGGAGGAAAAGCAGTGCCTGTTTTCCACAGCCCTTCAGCTACTTTATCTGCAGATACAGACATATTTCTGGAGTGCCAAGGGGGAGAATCAAGGCTGGAAGATTTCTCTACTTTAATCCTGCTCTTCTTTTCCCCAATCTTTCTATAGAACATCCTCCCATCTCCATGGGCTGCTGTTCTGACTGAGACGATGCTTGACTAAGATTGACTTCTGGTCCCAGCACAGCACATCTGCTGGGGCTTCCAGGAAGATGGCCAGCCCTGTAAGCATCTCTTCATTGTTTTCTCTTGAAGGAGCATGAAGTTAGTTCATATTAAGTGATGAACCAACAGCCTGGAAGCATGGTCAAGTCCCAAGAACAGGCAGGTCCCACAAGCAGGACAGCAAAGAATGTCTCTATTCCTCCTCCTCACTTAGGAGGATAAGCTGAATCATAGGGCAGAATCCAAGAAAGTGCTGAAACAGCCACTGCTATAAGTCAGGAAGATGCCTTACATGAAGCAGTGTTTGAATCTACCTCCTACACTGAACAAAAAGCATCTATGCAACATCACTTTGGCTGAACAGGCAAGGTGAAAAGTGGCTTCAGTGATCTCCAGAGACCTTACAGCAAATCATCCCCCTTTGGGATATATTCCCACAGGACAAAAGGGAGGAGTTGTCTGTGTTTAACCAACAACACAGCACCTACAGCTATATTTAAATGTCTTGTTTGGCATTTGTTATGCACAAGTTCCAACATAACCACAGCTGAAACAAATCTTAATTTCAAATATTACTAAACAACATTCAGAAATAAGGGGGAGATGTGCCCATGTGTAATTTCAGTCCATACAAAAGATTATAATATGAGATTCAGAGTACAGCCTCCTCTAAACAGACAGCTGTATTCATATAAAGATTGTGCTAATTATGGGCTGAGTTTGCAAAGAACATGAAAGCCAGACATGAAAGAAGATCAAGAGCAAATTCACAGAGGTAGGTAGCCTTAAATACTCTCTACACTTCAAAACATGAAGCACATCAATGCTAATACTGGAAACTGTAACTGACACAGTGTTAAATGCCAACAGCAACCTATCTACCCAACCCTGTTTAATACAGACAGCAACAGTGGAACGTTATCACACATGGACTTCCTGTATTATGGAAAAATTTCTTTGAATGGCACTTCAGGCTCCTAAAAGTCAGCATATTTTGAACTCTGCTACAAGCTTCTTGAGCTTACAGCATTTTGCTTTGAACTACAATAGTGTATTTTAAAACAACAGCTCAATCCTTAGACAACTCAAGCAGTTTACAAGGAAGTAGCTACACATTATACAGCTATTTCATCATTCCCTGGTTGGAAGTTGCTGACTGCTTCAGTGACGTAAGTCCATGTACAGAAGGGTTTACTTGTTTGTGCCAGAAGGCCTAGTTTTCATTCTGAGAAGCAGAGAAACTTCCTGCTTGTCATTCACAAGAAAGGGCCATTCACTGCTGCGAACAGACACTGCCCATTTTTATGGCTACCATATGTTACACAAAATCGAATATGTAGGTATTTTACTGCCTTATCAAATTGTCTAAACAATGGTGACAAGGAAAAAGGCACTGCTGAGTGGCTGTTGGTGGTGGTGTGTTTGCTCTTCCTTCCTATTAAAAAAAGCATTACCTCCGGAAGGAGGTTTAATATGAATGTTTAAGTGCAAAGTGAATAGTTTATGTCAGGTCAGGAAATTCTGTATCTGCACTTGCAAAGACAGCCTCAACTTTGTCTGTTTTTGGCTGGCAGGAAAACAGAAGAGACAGATAGAAATAATGTATAAATATTTCTATCCCTGGGCACATTCAAGACCAAAATGTGTTTGAAGCTGTAACACAAGCTAGCGTTATCTTAGTCAAATACTCCCTGCAGTGTTTTACTATCAGGTCTCAGGCTGCTGAGCAAATGAGGGGGCTCTCAGAGGACTGTGAAGGTAACATATCCAAAATGGTATTAAAAATTATCTAGCACTGAAACTAATAAAACCAATCTGATTTCACGCAGAAATAGCTTCAAAATGTTGTTATATAGCAAGTATCTTTTTCCTAATCTGCTTCAATTATTGATCTAGAAGCACAAACTATAATGACTCATGCACCAGCACACAAAGCAGAGGCTTACAGTGCTGCTTCAGAGACACTCTGTGCTTGCAGGGGTCAGTACAGCCAACCTCTCCAAATGAGGTTTGCACGGAATATGCTTCAGTCCTGCCTGCCAGGAAAGGGAGAGGTGCTTTGTGACTAAATGGAAGTTTACCTCTGCTGGCTGCACAACAGTAATGTAATATAAACAGCTTCAACCTCATCTTGGCCAACACCCTGGCTCCTGCGGTGTCAGTCTACAGGTGAATTAATCTTGCTCATCTGCTGTGTGGATGCATGTGGGTACCCAATGAACATCCTGTGGGCCTTGGTAAATGCAGAAGCAAGAAGGCCAGCAGGGGTTCAAAGAGTAAAAGAATAAATACTGTGTTTGATGAAGTGAGCCAGAAGAAGAAGAAAGGATTTTGAAGGAGGGAATGCCTTCCCCCATTAGAGAAGTAGTCTCCAGTACAGCTACAATACCAGCTGCATGCTAACATCAGTATTAGAACAAAACACAAAACATTTACTTACACATCTAAAAAGCTACAGTATTTTGGAAACTCATACTTCTCAGCTTTTAACTGGCAGCTAAAAGTGAAGAGACGAAGCTTTTAAGAGCCACTCCCAGCTTTGCTGCTACTTCAGTTTCACAAACTGCTGCTGGATTTCACAAAATAAGGGGAGTACAAAGCCTTCAGCTTCAACAGTTTGGAGCCTTCACTTTAGTCAACCATATATCAAAGCTATCAGAAACACGGGTTCTCAAAGTTTCAACACAAAAAGCAAGTTTGTGGATAGCCTCTTGTCTGTGGAGCAGACAGACACCTCAGTTTTTCTCTGGACAGCAACAATTTAGTTTGATCTGAAGAGTTTACTGATGTGCATCAAAAGAAGCTTGACCAGGAGGTCGAAGGAGGTGATCCTGCCCCTCTACTCTGCTCTTGTGAGACCTCACTTGGAGTATTGTGTGCAGTTCTGGTGTCCTCAACATAAAAAGGACACGGAACTGTTGGACGAAGTCCAGAGGAGGCCACGAGGATGATCAGGGATTGGAGTACCTCCTGTATGAAGACAGACTGAGAAAGTTGGGGCTGTTCAGCCTGCAGAAGAGAAGGCTGCATGGAGACCTCATAGCAGCCTTCCAGTATCTGAAGGGGGCATATAGGGATGCTGGGGAGGGACTCTTCATTAGGGACTGTAGTGATAGGATAAGGGGTAATGGGTTCAAACTTAAACAGGGGAAGTTTAGACTGGATATAAGGAGGAAGTCCTTTCCTGTTAGGGTGGCAAGGCACTGGAATGGGTTGCCCAGGGAAGTTGTGAATGCTCCATCCCTGGTGGTGTTTAAGGCCAGGTTGGACAGAGCCTTGGGTGAGATGGTTTAGTGTGAAGTGTCCCTGCCCATGGCAGCGGGGCTGGAACTGGATGATCTTAAGGTCCTTTCCAACCCTAACTATTCTATGATTCTATGCATGGGCTCCTTTGTTCAAGGAATCTTCAAGACTAAAAGTGCTTGTGATGAGGCAAATCAAAGGACAAAAGCACATTGCTGTAATTGATATGAAGGGGCTATTTCTTGACAGGTGAAGGTTATGGTTGAAATAAACATCACCCATGTCTGACAACGTGGCTGTTGTACTAGAACACAGGAGTGAAGTAACAAAGCCAGCAGCTGCACATGTACATGAGCACTAAAGCTCTACCAAAAAGGCCAGCAGAGCAGAACAGTCTGCAAAAGCCTGCAGAATGAAACCGAGCATCATTATCCTGATTACACAGGAGAAAAAGAGAGATTAAGAGTATCTGATAGCTTTAGACTGCACTGACTCAGAAGCACAGCAAAGAGAACAGGGCTTCTGAGACTGTCACTCCAGCACCCTATTCACTTAGCTAATGCCTCTTGCTGACCTGATTTGTTAGGCAAGGCCCATAGCCCAATTGTACCAACTGCCTCAAGTCTTATTAGTATGCAGCTAGCGCCAGACTTGAGGGACTGCTTGCACCACAGGATGGAGAGAGAATTAAAAATGCCCATACAGAAACACAGTCCAAGCTACATGATTGTTTTTCAAGAGGGGCATGTGCAAAGTGCTGCATTTAGACCCCGGTGAACAGTCATATACCAGATAGGAAGAACAGCTAGGTAGGACACTGTTGAGGGTGCCTAGGGGATGGCCTGTGGCCCACTGGAAGCATCACTAGCCAGCAATACCCCTGAAGAAAAATAAAAAGGGCTGCTACCAATCCAACGTGTGAGAACAGCAGTGCTGCCTTCAAGGCAAAGTCTAGGCGAAACATCACTACTTAAATTGGGTGCTTTATATCCAGACACATACCTGATGCAAACAGGCAAGCAAACTTCACTTACAAGGAAAGCTGGTAGCAAATGGGAATCAGCAGAAGACTGGGAAGGCACATGAGAAAAGAATTTTACTCTTGTAAAAGAGAAACAAGTTGTTCTTCATGCCCACACTGGCAGGACAGGATAACAACCTCAAACTAAAGCGGGAAAGATTTGGAGAGGGAAGAAGGGGATTGTGTTAAACCTCCAAAACCCAAGGGAAGGTTAACAGTGAAGCACAGGGGAAAAAATGATTCAAGGAGATGTGGAGCAACCATCACTGAAAGCCTCTGAAAACCAATTAAACACTGGTCAGAAACAACACACCAGCTCTTGACTTAAGCCAAGTGTGGGATTCTAGCTACAATATTCCCTCAAGGTTGCTCAGACAACATTGGGCTCATAAACCTTTTTCAGGTCTGAAATCTACAGCTGCAAATGAAAGTTGCAAACAATTGTTCAGAACTTAAGAGCAACAGCTGATCTGATCTTTACAACTTAATTAAAACAAAAAAGAAAAACAAAACACCTCAGCATTATCTTTACTTACAAATCCCATTGTGTGTGTATACATATGACACACAGAGACATACATACAGTACATACAGATAAAGCGGTATCTATTAACAAAAGAATGTAAGCTTACATCCAGAAGTCTTCTGTTCAAGAACTGACCAAAACCCACAGTGTAGGCACAAAGTAGTTTAAAGACTGTCCATGACATTGCTAAAGCTTTTGAGATCTTGGGAGATTCAGTAAGGGACTGAATTGTGACAGGGACAGTGGCACAAACATGTACACAAACACAGGAGTAAAGAAATGGTGTTATCATGAAGGCAGCCATAGGAGAAAACCAAATGACAACCCTCAAAGTTAACAAAAGGAGACAGATCTTGGGGATTTACTACAGAAGACATAACACACTCACGCTGGATATTCAGGCACTTTTCCCTTGAAGGCAGGCAGATCACGAACATATTCATTATACAGCCACTTCACTTTGAAGTGTAGATTCATATAGTCTGCACTTTTACACAGTCTGTGTTTCTCATGCTCTGTAAGGAAAGAAAAAAAGAGTTAGGTCTGAATTTACCCCTAATCACTGCATCAGGCACAGGAGTGTCTTACAAAGGATGTCTGTAGTACGCAATGGTTTTGTAGATGAAGCACCTACAGAGCCTCTTCACAAGACAGGATTGTGGCAGCTGGCAGGGGTTCTTGGTGGTTGATCGTTTAGGCTCTGGAGTCTATTTCTGTACCTCTAATTAATACTTCCATTCCTTGAAGACTTTTTGGTTTACAAAGCAATAAAAATAGAACATTCTGATGGCCTTTGCATTTAACACATGACAGTTCGGATTTCACCTTTGTAGGAAATAAATCAAGGAAAGCAAATCTGTTCATTCTTGGATATAAAGTAAGTCATTATCAACATGTTACACTACATCCCCTAAAAGACAAAAGTAAAAAGCATCCAGCTCTTTAGAGTTTGCCAGTGCAAGTCACAAGCAAGTTCAAACACAGTACACAGGAACTGGAGCCTTCCCTGATCCCCAGTTTGAAGAAATCCATGGCACTTCTCTTCCAGAAGGCAAAAGTTTTCTTATTTGTATTGCCTTCCTGAACACGGTCCACTGAAGTGACCCATGGATATCTAGCTGCTGCTGAACCTCTTCTCTGGCCAGGTTTCATTATGGTTTTGTACCCAGGCAATGCTGGACAATGCTGTTCCTCCCTGTGTAACACACATACCTCCACAACATGACCCTTCCCTTACACATCTGTTGCTAAAGCACTTGCCATACTCAGACCCACGTTTCTGCAGAACTCATGCTCCTAGGCCACTGCTCCCCTTTCTCTCTTCACAAGAAACGTATACTCCATGTCTTTGCTTTCAAGACCCTTCACAGCCTATGTCTACCCTACCATCATTCAGCAGTTGATTCCCACCTCTGAGGAGTCCACAGTCCCTGGTTTTAAGCTACTCAAGTTCTCCTGAACACTCTACACTTTCTTCCAAGATTCCCTCATTTGCTTACACAGGCAGCTCCATCCACCACACTGCTTTCCTTCAAAATCCTCCTTTAAAAGAAAAAAGAATCCCTTTTTCCACAATGCTAAGAGGACTCAGCAGTTTACTTTTGCCTGCACTGTGATTTTGAATTATCAGGTGTCCAATTCCGCCATTCCCTAGTGCTGCCTGTCCATATCCATCCGTTTCTTCTGCCAAACTTCAACAAAAATGAATACACTTTGTGCCAGGTTTATTTGTTCATAGAATCATAGAATAGTTAGGGTTGGAAAGGACCTTAAGATCATCCAGTTCCAACCCCCCTGCCATGAGCAGGAACATCTCACACTAAACCATCTCACCTGAGGCTTCGTCCAACCTGGCCTTGAACACCACCAGGGATGGAGCATTCACAACCTCCCTGGGCAACCCGTTCCAGTGCCTCACCACCCTAACAAGGAAGAATTTCCTCCTTATATCCAATCTAAACTTCCCCTGTTTAAGTTTTAACCCATTACCCCTTGTCCTGCCACTACAGTCCCTAATGAAGTGTCCCTCCCCAGCATCCCTATAGGCCCCCTTCAGATACTGGAAGGCTGCTATGTTCAATCTAGTACCACAGCAAGCTCCTAGTCCATGGCTACAGTGTGAGATATGAGGTTAAAATACACATTATTTTGGGTTAGACTTTTTTCCCCAAAAAAGTAATTGACATTAGACTAATCTTTCTGCCTTTTACAGGGTTACCTCATTACTGATGGAGCTTTCCAGCAGCATCACTACTGATGTGTAGACAGGATCCAAACATGTTGAAAGATGGAAATCTTTTTCTCATTTTTCAATGAGTTTAATCTAGGACTTCAGTACAAGTATTCAATCACTGGGTAGATATATGCACACAAGAGCAATACACGCTACAGATACTCATCAGCAGAGGATACATCCTAATGACGCAAAATGGCCCCAGCTCTCTACCTGACAGACAAGCTTATCTTACAATATCATAATCTATTTCCATGTAAATACAAGTTCTCACAACAATTTCAAGCCATCAAAAAACTTCCACATCTCTCTGAGCTTCAACAACATGTACAAGAAGAAAGGCCAAATAAATTATGAATTATCCAACCGAAAACACAAGAAGCAAAGAACTTTACATGGATAATTATTCTGCAAGCCTTGTCAACATTCAAACAGTGGAACGCTTCACTGAGTTGTTTGCAAACCTCTAACAGTGTAATATAGATCTCCTTCTTCAACATGTAGATCCACACAGATACAATCTCAAAAAGAAACCCAACTTTTTGTTTTCAAGAAATTAAAATGCCCATTATCCAAGAGGCACAGTCCTCAGAGGTGATGGTTTGGTGGACAAATTACTTTACATGTGCTACTATTTCACATGTACTGTAATCCATCGCTCTTCACAGTGGATTTGCTCATACTGGAGCCAAGGAAAGTCCATTCCTGTATTAATAAATCTAGTATCTTTCTTGAGCACTAAGTAAGTATATGGAAATACCCAGTTCTCTGAACTGCTGATCTTCCTCCACAATAACTGAGGAAGAAAATGCAGAGCTCTCTGCAGATCTAAAAACTGGAAACAAACACAGCAATAACCATGCCTGCTTAGCTCCCTGTGACAGCAAGGAAATCAATGGACAATTATAACTTCATTAACTTTGACATATGCTGACACCCAAGTGCTATTTCCACATGGGGGAAAGCACTGCTCCTGCAGAAGGAAGGTCTGGCTTGGAGGTAAAAAGAACTGAGATTTCATTAGAATTAAGCAGTGCACTAAGAGCAAGTAATGCAAAGCCTTTCCTGGGGTTTAGGACATTCAAAAGGGTATTAAGTTGCAGAAAAGGAAGATGCAAAGCAGCCACAGAAGCATAAGCCCAAGGACTGCTACTGGGACTACCTAGCCATCTAAAGCAGATAAGGAGAAGCTTGACACCAAGGGGATAAAACTACAGGAATGCAGAAGAAAGAAGTCTTACCACCATAAAAGAGAACTTTACGTATGCGGAAGAAAGGTGGGGCTTGTGACAGAGAAAAGACAAAAGTGAACCACAACAGCTCAAACATGCCGGAGGACAAAGCAAGCCAACAAAGCCCCCAAGGCCCTTTACCCCAAACATGTCGTTCCATCTGCCTTCCCCCTTCAATAGTCCCTGCACAGTTTGATCACCCGCATTCTTTGTGAAGGGAAATCTTTAAGAGCATTCGAAGGTGACATGGAAACACAGCGGCCAGAGGTGTACTCTGAAAACCCATTTTGGATAAAAGTAAAATGTAGAGCACAGAAGCCATCAGTCTTAGCACACGTCTGTTCTGCTTTATCACCTGCTGGCTTTTAAAGAGCTTAGTGGCAGCCAAAGTGGAAGAGTGCACAGATATTTTGCAGCAGCTGCTGTGTTTTATCCTGAAAAGACCACAGAGTTCTCTAAGTCCCTCACATTTCCTCAGCAGATTTCATCTGCAAATAGCCTCCTCCGGAGAAGAGCTTCTGGGGTCACTGAGGCCATATTATTAAGGCATTAATAGGGAACCACTCCCTAGCAGCACATTTTCTAGTGTCATGTCTAGTTCTATTTTTCAGGCAGAGCACTTCCTTAATCCACCACATCTTTAATACTTGGGGTATTTTTTTCTTGATTGTTAGCCTACTTTCCATGGGTTAATTTCTAGCTAATAATACCAAATTTCTGCAAATAAACTCTAATAGGTATTGAGGCTGCCAAAGCATTAACACTTTAGACAGCTGGCATCTATGTGTGCATCTGATTCCCCTCCCCTTGCTAGAAATGAGAATGTGGCAGAATGATTTATTTCAATCCAGCTCTCCAGCTCTACTCAGTCTCCCTACTAGAAATGCTTTCAATTTGCAACTCTCCTAATGCTGATATGTCCAAATTAAGACTAAACGTTGCTGTAAAGGATGATGTTGATTTTCTATTACTGTCTTCTACTAAAGAAAGAACAGAAGCCCTCTTTGCTCAGGGTATTTGTGTCTTCTGGGTTGCAGAAGTTTCACAGATCACAGCAAGGTGATCCCAGTTACCGGAGGGCTCAAAAGGAGGCTATCCAGCACCAGTCGGCGTTCCAGAGGTGGAGCTAACTGTATGACTTGGAAAAAACATCCTCTACGCTAGTGTGACTTCAGGGTAGAATGATCTTGCCAGCCAAGTCTGAGCCACACAAGAGTATCCTATCTGTTTTCTTCTTAGGTTGATGGGGAACAAGGGACACTTCTCAATGCCTCATTGCATACTGCCTCGACAGTAAGGAGGGAAGGGCCAGTCTGCTGTTCACAGTGTCCTGAGTTGTTACTGCTTTGGGAGAAAGACAAAAAAACCAAGCAGGGTAAACCTTGGGAGTTTCTGCTGTGTCTCAGAAGCTGAGTCTCCTTAGGGGTGATGAAGGCAAAAGATAGGTCTGCCATGCACTTGTCTTCCAGCAGTCAAACTCACTGCTGCTGTGACTATTGCTACCAGTTGCTGAAACAGAAAATAGTTGTTTGACTCCCCATTTCTACAGCAGCAGTGTAGTCATCCAAGTCATCTTTGCAAATCTGCTCATCAGTGGCATACAACTAAGGGACTAACACTAATTTAGCAACTACACACAAAGTACTAAAACTATGGGTATCAGACGAAAGTCTTTGCCTACTCTCAACTATGAACTCTACCAAGGTGCACAAACTTACCACTTGGTGAGGTGAATGAGCTCATGTTATCTAGAACTTAGGAACAAAACATAAGGGAGAACACCATGAAGAAAGTTAGAAGCAGGAGTTATACTCTGAGTTCATATGCACGTATATCTATCAACAAAACAATTAGCTTTTGTTGCAGAGAGCTCCTGATGCATACAGATTTTTGAGCACAACAGAAGCATACCCAGGATTATTACACAAACTGAGAAATGACAGGGCCAAGAGCTGATGACAGCAAATCTAATCATCATCCTTCACCTGACTTAATCTGTCTCCTTTAATCCCTTTTATCCCCTCATTAATAAATAAATAAATAAATAAATATAAATTCAGAGAGCTAATCTAATTATCTGCATTTAAAACACATGTAGAAAGGCCTGTAAATGAATTATTGTATAGCTTGTTCTAAAGGTTATATTCCTAAATTTCTGAGAGCAAAGCAGCGAGGAATCATGCTCACACCAAACAGAATTCTTCACTCTGAGGATTTCTTTAATACATATTTGGAAGAGACACACATCAACACAACCTCTACTATTGTTCAATCCTCCTGCAGGACTTGCACAGTTAGAGTACAAATACACATACTACAGTTTTTCAGCTTTCATTCAAAAGGCAAACCCTTCCCTGCCCATCAGCTGCCTCTGTGTCAGCTGTTCTCATCACAGAATACTTTGAACAAGGATGCTCTCTCAGCAAGTATGTGCTCTGGGCTGGGGAACTCATGGACTCAGTCTTGTCTTAAGAAGCTAACAAGTGACCAGAAGGATGCCAAGAAAAGCTAAAATAAGCCCAAGTTCACCAGGTTGGACAGAGTCAAAGGGGACATGGTATGAAATGTGAGCAGAGAAAACCTGGAAGGCAGAGCTAACCGAGGCCCTGGCAATCAAACAGAGCCATTTAAAAGAGGAATAAAATTGTCCCCTTTGACAGTCAAATTCACACACACAACAGTATGCTGCATTTTGGACGCAACAGAGAAGAGTAATCATAGGAAAGTCAGCAACTAGATCTGGAAAGATCCAGTTCTTGTGGCTGCTCATAAAAGAGGAAGATACAGCACTTTCAACATATAGAAGAGCAAATTGTGTTGTAAATTCCTGAGGGTGAGTACACAGGGGGAAATAAGGACAACACAGAAAGGGGAGCCAAAATGGTTTGCAGGAGCAAACAGTTTCTAGGAAGAGTGAACATGAAGTTATCACAGTTGCCTTATCTCTAACACACAAGCAAGTGGTGATAGTCGCTATAAAAAAGACTCTTCAACATAGTAGGTCTTAGTCCTTTCCAGTGTCTGTTCCTACATCAACACGACCTCACAACATAAAGGAACTGTGGGGTATAAGTATATATAAAAAGTGCCTAACCCAGAAATGAGAACACTTCATCCAGACCTGCAGCCTGCTGAATTCAAGCCTAGAGCTAGAAAAGGGTGTACCCACACAGCACAATCTCTACTCCTGTTGCACTGTCGAAGACTAAGAAGTAGATGGAGTCAATCTTCTTAGCTTACAGAGCAACCCCACAGGCTGCTCCCAAAGAAGAAGCTGCAGGAAACTCTCTTACTGACAGCAGGTTTTCCTAGCAGTCTGAAGTGAGCATCTAAGAGGCTGTCACTTCTAGGAGTGACCTGAGATCAAACTGGGGACAAATGGATCAAGCATAATTTTGTGACTGATCAAAAGCAGAAGCTTCACTTGATTCTGGAATATGAACACAGCTAGCATGCCACAGGCAGCACTGGCTGGTTTACCTGCACTTATCTGTTGGCACTTATCTGGTTTATAAGAGTATCAGCTTACAGATGATCATAAAGCCTGACCCTGCAAAATACTGGGAAAACAACTGCTACTACAGCTGCACAGCTGGTGGGAGCTGGCTGCTCTCTGAACTTTGTAAGATGAATTACATTGTGCAAATGAATTTATAGAACTAAAAATAAATTCAGAAACTGTAATCAACCATTATAAGTGTACTGCAGGCAGCAGAATTCCTTTCCAGGGGTTTGCTGGGCTGTGTATGCTTAACTCATTTTCAGAAACAGGAAAATGTCTCCTTTTCTAGGAGTTGGGTGGGATTATGCAAGATTAATTAAAAATGAAAATATCAGAAGGGGGATTTGTTCTAACAGTATGATTCTTCCAATGGCTTAGACTGTCTATGCTGTACTATCCAGGGAACTACAGCCATGGCACAACCCAGAGTCCACCTACTTCTCCAGCCCTTTCTATCATTGTACGTTGCACAAATAAGCTGCTGAAGTGAACTGATTTCAAATCAGATAGGATGACAAAAACCAGCTTGCAACAAAGTCTGACACGCAGGTCTAGAGATCATGCAGATCTCAGCCTCAATTTTCACACATTATCCAGCTGTCCACAAATAAACCACTAGAAATCCCTGCTCTGAACAGTGGTGCTACTAATGTGCACCATTAAGCCTCATTTACACCAAATGAATTGAGAACAAAGATGAGCAACAAGTCAGCTGGAAGCAGGGAGGAATTCTCTTACCTTCCATGGCATATTTCATATCCTGGGCAAAAAGACTCCACATCACCTCTGCACTGATCTTCCCAACAGCAAGCTCCTGAGGAAACCTAAGTGGACATTAGGGAAAGGCTTTGGCATGTATCAGATCAAAAGGCTCTCTCTTCTTTATTCAGCTCTGAGTTCAACTACAAGCTGAAAAGCTCAACATTACAAACGTTTCCTTCACCCTAGATAAATGACCTTGGAGATTATGAACTGGACTCTGTGGCATAGATTAAATAACCTGAAAACAACACTGCTATTGAGAATCGTTTCAATTAAAAGAAGCCAAGCCCTGGATGTCTCTCCTAGAAGAGAAGCATACAATATTTCTGGAAACATGATCTCAGTGGCCTTGCAGCTTTTTTCTCTTTCTTGTCCATATGTCTTTTTTTCTAAGGTTACTAGGCTGACCTGTGAATACAGGTGTCATTGCCATGTTAAAGCGATGATCACTAGGCCATAATCCAGCACTTTGTGTATAATACTTTGGTAGATAGCTCCTGCCCTGTGGGACTGTTGGAGGAGTATCCACCAGTTAAACAGACTAGTTTCAAGTTCCTTTCCATTGTGCCAATCCCACCCACTGCAAGCTCCCAGCACTGCATGGACAGCACATTCGTAAATCACAGCGTAAGGTGGTGTCAGCACAGCACCATGTGTGTGCATTAATGCGTGTCCCAGACTGCTCAACATGAGAAAAAACCAAAAGAACTCTCACCCCATTTTCAGGTGCCTCCCTGAGTTCAGGATTGTAATAATCAGGGTGTTTGAGCTCGAACGCCATCGTAACTGAACCTTTTGAAACTCTTCCATCCCAATCAAAAAGTTATTTATACAGACAGAGACAGATAAGACAGAAAGACAGACAGACAAGATAAGTACTTCCATAAATACACAAGTGACAGAGAGATAGAAAGCAGTTTAACAAATAAAGCAGAGCACACAGAGACTAGCATTAGACACACAAAACAAGGAAGATTCTTACTGATTCAGGACTGGGGTATAAGAATTCTTGTCCTCTTCTATGATGGAAACTATCAAAGTGATGAGCTTGGGCCAGAAATCCAGGTTCCTGATGCTAGGGCCCTGTTCCTCAGGAGGAAGGTCCTGATTTTTGTTCTGGGAAGGAAACCATTGGGGAACCAGTGTAAATTTAAAGGGGAAAGAAAAAGCTGGCAAATGTAGATCACCATAGAAACTTCAAACACTAATTTCCTATGGACCCTTTTTTCTGAAAAGCTTAAAATTATTAATGGTTGCTATCGACTTGCATGATCTAAAGCAAAACACAGTAACAAGCCAAAACATATTGCTTACTGGTAGCCTTGAAGCCAAACAATTCCTGTTTTGTTATTTACCATGCCGACAGCAGGGCAGGCTCCAGGAGATCTGCTCACACATCATTTGCTATAAGCTGGTTTGAAATACTTGGTTTTTAGGGACCTGGGTTAACAACTACATCCACGCTGACACACCGTGTGTGCATTACTGCAGAGTGGCCAGTAGAGCTCTCATGGATTTGAAAACAGTTTGTGTCTAGAGGTACCTCTTAGTAGTACCTAGTACCTCTCTAGTAACAGAGATCAAATTTCACTACATGAGGTTTATCTATGCTAAAGACAGATTCTTGAACAGTCTACATTTTTCCCTAATTGGCTTTTTTTTCACTCAAAGCTGCATCAAACCTTCCCTTTGCAAATTGAAATAAAATAGCTGAGCTAGCAAAACGAATCATAATTAGTTAGCGTGAAATAATTACCATCCTCCACTTACTAATTAGTGTTCATTAGCTGATTACAAGTTTTTGCATTCAGAAGATAACCAGTCATATAATTTTGTTTGTGTTGGCTTTCTACACGAATTAGTATTCTCGTTATTATTTAAAGAAAATCAGAAACTTGAATTTCTGCCCACTTATCAGCTACTCACAGGATCCGTCTGGTACTCGCGACTGTACAGCTCGTGACAGTTGTTGAAAATGTACTCATAGGTGGAGTTGAGGCAAGCTTTCACACAGTCCTTCACAACCTGGCTGGCTCGAGGTGGACTCTGCAGCTCTTGGACCTGACAAGGAGGCAACAAAGATTGTCAAATAAAGCACGGCTCATAAATCAAACATGGAAAGAACAAGTCAGTGGTCTGGGAGATACAAAGGACTTGGTGGATCTGGTTTCAGCAACCTCTGCTATCAGTGATCTGAAACCATGAATGGATTGCTCTCTCCAGGCATAAAAAAAACAGTGACAACACTTATGTCCCCGCAGGATCATTTGGAACATAAAAAGGATTTTGAAGCACCAAGGATGATATTCAGAATAAATAAATAATATGTATTGACGTGTGTATAATCTGAGCCAAGCACACGTAATTTCTGCTAAATTCATAGGATTTTACTAAGAAACCAGCAAGCAATCTTTCCCAACACTAGAAGAATGTGCAATACACTAGAGGAGCATACTACATCTAATCTGGAAAGCCTTGCTGAAAACCAAACACTTGCATGACTTTAAATACAAAAACTTCCTTTAAGGACGTCTTTCATCACAAGCTTTATTGAATTTTAAAGTACACCAGACTCCTTAGGGACACACCATCTGATACTCCTTTTCCTATTCCAACAGCAGCTCTTTTCATTATTTCATTGCTTCAGAAAAACACTGCAGCGTTAAACTAAACAGATACGCAGCCATTACCCTGTGAATGAAACTATAACCTGAGATGATTTTGATATTTTCACTACCTCTAAACTGATCAGAGTATTTCTATAAAGCAAACTTTCAATACAGACATATTGTCTGAATGGGCACTTTCAAAATAAAGTTCTAAAATGTCGTTTACCCTACAGCTTAAGAATAAAATTATAAGCACATCCTGAAATACCTCAAATTAAAGATTTGCTTTGGTTTTGGTACGATAAAAATTACTAAGTGACATGTGCTAACCTACAATATTAACAAAAAAAGGCAAAAAAAAAAAAAAGCAGGAATAATCTCATTACACACTGCTAGAACCATACACTTAACTACACAAACAGCACATTAGTATTCATAACAACCCTCCTGGATCTCTGCTGAGAGATATGATCCCATTTCAGTATCTCACCCCCCAAGAAATAAATTTAAAAGTATTTACGAGATAAAAGATGCTGAAGAGATGGTAATGACTGATAAATGTTGTACACAGGAAAAGTTTCCTAATGCAATTAACAAAAGTAAATCACCTTCCCAAACCAAGAATTCTCTTTTTTCTCCCTTTTTTTTTTTTTTTTTAATTATTTGTGCCTTATTTATGACTGAAAAACCCCAGGGGAAACAACAACTTTCATCTTCCTGATGCAAAATACAGTGAAGTAAAGACAAAATGTGGATGTTTATTACATGGTCACCAGATGCTCTCCATTTTCCATGTCTAAAGCAACAACATGAAACAATGATTTGAAAATGAGAAACCAACTCCTGGGGCAAAAACTGCAGAGGCCGCACTCCCATCCCCACCCATAACACTACCTTCATCCTGAAAAAAGTGATGCTGGTCAGCAAATCCACTGTAGACTTCAGGTCCTGCAGCCGTTCCCGGCTGCTGGCTGGGAAGTTGTTCTGTTGACAAGAAAGGAAAATCCTGTTGGAAAGCACAGTCAGATCCATGCAAGACTTTAAGCATGTGCTAAATAAGGAAAGTGTCTTGGAAACATTTCCTGCTTGAGAAGCTTTTACCAGTCAAAACAATGCTCAATAAATAAGGCCTTTTTGCTGCAGGAGCTTATCTGTTTGCTTAATTAAATAGCTTCTTGTATGAATGTAAAATCTGTGGATACCAGGAGACTGACAGCCCTCAGCAGAAGGAGATCTCTCCTTGGCTGCAGGAGGAGCAAGCAAGGAGCAACAGCCATGTCACCAGCAACTTTTGGCCTCTTGCTTGATGCTGCTTGTGTGGATCCGTTCCTTTCTGCATTCACTGCTTCTATCTTGGTTTCTCTTCTGAGGCAATGAGAGTTGTGGTATATTAGCAACCTCTCGAGAGAAATAAACAGGCCTGAGAAGGGAAAATGAGCCCTTGTTTCCTGTAAGAAGTCATGGTAACCACTCAGTCCCCTCTGAGACCCAATCTGATAAGATAAGCATGTATCCTTTCCTCTAATGCACTTATTTTACATACTCTGTCCACCACCCTGCTGTAGATGACCATAGTTTCCTCTTCCACTCTCTGGGTTCCACTGAAGTTACAAGTCTCCTTATCCCTTCCAGATGTGATATGTATGTGTGCATATGTGTATATATACATATAAATGCATACGCTGAACACAATGAGCTTTGCTTCTTGCAAGAGTCTGTCCCCTTTCTGACCTCAGGCACTGTGCTCTTTCCTACATTCTATCTCCCCTCCCTGTGTCCTTTAACAGCATTCACGTTTCTGAGCATGTTCTTACAAGCAAGCTGATGTGACTGGTTTTGTTGCAAGTAAAATGGCAAAGGCAACCTTAACTTGGATAGTCTCTTCCTAAGTGCACAATCAAAAATTATTAGACACAAAGGCAAATAGGGCAGAGGGGAATAAGTTTTCATTTTATTTTTATTTTATTTCATTTATTACCAAGGATTTGCAGAAAAATACGCTGTCTCTTGACAGCAATTAAGTACTATTGCAGTTCAGCTAACCACTGCAAGCAATTTAATGCCCTTTAGCAGCATTTATAGATGCTGATTCCTAGACAACTCTCCTTTTAAACTTTACATTGCCCACACATGGACTCTCTGGCACTCAGGGAATTCATCAAAATCAAACACTTTCCTCATTCAAAATTTAAACACAAACCATTGGATGAATATTGATGACTGAATGCATGTTATTAATTAGAAATAATCATCGGGAAAAGATAACCACACTTCTATTGAAATTCAATCTCCTTCATGTGTATGTCAGTGACCAAGCAGCTCGCAAAACAGTTTTCAAACTAATTATTCACAGGATGACTTGAAGCTACTCGAGGGAGCTTCAGCTCTCCCATCCTGACCTGCCAATGGAAGGAACACACATTTGTTTGTCACTTTCTTTTCCACTAATCCACACTGCTGGTTATTCATTGTTTAAAGTGCTTACAAATAGCTTGATTAAATTAGGGAAGGGGGAGAATTAATCTGCATAATTTAAATTGTGAATTCCAATCTCCTGTCTTGAAAGGAGGAAACCAACACCTTTTTCTTCCAGAATTTAACATGCCCTTCAGAAGTCTTACGATAATTATTAAGAGCTCCCAAACTGATTCAGCCATTTCTGTAAATATACAGCCAATTAGATAACATCTAAATTATTTAAACTACACAAACCTCTCCTGATTCTTTATGTAAGAGCTTACTTGTTTGTCCATGGTTTAGTTGCATGAGCCGCTGGAAAGCAGCTTTTAGTGAAGACCGAGCAAACAAAAAAGACATCATCACTAGAGATTCCTATTGCCACTTGCTACTCAGTAGATCAGTGCTCTCTTCAGACCTTCTCTTTCTAGTGATGTAGTTTTAGAATAGCTCTTTATACAACATTCCTTTTATCTTCTTTTGCAACTTTCCCCTTGTCGTTTTTATGTCTTTCTAATGCACTTCTCTTAATCTGCTCATGTTTCTCTACACTATATGCTTCACTGTACTTCATATAAATGCACTAATCAGAAGAGGTTCAACTTTTAAATAAATGAAATCAAAGCTCATATTTTGCCACCATTGTTAAATTTTTCAATGAATTAGTCACTAATTGAAATCAAATAGCAAGGAATTTAAAAAAATGAAAGAAAAGCCATGTCACATGATGACTAGAATAGCAAAGAAAGGAAATAGTGATTTTAAGAAGCCTGAGGGACTGGTATCAACATCTGAAACTCATCTCTTCCCAAGGGGGCCAGGGGGGATCTCAACCTGAAAGGAAATCTTGCAGATCCAGAGTCAGGTTCAGTGATTCAAATTCACCAAACCTAAAGTAAGTGACAACACAAGGGCAGTTCCTCTAAAAGATTTCTGTATACTAGGGGAGAACAAGTCTGTTTTCTGTTTGTGGATGACACCTGAAGCAGCTGATAGGACTAATTCAAACCCAACTTGCACAGTTCACAATCCTTACATTATTTCAGAAGTCTTGAGGAAGTTATAATAGAAGAAAAAAACATGGTCTGTGTTCTATCCATGAAGAAAACAAAATAGTGCATTCAGGCGACAAGCTTGACATGACAATTCCATAAGACAGAAACTACCCAAAAACTTAGAAACATAAGAGAAATCCAAATAAGTGTGTTTCCCCTCTACCCACCAGAATGCCTGAAAGGATTTTGTTTATTCCCACTCACCCTGTACATTGAGAGATCAATCCGAAGGGAATTATGAAGCTGGTCCAGAAGCTTCACAAACCGCTCTTTCTGTTGAGCAGAAAACACCAATAAACGTTACATATCATCACTGTCTAATCGATGTTCAGTGTAAGCAGCAGGGTATCAGGGAATTAGTGTCAGATCTCAGGAGAGTGGGAGGAAGCAATATGGATGCATGGTATTGTGCAAACAGTATTTTCTTTTGATTCTTGGATTTACTCTCATACTGTAATTATTTCTGAAGTCTGTGTAACATTAGAATTGTTCATGTGTAACATCAGAAAAATGTTCCATTATCACTCTCAAGCAGAGGCAGAACAAATCCCCCTCTGATTTCTAGCCTGCAATTTGCACCAAACTTATATTTAAGAGAAAATATTTATTCAGAGATGAATAAAGGAACAGGCAGAAAAGGGTCTAATTCAGAGCAATGACACAGCTCCAAGATCTTATCTGCTAGTTCAGTGACAAGTATTACAGGCTTCTCGTGACTATCTTCTCAAGGTCAGGTCTCTCCACTGGATTCTGATCTGGACCGTGAACACCTCCTCATTCAATCTATAAATCCTCAGTCTGAAGAGAAGCATGAGCTTTTCCAAATACTTTTCCAGCAAGCTCAACTCCACCATGTTATATGAAAAACATTTTAACCATTAGGAGGACAGACATATTTTTGGTTTGTATTTTCATAAACCAGTTTCTGTTTTTAAAACAAAGTTCTGAAATGATCAGACCACACAATGTATTTTATCAACAGCATCTCCTGCAGAGTTTAAGACTATTTGCTTATTCCGTACCATCTGTGCTCCAGTATAATTTGAACACAAAGAATAAACATCATAATACATTACATTGATTAATATCTAAAATGCATGGTGATGACAATAAACCCATGCTCTTTGTTTTGTCTAGAAGAGCTGCACAGATTCCAACTCCTCACAGAATTAATATTCTTTATACAGAACTAGTTACGTATTGAGAGGCAGAAGGACCGTAGGCAAATGACAGAAGTTGAATTGTAACATCACCAAACACACTAACATACCCCAAAATTGGAGGCTGCAAACCGGTCCGAAGCAGACACATTCGTGGAGGCAGTGGTGTGCGCATAATAAGCATTGATATTGGCAAGTAAGGTGCTCATCACAGCTGGCACGCCTGGGCACATGTATTTAGAGGAGAGACATGCAAAATGCCTGCAAAAGGACAGCTCTGTAAGTCATTCTGGTCTCTTTCATGTAGCACAACTTGATTCTATCTCTTTAATATTCCCCTTACTCTGGCTGGCATCATGAACAGATGATAGTCATTTCCTCCCTTCCTGTAAATCTGCAGCATCCCAGAGCTATTTCAGAAAGATGCCATCTAGACAACAGATATGCTTGAAACAAGAGGAAATCCCTTCACTACATCCCTTTCCAGATCGTAAAATAGCTTCTCAAGTATTTCTTGCCAACAGCTTGTGACTTAGGTGATACCCTGTGTTCCTAATCCAGTTCCTAGGCTTAAGCTTGACACCATTTGAGGCAGCCACAGGTTCTGAGGTAACATGAGGCAGCAGCAACTGGAAAGCATTAAAGCACAGCGAGATCACCCACTAGTATTTCTGTGCTGCACTGATATGTGATTCCTTAGGGCTAACCCCTTAGCCCGCAGGAAACATGCACACTCATTTGCATTTTCCCATTTAACTGTTCTCATTAAAATGCATGGAACCTTCCTGCAGGAAATACCAAAATTATGCCAGAAGCGGCTGGGCTTGTGAAATGATTAAACAATCAAAGAAAATCTGTTCAACATAAGCAGGGGGGAAATCAGAGTTTAAGAGGTCTGATATTATGGGACATGGCAAGCAAAGTTCATCCCAACAGATAGAAGAGTCGGCATTTTTAAGCAGGAATCCTCACTGAGCTCCCAAAGTAAATCTAGGAACTACTTTCTAAATGTAGCTTTCTCCCTATAGGGCTCACAGAATCACTGAGTAGTTTAGTTTAAAACTGTTACCCCTTCATCTATCACTACAGATGTTCAAAAGTTGTCCCCATATGTCTTCTAAGCCCCATTTAAGCGTTGAAAGACTGCTCTAAGGTCTTCCCAGAGCCTTCTTTTCTCCCAGCTCTCTCAGCCTTTCCTGATAGAAGAGGTGCTTCAGACCTCTGAGGGGTTCCATCCACTGGAATCATCACAGACATTAGCTTCTGTTCTAGTTAACATACAGATGATTATAACCAAAAAAAAGCTCCAGTGAGAGAATTTCTCAGGAATTCACAAATCAGTATTTCAGACAAATATGATACTGATGCCCGAATCTTAACGTGCTTGCTATTGGTAACTGTGTACCAACTGGTCATTAGACACTTGATAAGTAAAGATAAGACATATACAATGGCTTTATTTAGCTTGGAGAGTGGGTGAGGAGTGGGACTCTACTCAATGTCTTGACTACTTAGCAGAGAGGAGAGGGTTAGTGAGAATACTGAGCCAGGACAAAATCCTTTCAGAGGGAAGACTAAAAGATAAGCAGCAATATGAAGCAGTTACAGCACAGGAAATTCAAAACAGGGTTTTCCAATTTGGATTTCAACCACGGATTTCTTCCCCAGAGTAATACAGACATGTGGAGCCCAAAGAGGTGGTGAAAGTCCACCCTTGGGAATTTTCAACAATCTGAAAGAGGCCCTGAACAGTCTGGTGCAACTTCCAATTTAGCCCTGCTATAAGCAAGGACTAGACCTCTGGACCCACCTTCCATTTCTTTTCCACTTTGGCTTAAATCAATAGGCAGAAAAGGTGTTTGCAAGTGACATAATTATAGATTACACTTCACCCAAGGACTCAGATCCCGAGAGCTTCAGCATCTAACATAAAAACTTTCACATTTGTATGTGAAATAACAAAAAAGCAAAGCATAGCACTGCTAGTCTTTAAGAGGAAAAATGGCTAATCCCAAATCCAAGTAAAAATATAGTGAGAAGGAAAATGCTCTTTGAAGATCAGGAACTGCATTAGCCTAGCTCCAAAGAGGACAAATCAGTAGCTCCATTATACAAACTTCCTATAAACGCCTTCAACAGCATCTGGGAAATTAGTGACTTCAAAGGACTTTATCAATTGCCACAACAGACATGTTGGACAAAGACTTTCTCAAAACCTCATCCCTTCTCACATCATTAGAAATCTTCAGTGGGATCCCTGGGCAGTATCTTTTTAACAGAGTGCCCAAATGGAGATTTGAGTCTTAAACCATAAATGGCTCACAACCAAAATTGGTGCAATCCCTTAGAATTAGTTTTAAAGATGTGCATACAAACTGTTCAGACAGATGCTTAATTCCAGCACTTTGTCAGACATTAATTTCTAGGCTTTGAGGAAAGCAGTGATTCAGAAACGGGCAGTCTTTCCCCTTGGACAGTAAGCCCTATAAAAAGCAGCTGTCACTGACAAGCCTTCCATTACCAACACATTTCATCTTATAAATATTAACAGTCACATTAAACAGTTACACCCATTACTCGCCCTAACGACACATGAAATGCATCTTACGTCATGGCCTGGTATATAGATTCAATGCCGTAACGCATTGCGAATTCATCCACTATCTCTTGAGCTGTCTCATCAAAATACACCTTCCAGGCATCATCTCCTTTGGCATCAGGGATCTTCACCACCCCGTTCCCTTGCACGTCTGTGAGATGGTGAAAGAGGTTCTGAAACACAAACAGGATTGAAAGTATATGTGAGGCTGATGAAGCCTTCAAGTTTCATGAAGTTTGGAACTGCTCAGAAGAAGTCAGTCATGCAAATTTCTTTGCTCTCCCACCTCTTTCTTCCCTCCCCTACCCCTTATGTATTTATTTTTTTCTTGAGTTCTCCCAGATGAATTTTTTGCATGTGTACCTACGATTTTACCCATCAGACATTGTGAACGATGCAGAGGAGGTGCATGTGAAAATGCATGAACGATGCATGTGAACGATGCAGAGGAGGTGCTTCAATGCAGTGAAACCACAGACTAGTTTCCTGAAACCTACACACTTCTGTCCTCAGAATGAAATGCCTTAACATGGATGAGCTATTTAAACTAGCTGAAGTAACAGTTCAATATAGGCTTTGTAACTATTATTACACAGCAAAACAGTTCAAACAAATTCTATTTTTTTTTAGAAGGACATCCTTAAGATCACCCCTACCGACTAGACACTTGCATTATTCTTCAACATAACCCTTTATTTTATCTAACACTGCAAAGGCTTTCAGCTATCACTGCTGTGCAGAGCATGCACGTCACTTAGAGATTCATCAGCCTCTCAGACAGCTGGCTCCCTGTAGTAAGGAATACAAAAGTCCAACAATTTTATTAGGAGCTAGAGGATTCTGCTTTACTCTACTGTTTTTCCTGATTAAATTATTCTAGCTGTAAATGATCTCCATATTACGATACACAAATGAAAGAAGGTGATACTTAAAGGAGACCTATTCACAAAAAAAGGAAGAAAGGGATCATGTATGTTCAGAGGGAAAAAAATGAAATGGCTTACCAAGCAGAAGCCATCACTGAATTGAAAAACAATAAATATTTATTGAAGGGCACAACATAGCCAACTAAAAGAAGCCTCCCGATGTTTTTCTAAGCTTCCTATCTGTCTGTTCCCTGGTAAGGCCAGAGGACACAACAGGGCTCATCTAGCCCAACATCTGGATAAATATGTTGTTCTGCAGCTGAACATTCCTCTCTATGATACATCTGTCCTTCTTTTCTAATATGAACTTGCTTAAACCTCACTGGATCTCATGATACTCTTTATGTCAGGTGAAAGGGGCTCTGACTACTCTACCTTATTCAGGCTCTTAAGAGACTGATCCTGCTACCTGCCTTCTCTTTGACAGGGAGACTTTATCATGTCATGGGTCAGCCTGAGACAGGGTTTTCCCTTTAGTCCTTCTCACAAGTCATCTTTGGAGTTTACCCACCTTGTGCAGTACTGCCTGCCCAGCTCAGTCCACCTGAGACAGGTCACTCATCAGTAACCATAGCTTATTTTCTGTTCCCCAACACACACCAGAGCAGCAGCACAGAAGCACCAACACCCACATAACTCAACAGCAAGTGCCAAAGCCCTCCCCAGACCAGGATTTACGCATAAAGTGACAGATAGGTACAGTACATGCTGAAAACATCACTCAAGAAAATTCAGAGGTTTCTCCACATTAAACATGTGGACCAGTGCCATATCTCTGGATACAGCACAGCTGTGACAGTAGAGCAGAGTGAGCCAGCCAGCCCCTGGTGCGGGGGAAACAGCCTAAAGACGTCTCTGCCTCCCTGACAAATGCAGGTCTGATGATTCAGCGTAGTAGGCCTGCATAGCAGGGAAAAGCAAAGCTCATCTAGTGCAAGGAGAAACATTTCAAGGAAGGAAAGGTCAGAACATTGCTTCTTCAAGAGACAGAATGAACATGGTGATGACTGAGCTGAACCCACTTCTTACCTCATGAAGGCAAGTGTACTGAATATGATATGGAGCCACCTTCTCCTCGCCTTTGATCTCCACGCTGATTTGTAGGCGAATAGCCCCAGACACTGCAGACTTATCTGTTCGCTTTTCTAGAAGAAAAAATCACCATCAATTACATGCATTGCTCCTGATCAGAGCAGAGCCATCTTGGGGTGACAACACTGGAAAAAAAACTGCTGGAAGCTCAGGCTGAGCTTGTGATCAGTCACCATGGAGAAAACTTTCTGACTTCTTCTAACATTGGCTATTAAGTAGACATCAGCAAAACAAATGCAGTGTTACACCCTCAATATGCCACATCTAGCTAGAACCATGTACAGTTCTAGATGTAAGAGAGCCTTTCTACCAGCAAATGTGCTATATGGTCTTGGATTCAGTCAGCTGAACTAGAACCACCAAGGACAGTTCCCTTTCCCAAGAACGAGGCTGACGTGGAATTTATTCCTGATTTCACCACAGTCCTTAGCTGCTGGGAACTGCTAGATGTGCCTCTGAAGATTTGGGACCTCCTAAGATTATTACTATATCTGTCAATTCAGCACCATCTGGTTACTTGCCAGTACTTTCTACAGTGTTCTATTTTGGTCACTGGGAAAGGTCTCAACAACTTCCCAATCCAGTGCAATCCACCTTCAGGTCTTACAGACTGTTAAAATGCTTGTGTTGGCACATAAAAAGGCACAGGACAGGAAATGTATCTCCAACACAAATGGAATACAGTCCTGCTCTAAGCATTTTACCCACTGTACTCTTCTATGCCTGACAGGGAAAAATCATCACCCTTCTGACATGTTACACTCCTCACTTTAACTGGGACTAAAGCCTTGGAGCCGCTCTGCAACACCATCATATGCCCCTTGGTATCACGTGAACTTTTCTTCCTTTCCTGCAAATTGTCCATAGGCACCCAAGTGCTCTCAAGCATTCCCAAACTAACACATGATGGGTTTTCATCCCCAAAGCCCTGCTCACCAAGGTTGTACCACACATCCATTTCTCCACTAAGAGTACGGACTTCAATGATTGTCTGCCCCAGGAAATCATCTGACTCGCGCTTCAGTCTCTGCTTGACACGAGATTTGATGTCATCATCTTCATCCCAGACTCGCACCTTGATTCGGTCAGAAGAATTATGGCACTCACTGCAAACAAAACAAACATCACACTGAACAGCACATAATGCAGCTAATGTTTTTATGCTACATGCATCACATTCTACTTGACTCACTTGTCCAACAGCAGAGGGATGCATAAACGAAACGAAAACCATGCCTGGAACGTCTGACAGGAACTACACAACATTTAGGTGTGCTGTAAATGCTCCAGTGACACAGACACTGTACTTCAGATGCAGGCTGAAGAAGCACCCTGCCCTGACTACAACCACCAACTTCAGACTTGCTAAGCATATGTGATTCTCTTGCTCATCCTCACTCTCAGCAGCAGTTCCCTGTACTTGGGAATTCTCTTCATTGTTGTTACTTTTGCCGTGAAGCCCACAAAAGCCTAGTGATAGCTAGGATGGTAAACTCAGCATACACACCCCAAAAATGATGATGAGCATCTCACTGGTTTCTGATAGCTCTCCCCATCAATGATCTTCTGTTCAGCTGTAGGTTTTAAAGGCTACTTGTGTTTATGGATGTGCAGTATCTACGATAGTACGGCCAAGGCCTGTGACAAACACCCTTCATGCTGTTTTCTAATAGAAGATGAATAGCTCACGTGGAGTTAGCTTTCTTGCTTTAAGACAGTCACAAGCAGTAGTGTACAATACATTATGATCAAATTATATAAACATTGGCTGTGCCTGGGAGGAAAGGGTGGGATACAGTAGTTACAGTTGGTATTTAATTACTGGAATTGATTCTGCCTACTATTCACAGCTCAGACTGGTCTGATCTCTGGGCAGATCAGTAAGGACACTTCCATTTCAAAAAAAGCAGTTTACTGCTTGCTGAATCAGCTTAACGCACAGGCAGATTTTGCAGCTTTCCCCCTCTTTTTAGGTGTTAGATACCTTCTGTAGATCCAAACAGGCTCCCACATGTCAGAAGTGGGCAGAAGAAGCTTATTGTAAGAATTCTGCCCACTTACAGAACATGAATAAAATAAAGCAATCTGAATGCTCACAGCCTCTACAAATGTCTGTCCTCAAGGAAATAAAACCTATGAAAAGAGGCAACTTGTGCTGAAGGCCTGTTTTCCAGCCTTTTTAACATTAACATGCTGCATCTGTTGCTAAGCAACAGGGAGAAGGAAGAAATGGGTCAGAAGAGATTTGCTAAGTCTGGTCAGTAAGATGTGGCAGCGACTGGTATTTGCATGATCTCTAACTAGAAATTATTTGGGCTCCTACTGCCATTATTGTAATTCAGGGCTGCTTAACAGACATCCATGCAGCTACTATTGATTTTTCCAGTAGAGAAGAATAGCTGCGAATTAATCAAAGAAAGTTAGAGGCAATTGCATGCAACTCCAATCACAGGCAGAAAGCACCGCTGCTCCCTGCCTTTGCTGTACAATCAAAGCTCTATTTAGAGATCAGAAGAATGAAGGTTCAATAGTTCTCTCTTGCCTTTATTCTCCCCTTCCTCCTCTTCTACTTCAAGGGTATCTTCCTTTAACAAAACCATGCAGAAAGTGTTTACAAGCAGTGAACACTTGGGCTGCTGCTCTTTGCAGTTCCCTAATTTATCTGAGCCCAGTGCCAGATCTACCAGCAACACAGCATAAGCATGTGTTGAAAACCTCTGTTCCTGACACGGTGCACTAACATACATCATGTCAGTACCTCAGAGGTTCAGTGTTCAGAAGGTCATGGGTGCCTAAGAACACAGAATGGCACACATGCCATTTACAAATCACCCGGTTTCTTCAGACCTCACCTCTGGCACACATGTTCTTTGTCAGGACTTCTCTGATCTTGTTTCTTTGCCACCGTGGATTGAAATGTCTCTTTCTTTTAGGAAAACATTCACTGTTTAGACCTAAATCTACCTTAGCCAGTTCCATGTGCATGATACCAGGCTCATGGAGTGCTGGCTACCACCCTTCACTTGGCTAGAATAGCATAACTCACTGTTGAGTCCTACAGGAAACTTTCCAGTAGCATCTACTGAGCAATGGAAGCTTATATTTTACCACACCTTTCCTTATGTTTTTTAAAGACACTGCTCAATTCATATTCCTTGTGCTGCTCCCATGCCAGACAGTGAGTCTTATCACTGGCTCACAGCAGCTGAAAGCCTTGTGCTGGTTGCTTACCCATAAAATATCACCATCTACATCTGTAGGAAACATAAACCTTTTGGTGAAGCAAACAGTTATGTCAACACCAGATCTCCTTCCAGAGAGCACCCCAAAACAGAACCATCAATACTAGAGGACTTGGGCTTGATGACTGATTACAGGCTAGCTAATGGGAACTAGCCTCCAATCTGTAGCAGCATCACGATACTGACAGACTGTGGCTAACAAGCCCTGCTGCTAGAAACTTTCCTCTTCATTTATACAGGAGCTGGAACATTTCTAAAGATGCCTGCCCCACTTCTTTCTACAATCCTGTGAAGCTCGATGTCACTGTGTGCACACATACTTCTGTCCCGTCTCCCACGGCCGAGCTCCCACAGCTTTCCCAAGAGGATGCAAAGAGAAGAATCACTCTGTGACCCCATTGTAAAGAAGAAAATACCAAATGCTTTCAGGCCTATTTCAGAGTGCAAGAGACTGGAAACCAGGTTCCCTTTGTACACGGCTCAGAAATTGTCTCTTTTATGTCCATATTGTCCTGATGTCTGTATTGGTGCCATTTTTATAAGGAGCTTACTTCTACACTTCAAGCTACCAAATAGAATGACAACTTCAAGAAGAAGCATATCAAATATTCAAGAAAACTTAAAATCAAATAAATTGTGGAGTTGTTTTTTTCTTTTTCATGAAGTTTTTCTGCCTGAAGCCAGTGGTTCCCAGAGCAGCGGAAGTACCTGAGCCTCGTTCTGCTGACTTTCTCTCTATGCTACTCTCTACCTCCACCTCTTCTGCCACGCTCCCCTATGGCCTCATCCAACCCCAAACCACCAGTTCCCCACACACGTCCCCTGCACTGTCAATACTCTGGCCTCCTCCCATGCCCAGTTATCAGCTGGGCTGAGGGGAAGCACGCGAGCACACGAAGCTGTAGTTAATTCTGGTCTGCTCACACAGCAGCATACCCACACACATGCTAATTGGTATATTGGTGGCTAAACAGAACAAGCAACTGCTGAATTTACACTATAGTGCCTCCCACAATGAAGTTAGCAAGTTTACCCTTCTAATCTAGCTCCAACTTCCACCAAAAGAATTGTAGAAAGCAATTCTTACTTCCGAGACCTCTCCCCATCTGTAAATAAAAAGACATTTGTGCTGAATCTGCTAATAATTTGCTGTTTGTACGAACAACTTTGCAGCATTGTCACTTAACCTTCACAGGAACACTAAAGCCAAAGTCATAAGCCTTGTTAGACTGTGTCAAAGTTAGTATCTCTAACAGCAGAACCTTTGTAAAGGTATACTATAAAACCATGTGCCCATCAGTTCACAAAACAATCTTTACGTGCAGTAAAGATCACAAGTTTAAAGCATGGAGAGTGCCAAATTGAAAACCTGTAATCTTCTGTCTCCATTAGTTCACGTTTGTGAACCTACACTCATGAAGACAGTCTGGTAAATAATTGGAAGGTTTAAAGTCCATTTGTATGCTATCCACATGGACATCTCTTCGCAATCGATTTTTCATCTCAACACATATGTTAGTAACACGCTGACCCTGCAGGACTCCCCAGACCCTCGGCTTCATTCCATTAATGCTGTGCAGAGACCTAGACTGTGCACTTCTAAAATGCATTGTTCAGACTAGAGAGGTGGAATGTCTACACAGAGTCACAGACTGATTAAGTTGGAAGGGGCCTTAAAGCTCATCCAGTTCCAACCCCTGCCATGGGCAGGGACATCTTCCACTAGAGCAGGTTGCTCCAAGCCCCTGTGTCCAACCTGGCCTTGAACACTGCCAGGGATGGGGCAGCCACAGCTTCTCTGGGCAACCTGTGCCAGTGCCTCAGCAGCCTCACAGGGAAGAACTTCCTAATACCTAATCCCTATCACTCTATGTGGCCATTTTATATAAAGATGTTTCCTTAAATTATGTTGTTTTCTTCTATTTTCTGCCTGAAGAGCAGCAGAGACCAGAGGCCCCTTATGCAGCCAGGAGTCCACTGTGTTTGGCAGCTCCCAAAGTGGAAGACAGCCCCTGCCTTGTACAGCAGACAGGCTAATAAGGACAAAAAGCAGTAAGAAGATGTAACAAGAATAAACAATGGAAGTTAGGGACCAGAGGAAGCAACAATATTTTGCAGATTTGAAAGCATGTCAGTCAAGCCCAAAATTAAGTAGTTTTGCTGTGTTTTGATGCAACAACAAATATTTATGGTGTGAAAAGTCTACTGAATATATATATGGCCATATTCTGTAAGAAGTTTCCCTTCCGCACCACAGCAGATGCAGCTCTCCAGAAGGGCCTGTAAAGTTCACAGTCCAGTGCAAGGGACGTTTCATGCAATGGTAGAGAAAGAAAGAGCAGGGCTGCTTGCAGAAATAATGGGTGAGATTGCAGGAGGTGGGAAAAGGCACAGGAGAGAACAGATTAGCAAGGCTTCAGGGCCTTGGATCATTTTAGAAGGAAACTTTTGCTTCTGAGTAAAAAAGCTTAAAAAAAAAAAAAGTTATTTTCTGAAAAATGAGAAAAAGCTACAGTTGTAGGAACCACTTTGAGAAAGCTTAGTAAAGAGTTATAACAACATACACAGAAGGAGCAGGAAAAAAGTTCCCTATGGGAAATGGCCTGGCTGAAAAAGCAGGAGGATTTGGATGTGGTTCAGATTGAAGGGTCCAACTGGCAGCTCTGTTGTGGCCAACTTCAATGGGAGCGGAAGGCAGGAAACTCCTCAGGACAGGTTAATTTTTAAACAATACCAAGACTCTTCTATTAGTGAGAAAAAAGGACAGTAGGGAGAACACCAAAGGCAAAATCAAAGTGGTAAGAGAACAAAGCTAAAATCCTTAGTAGCTTAGACATATGCCCTGAGATCCAGGTGTTGCTGTCTAAGAACAAAGAAACGAGTTTTCTGTTCTAAGTAGCATGAAGCTCTTTTCTTAGGGGAACAAGTACAATCATTTTGCTGTAACCCAATGCTACAACACCAGCTGACAAATTAATGGTGCGGCTCTCCTAACTACAAAGAGCAGATAAAGTGATTCTGAGCGTTACATCCTTAGCTACATTAACTCAGCTTCCTAACAGGTGCTTGCCACAAGGCATCAACTCTGCGTGCAAATTTAGGTTTGACATCGGTAGCTGAGCAGAGAAACACAATTGGGATTTTACCAGTGCCAGTTTCAGAACCCGCAGTACCTGGAGAAGCAAGCAAGAAAGACAAACTGAATGGCTCCTGCCATGCAGTGAAGGGAAGTAGAGGAGAGAGACAGTGACATTTATAAACACAGTGGTCCCAGAAGGGGTAGTATAAAATACAGCTCTAGAACAGACATATATAACCACAGAGAAAACCGAAAGATGCCAAGCGTGACAACAGCTGAAAGAAAACCCGAGGAACTGAAGCTTGTGAGTGACAACCCACTGGTTAGCTGTGCAATAGCACCATTCCCAAAGGATTAACAGGAATGTGTATCATGTGGGGCTCTGCATGTCCTAGTAAAATTGATTATCTGCTAGCAGGAGGCACCACATGTATTTTAACTCAGTTACTCTTCTTAGTCAGAGAGAATAAACATGCTCGTTGCAAACTGTTCAGTGACGATGTAATCTGTTCCAGGCAGTGATTTCACACCCACCATTCAAAGCTTCAGACACAGCTGCACTCAGACCATACAACTTCAAAGAGATATTACTGTAAAACAAACGAGTCATTCGGCACCTAGGCCAAGAAAAACAGCAGTGTCCTGTTTGAATCCAGGACCTTCTACTGTTCACAGTCATTAAAGACTGGGCACTTCCTGAATAAAAGGTACAGACTATCAGCCTCCAAACAAGCTATTTAAAAGAACTCTTCCTTTAAAATGGAAACTGTCCTGCGGTCGAGTTTATTCTCCCTAAATACTGTCTCCTATTGTAACCCAATGGATGCTCAGCTTCAGCCTTCACAAAGGATTCTAGGAAGCCTGTAATTTCTGAGTCTAAAACATGTCTAAAGAGGGAATGTCCCATTCCAACCACACTGAACAGTGAAAAAAAATAATACCTTGCATCTAGTATTACTGGGCTGTTTCCTAAGGAAATGAAGTTCTGTAGATTTGTTATGAAAGCTTCAATGTTCCAACAAGTTTTGTGTGAGGAGAATCCCATACCAGCTGCCATCCCTGGAAAGCCTGCAGCCACCTGATTCTTATGTACCAACCAATGTAGTCAACTCGGAACCAACTGCAGGCAGGACACGTGCTGTCTTCTGTCCCACCAGAGTTACAGGCTAGAGAAGAGACTTGAGGGCACAGAGGAGAGGTGCACATGGCAAGTGAAGGAGGCCACCCATAAGCCTGCTCATCATAACGATAGGAATGATGAAGGAAAGGGATCGGCATGTAAAGCCAAGGGAAGCAGGGCTTCCTTAGTGCATACTGATAGAACATCTCTTCCACCAGTGCCTGGAGCCCCTCGTTAATCCTCATCCTACCAAGCATCCCACTCGATGCAGTCTCTGCAGCAAGCCTGCAAAACTTTGATCTGAAAGATCAGAACTAAGCAGAAAGACCACCCCTTTATGTTTTCCTAAGTCTTCAAGCTCCAATGAAAGATACAAATATTTCTAATGATATACTTCCAAAAGCTGAAAATGTAAGTATACAAAGATCATTTTCACAAAGAAACAGGACCTGCAAACCACTTGCCCAGACAACATGAATAAGCTCCAAGAACCAGTCATTAGTCAGCAGATGCCTACAGTTACACAGGCTAGTAATGACCTAAATAGCATCTATAATGGAAACCCGAAGTGTTTTCAACCTTGCCTTTTTTAAAATATGGATCTAAATGTGGACTTTCGAATTGGGTCAAGCCTACCAAATATTTTTTTCTGAAAATACATAGAAAAGGAACACAGTCATATTTAAGGAAAAGTATTTAAGTTAATACACTTTTCCATCCATCACTGTAAATAAATACAGAGAAACTATTTGAAATAGGCTACTGCAGCCTCAGAATTTTTAAACCTTATTTAAGCTGCTTTTAATAAACTTTACTGAGCCTGTAGAAGGAATTTACCACTCAGCTGTGCACAGTCTGCCTCAATTCATGCCATGGATTACAACAATAATGCTATAATTATCATGACTGATGCACACAGATTTCTGGCTCTATATCCAACCTTTTAAAAGACACTGAAATCGTGATCGTATAAAAGACACTGGGCATCTAATGAGCACCAGCTACAAACAAGTCTCTCCACCAAGCCAAACAGAAAAGGAACAGCAATTTCTAACACACACATTAGTTACTGACCTGACCTCTATCTACCCACATATCTCTTCCACTCATTGAAATACTTAAGCATTTTGAACACCAGGCTTTTCACATGTCTACCACAAGGCAGGCTTTCAATAACTACCAGCACACATTTCTCTCACTATAACAAATTAACTTCATTCTAAGAATCAAACACACACACACCCCTTTAAATTTTACAATCTCTTGATTGTCCTGACAACCTCTAAAAAAAGCTTAGTATGTAATGGGTATTTTGGGGCCTGCATATGCGATTTCCATCTAATTATGGGGTAGAAAAATTCAGAAATTTTAGGAGTTGTAGGCTGAAAAAAGAGCCATAAATGTAAAAAAGGAAGATGGGCGTGTAAAAGATAGGTGCTGAATACACGTCTAACTGACTCTCCTCATCCAGCATAAGGTGAGCTTTGACACCAAGTAACAAAACAACACATTGACTCCAGTACTGAACGGAACCAATCCTGCCATCAATCTGGACACCGTGCTCATTTCCTTCGTCACCTCCTGCTATTCCAAGGCAATTAGAACAACAACCTAGACACAGGCATGAAAGAAAGCAGCATCAACTCGCATCAACTCTTAATGCCCAACAGCATATTATCTGCTGAATCACAGACATGGCAGTAAGATCTAAACAGTGGCACCGTTAAAACTGTGACATTTATCACATTGTGCTATCTATCTTTAAACACAGTATTTGTTGAAGCTCCTAAAATTAGAAGGGAACACACTGCAAATACCATGGTAACTACTTGGCACGGCAAATCAAGGTCCTTAAGGCTCCCACTTAGACTTACTGCTATTGTGACTGGAGTTATCCAAATGGTACCTAAGCATACTTACTACTTACCAAGCAGTAATGTTACCTTGGATTAAACTAAGAATAAAGTCAAGGGGTTACTCCCTCAAAACAGCACCAATTTCTGACGTTAATGAACAGTTCAAAACTACTTTAAAAATAATTTTGTTTTTACTGTACATTGTAAATACAAAACTGGGCTGATATAAGCCCATTTTATAACACAAACAAATTTCAGTTTGTACAGACAGCTCCCCCAAGCAGTTTAGGAATTAAAAAAAGGGAAAAGAGAGAAGATACAAGGGAAGAGCTCACATGTTCAAGGAAATAAAGATCTTTGAGGTTAAATGAGATCACCCAGAATCTTTAGAAAATGCTTGCTGGATTTCATGTCTCCACTTTGCTTTATAACATGTTCAATGATAAATTGAGGGCATTGTTTACTTATTCAATAAAAGCAGGATAGAATAATACATTCTTCAGTGTTCCAAGAGTAGTTGATACATACAGAATTGCGCCTACGGCCTTTGCTTTCAATTCAGACAGGGATGCATTGCTCATCTTGAAAGCAGATAATCCCTTGATTTACTGCTACATTGATTTTCTGGAGCTGAAAAGGGAGACTGGTAGTGCCACAGCCAAGTAATCAGACAACTATCTTTAACCTCAAACAGGAACAGCAGATCACAGCAGTAAGTCACAGGAAGTTTGCTTAGTCTTTTTTACAAACATTACTCCTTTATATTTCAAAGTATTTTGAAAGTATGTCTATTTAGCAGACACAAAAGTCACTGAGTTAAAGATTTTCCTTTCTCTTTAGCTTTCTCTAAAAACATCAATATAAAACTGTTCACAGAGCAAATGATTTATAAATACAGAAGACAGATGAGACAGACAGGTGTGCACTATGTACATTGTTAGAGACATCAGCCCTCCAGTTGCACACACACAGTGAAATAAAAACCATCGTACATTACAGATAATAAAGGAACACACACTGACAGAGAAGACACAGATTATACGGACACACAGAATGGGGCTGAGAGTCATTGTAAGAGCACTTACAAGTAAAACTTCTCTTCCCATACAGGGTTCAGATTCCCAAAAATCGTTTTTGTCCTCTTCTTTGTTTTACCCACTTGAACGGTTACATACGGATCGCTGGACCCAGTCTTGTCTTTAGCCTGCAGACCCTGAGCACACACCACTGGAAGGAAAAAACAAGAGTTACCACCACCACGCAACAAGACAATGTGCAAACACATGACACAGCAGCTCAGAAGGACCAGAGGAATAGGAATATCACTTATGAGAGCTTTTCTGATGATCTGCAGCTCACAGTGCACTACAGTGCATGTGTTAGGAGTACCTCCACCTGATACCGTACATGGAGCAGAAATAGACACAGGTGAGAGAAGCCTCTTCTGTTTTCTCTAGCTTCACACCAGCTCCCTCTTACTTTTGGCTCCCAAGTGAGGCCAAGAGAACCCATATGCATCCATCACTCACCTGTGATAGTGATCTTTGCTGACCATTTTGAGGTGCCATCAAGCACGCTCTGCTTCACTGTCTTCATCTGCTGAGCATGTGTCAATTTGCTCTCACAGAACACATCTCTAATCAAGTCAAAGATCTCTGGCTTGTTCCGCTCCCGGATTTTCATGCGATCCTTCATTGCCATGATGAAATTCTGCGTTCGGTCTTCAGCTCCATGCTTCGAGCTCTTCTCTGCTGCTCCTGTGCACCAGAAAACACACAATACTCATTGGAAAGAGCCAAAGACCAACTCATGTTTCACTGAATCTGAATGGAAGATCAAAGCCATGAGTTACCCTCCTCATGATGGCTCTTGCTGTTAACTTTTACAGTTAAGAATCCCCCCCTTTCAACATACATACCAGAGAATCTGGACCACTCAGTGCTGTGAGGGGATAATACAAGGGAAGAGATAGAAGAGATAACAGAAGGGATAACAGAACAGAAGAAGGCCCAGATCCTTCTATAACCTGGGACCAAGTTCTCTACTGACAACAGGCCTGAGTTTAATACCCTTGCAGCTGAGGAAGACCCAGAAATACGGTTCTTTAACAGCAAACATCAGGGTGCCTTCTTCTCTTAACACCTGGCTTTGAATACATAAATTCCTGCTTGGCAAGTGCTAAGAAGATGACATAGGAACTCCAGTACGAATAGTAACTATGAACTTGTCCCAATACTGCACCTCAGCACCATGAGAGAGCATACGTTCAGATGGGCCAACACGGTCAGCATTTCCTGCTGATGGGTGCTGCATGACTCCCCATTCAGCAGAGAGTTACTGTACAATCTATGTCCCATTCTGCCTGGAGCCACCTTGTTTGGATCAGACACCAAGCCAGAGACATAATAACAAATAAATATAAGGTAGCAAATTCAACAGTTAAAAACTTTGCCCACCATAAGCACCAGTAGAGTATCCAGTTGGAAATACAAGAGCCAAGCATAGGGTCTGTACTATGTAGGTAGCCAACTGTATGTGGAAAGAGAGGTCTCTGGTCACTTGCATACCTCTCACAACATTTAGAGTTCATATAAGCAGGATGTAAGAATGCTCCCCCAACCAGCTACTCCCTACTCAATTCATACAGTCATGTTTTATGTCAGAATTCAGCCACTGAGAGCTAATGAAAGCACTGACATGAGCTAACAGGGCAGACAAACTCGGGTACGAAATGAAAAGCAGGAACCCAAGGTTGCACACAGTGTCTCTACACGCAATCTGCAGCAATTTCAAGCTATGATCTTAAATCAGATTAAGTTAAACCAGTATAAATGTTCTGTGAACACATTTGATCACAATTATTTCTGTTTAGTTTCATATGTTTTTGCTTGTTTTCCTTCTCTGGGATAGTTTAATTAAAGTATGCTTTTTCCTAGAAAAATTATCTCCATCCAGGTGTTCACCAAGTATTACATCACCTTAAAAATCTGTATTGAAGCATGTGCAAGTGTGTACAAAGAGAGACATCAATCACAAAGATACATAAAGCTGTCTTCTTTTGGAAGAAATGGGCAATATGATATCTGCAATACCTTTAATGTAAGTTTTGCATATTAAACAGTTTCAGCATGTAATGACCAAATATGAATAAAGGTCTATGAACACAGATAAAGGACCCCCAGCAGTACAACATAACAGGCAACCTTGTTATCAGGCTCAAAAGGGTGCCCAGTGACTAACGGTGCCTGAAGACATCTATTTCTAGGACCTTCAATCTAACACCTTTCATCGTTACTAAATTCACTTCAAATAAAGAAACAAAACTCAATTATAACTTCCACCATCCAAACCAAAAAGAAAAAAAAAAACCCAAAACCACAGTTTGGAACAGGCTGTGACCATTGAAGTTTCAGAAGTTCATTAAGGACACTGCACACTCATGCATGCTGTTAAAGACCCGGGTATAAAATAAGCCATAACTTCACATTACCTGATTCTTCCTTTCATTTTACTTGCTAAAGGCTTGATGTTCAGTATTTCATTTAGTACAATAAAATGTATCTGCCCCAGAGTTGCCTATTGTTGGCTTAAGATGAAATAAAAATACTGGAATTAATTACACAGTCCCTGCTGTCTCTACTTACCGGTGATGAAGAACCAGCACCACCCAAAGTGATGTCTTGTATCAGGCAATCATCCAGCTGTAGACCCAACATTTATTAAAGGAATGGGAAACTGAAATGATACCAGGGGCTATACTTTGAACTTTAGATAAGAAGTGCTATTCAGCTTTAACAGAACTAGGTCTTCTAGGGATGGAGGTGGACTCTGAATTACACACAGAACTACAGAAAATTGTTGGGAAATCAGGAAAGGCCAAGCTAAATAATTTGCCTTTCCTAGCTGGAATTCTGTGATCTGTCATGATCCAAATACACCAACTCTGCCCTGACCTTTGTGACTCTAAGAAAATTAGGAATTCAGACATTAAGAGCTTATGATGGTGCATGAGCAGAACCATCTTCTAAATAACTTCAGAACCATTTTCTAAACAACTTACTAGACAACCAGCTTGCAAATACAGATGTTTCATTGCTCATTACTGAGATGGAACAGGACTCGCCACTTCTGGGATAACATGGGCTGCATTACGGCCTTAATGCAAGCACTCCAGGAGCATCAAATGATGCTTTAGAACACAAACTTGGGCAAATAGAGGAATTGTAGTTAAAATGATAATTAACATCCCCACCACCTCCAGAGACTTTGCGTTGTGCATGTGTCCCTCTCTGAGGTTAGCAGCAGCTCCTGGCATGTGCGGTTGTAGGATGTGCAAACCATGTCACATAGACCCCAAGGGATTCCTCTCTTTATTCAGCTCTAAGGCTTGGCTCTGCCTCCTGACTTTCAGAGGAAAGCCCCCCACCTCCATCCATGCTTCTTCCCCACTTTGCTCTGACAACTTGCATGGACAAGGCTCCATTATTCCTTCCCTGAGGAAGGTCTCTCTCCCTGTGGAGTCTGCACCTGAACTGCAGTGGAAGAGCCAGAATCAGGCAGACACCTTGATCAGCAATACAGACTAATAAAGAACAGAGAAACTCTCTGTCTCAATAGTACACTCTTAACTTTAACACCTGCTTGTTGGTACAAAACGCCCAGGGATTCCAGAACATCCACTGGGGGACTAATTACCTATGATGTATGTGATATAAACCCAAAGCATGTCACTATACTGGATAGCAGAGGGTGCTTTTCCTGCTGCTGGACCTGGATCCTATTCATCCCCCTACAAAAAGAGGGGTTTGGACAGCAGATCAGCTTTTCCTGTAGTCCTGTAAATGGCAACAGAAAGGCATGGGAATATAGAAGTACTGCGTACAGCATCATAGAAATGGTACTGTGCTTTCCTTCTCTTTTCTCTAGGCCTGAATTATAAGTCAATTTATGACTGGAAACAGAAAGCAAACATATCTATATTGAGAACTGTATCAATACAGATATTAGTAAACTACCAGCACTGCTATCCTGTGCTTTAACAGGAAAAAGTCAAGAAAGCAACACTGGCAGGATAGAAGACAGCTGTTCAGTAGGTGGATAATGCTTAGAAATTATATATTCTTGAAACTTAAAATAGATATTCAAGTTTCAAATAAAGGTATCCTTCCTCCTTCTGTGCAAATATTTTCCTGCATAGGATTCTGGGAGCAAACAAGTGTTCATCACCATGATGCCTAATCATCACTTAACACAGAAGCCAAGATGATTATCACCAGAGTGGCTTATTTGATCTCACTAAAAGTCCACTCACTAAGCTGGTCTCTGAATTGCAGTCTTTTAATTCAGAGTACCACACCCAAAAGTTTCTTACCCAAAAAGCAGTAAACATACCTGACTTCCACTCTTGAGTCAAAAGCACTGAACAACTCCAGAGGTGAACCAAGACCATAGGTGCAGTACTGAAAGCAGGACATTCAGCAATGCAGCTCTAACAGCTCGTGTGAAGTTCTCCAAGGTTTGTTGCTCCACCATAGCATAAAGAAGCACTAATAAAGACATGTGGCTAATCACACTTACAACACAGATTTTCAGTTCAACAATGGTTTAAAGCTTGAGATCTTAGTTCCCCATTGTCAAGATATCTGGAAGACAGGATTCTGATGTCCCAGGGCAGTTTCTTTTCTCAGGTTTACCTGTGGCTTTTCAAACGCTAGAACTGAACTGTACACGTCCCTTTTACTAGGATTATGCTAACATAATGTCCTTCCCTTCCATCATCTTCATAATTATGTTTATTTTTCTACATCTGTTCCCTGGTATCCAAAGCATGCATCTGTTGAGATCAACACTGCCCAACCCATTGTATTTTAGTTGGTACTACACCAGTGCACAGGGCAAGGGATAAAAGCTCTGTGTTTTCAACAGCTTTGTGTTCTGGACTTTAAGGACCGTCCCACCATCCAGTTTCAACCAAGCAAGAAAGGAAGTGCATCTATGCAGCAGAGCCTTTGAGTACTTCCAAGAACAGCAGAAGGCTAAAAAGGTGAGCATCCCATCATTAGATTAATATCTTCTAAGTACCTACATTAGAGAAACATCCTCAGAGAAACAAGCTTTTGCCCACAGAGCCATAAACCAGATGGCTGCAGTACACACACCATAGCATATTCCAGTTTACTGCACTGCAGGCACTGCCAATTCATGGAATTGCTGAATCAGTCTGCAAATGGATTTTGATTCAAATTGTAACAACGCATCGCTGAATTTGAGTGTTTCATCACTGCAGTCCCATAGATTTGTTGACTGTATCAGATACTCAAGTTTCTTCAAAACGCAGGGGTTAAGAAAAAACACCCTCATAAGAAATAACCAGACTCAATTCTAACAGAATTTGGAAAAGAGGTCCTTTTATCAATCTTGGAAAGGCACTGAAGGATAGAAGATGGATAAACTGCACATCCTGATTATAAGGAATAAAACCCCAGGTGCCTGCCCAAAATTTTAAGGCATTAAGACAATGGTACTGTATTTGTGACCAACCTGAAGATTCATTTTACTCCAATGCAACATATTCTGGAAGACTTACACAGACTGAAGTGAAGATATATCCTGAGGCATCCAGGTTTAATCAATAGATTTGTATTTGTTACCAGCCTGAAAATTCCTTTTATTTCAATGTAATGTTTTGTGGAAACCTCAAATGGACCTAATGAAGACATCCTGAGAATGTTGTTTGTGTGGGGTTTTTTACTGACAGCAGCAATAAAGCTTTCTGTTAGGAAAAAATCCCTTCTGAGTTCAGTATACTGAAAGTTCAGTCTTGAATTTACTGGATCTCTAAACTGTTGCTTGTTCCCCAGAAACCCCGTGTCTCTCATTCCTCAAGCACAGCCCATGTCCTCAAAACATGTAAAAATTAAAATAAGTTTTTCTATTTTCTTCTGGCCTGGTTAGAAGGATTTTAGCATGAGCATGCCAACGCAAAGAACACAGCTGCTTGGAAAAGCCTTTTAATAGATTTCTAGTATCAATAACATGTTTTTCCAGCCCAGAAATATATCCACATATTGGTCCCACCATCATCTCAATTCCCCAGCACTATCTTTCCTTGGGCCTCTCTGTCTTAATTACCCAGCTACTACCCTCAGTTTCTTTGACATCTCTACCCCAGATACTGATACCCACCACACACACTCTGGATACCCCACCGACCCCTGGCTCAGAGTCATTGTATCTTCCCTGTTCTGACGGTGGGCAGCTTTAAAATAACTCCGTAAGTAACATTTCTGTTTGGTTTTTGCATGCTTCACAATTTTTGATCCCAGTGTACTCTCAGCTGTTTCCTTTAAGTTTCTCTAACTCTGGACACCGAAGTCCCTTGTGTTTTCGTTATGAAAGGCAACGTGCTAAGCAAACATCTGTAATCCGCTGAACCAAAACCTGAGTTCTTATCTAATGCTTTACTATCCTGAGAAAGAGAGTAATTTCCAGTTGTTACTTCTATCCCATACAAAAGTGCTGACTTCTGCCATCATCACATCCCATATCCCATTGCACAAGTTTATGTAATTCCAACCAGAGTTTAGAAAACCTGCCCCCATGGTTATTCTTCACAGGCTGTTCCAGAAACTCTCTGTTCCCATAGGTGAAGTTTTCTTTTACTTCTAACCTTTAATTTTCTTGCAGCAAATTTATTTTTTCTTCTGTAAACAGTAAGCTCAAACAGACCATCTCCCTCCCTGCTGTTTATCTCCCTCTTCCTCAACATAGTTCAGGCACAAACAGGTTCAAACAAGTATTAAACCAATTCACAGAGCCATCACTGTCACCTGTTAAACGTAAGAACTACTGTTCAGAAAGGCTTTAGGCCATGGATAGCTATAAGCAAGTGTTAGCCAGAGCCATGTGAGATCCACATGCACATGTCTTACACTTCGGCCTCGGGGTCCACAACATCCCTTTAGAAATATTCTACTGAGACAGACCTGACAAGACTATTCTCTGTTTTTACTTTTTTCAGGCAGCATCGTTCCCACCCCTCTCCTGTTTCACGCTGCCAAGCCTCTTTTGAAAGATTAACAAACTCCTACCACCCTCTATCAAAACATTGTCATATTTTCTCCATTACCACTGAACTTTCTCCAGGATCCATCCCTGTCTGGAGTCTCCCTTCTTGAGCATGGACCACCACAGTTGTCCATCGCAGGAATATAGTTTCTCCTAGCCATTAGCTATTTCTAAAATCAGTTTTTCTTCTATTGTTTTTAACTTCATGACCTCTGCTCTGCACAACAGCTTTGTGCCTGTTTCCTCACTGCTGCTGCTGCTGCAAATCTAATTTTCCTCTGATTTGTATAGCATTTTCCCCATCCTGAGATATCACAATTTCATTTCAATATTGTCACATTACGGACATGCATGCCTGGATGTAAACGTCAGCAGCTGTTCATCTCAAATACTGAAAATCACCAGTTAGCAGAGGGTTCTGGTAAAATCTAGAAACAAATGAAGTTATCCTCAGTCTAAGCGACCCTCTTCATCAAGTTGTGTTAAAAAAATTAGAACCAAATGCAACACAGCAGCTCTTTGCTTAGTCATAAAAAGGTCGCAACAGAGCCAAAGTGGCAATGATGCAGTTGCCTGAGTGCTGTAAACTGTAAAGATCACTTTGCAACCCTCAAAGACATCCAGAAACACTGAGCAACTGAGGAACAGAGATTTTTCACCAGTATCAGCTGTGCTTGACAAGTAAGCCATTGCAAATAGCCCCTAACTACACTGATTTAAAACTCTGCTCATACCAAAACCACAAGCATAAAAATATCCATTTGGGGTTTTAAGATAAGCCATAAGAGAAAAAACAACATGGGTACCCCTTGCTGGATCATCCAGCCTGGTTTTCCTGAGCAGCTAGAGCCTCAGGCAGATACAAGATCTGACTGTTTATATTCCTGTAATTGCTGACATGGATTTGCAATAGATCTGTTTGTATTTTACAAGCTTTTCTGATTTCTTAGACATAGTCCATCAAGCTATAATGCTAAGAAAATCCAGAGAGAACAGAAACAGCCCCACATTCCTACTCAAGATTTAGCACATATGGCAGAAATTTATATTCCATTTAGACTGAGATATTTTGCTCTCAAGCAAGAACATGAATTTGAGACCAAATTAAGAAACTTCTTTTAAGCAAATAAAAATAACTGGGTCCAGGCAGATGCCTAAATTAATAATTTTTACCTCTTTATTTTTTTAATTTCTTTAATCAAATTCCTTTTAAAATTCTCCATTGTTTGTATAAGGTCTCATTTATTCTGCAAAGTGCCAGCTCTTTGAAGAGCTCTTCTGTAAAGAAAGGGCTTAGGTGCTGAACACTGCAGGAAAAAAAAAGAAACAACAAAATAAATAGAAATTCTAGTAGAAAAATAAAATGCTGTCCATATGCTCGAACAACAACACCTCTGCTGACTCAGACCCAGGTCTACAAAGTGATTCAGCCATGAGACCTTACTGTTAAAAAGACAAAATGCCTTCCCAACCTGCATTTGGCACAGAGAATCCAAGCTAAGTCGATGGACTCTTATTGTCTAAGCAGGAACCCAGTGCTGCTCTTCAGAGCTTAGTGTAACAGACTGATGGTTGCAACAAGCAACCTGACAAGGATACCAGCACAGAAGGGGCAGAACTAAAGTCAGAGTATTCAGCCTAGTACCTTGTTTACGCACTGCCTCTCTTCCAAGCAGGCTATGTCAGCAAACATACCATTTGAACTGATACAAGAGAAATTAGAAGTTACATGGGTTATAACAAAGAGAGTGAAAAGTCAAGAATTAAACCTTCTTTTAAAACACACCAAGCACAATGCTGTAAAGAAGTTCTTCTGTGTCAGTGCAGCTGCCTACGGCCACAGGGCAGTGGGGGTAGGTTTAGCCCAATGACACCTCCACAGAAAATACAGTCATGTAAACAAATGCAGCTTCTCTTATCACTGAGGAATCACTTATACACTTAGAAAAGCTCTGGTCACACTTTTGGAACAGCCGCACTCCACTGGACACTACTCACTCTGTAAGCAGTCAGCGTTGAGCAAGTCTTGGCACTTCTCATGGCACTTGACTCCACATTCTCCACAGCGCATTCCCTGCCGTGCAATACCCCACAGCAGCCCCTCACATTCGTAGCAGTAGGTAGGGGTTGTGGCTGTCCACACTTCAAAGTTGTGCGGGGTTGTACATGAGATGGGGTAAATTAAGGCTTGCAAGGTCTTCTTATAGACATGAGATTTCTGAAAGGCAAGGGCACTCATAAAACAACACCCAGGAAGGTTACTGAACCTATTTTTCTGCTTAACACAGGAGCTATAAGGGGAAAGGCATGAGCAGTGCAACAAATCTACACATTTGAGGTAATCAAATTTATCAAACTTTTACAAGGAGGAGCAGAGGACACAAAGATGTTTGTCCAGCCATATAAAAAAGTGGGGAAAATAGAAGAAAAAAATCAATGTTTGTGGATAAGGAATATCTTGCATAAAGTAAGTTTCACACGCTGTCCCCCATGGTAGATACTGCAGAAGGAAACAGTAAGTTTACATTTTTCAGGATCATATTGAGACAGTAAATGTTACTTTTTACAATGTCTGCTTTCTTTAAACAAATGATACAAGAATTTTTGCGTCTCTATCTTTAGACATCTGCATCCCAGAGAGGCACATTCCCTCAATTTGACTACTAAAAGTTCACAAGCGCCAAGCCACTCTTCCACTTACCAGCTCTTCATCTTTGAGAGATGTTCTAGTGGCCATTGCTGAGGTAATTCCGGCTTTCCGGGACTGAACCAGTGACTAAGAAGGAAGAAAGTTTATTATTCACTGTGAGTATTCAGAAGTGCACTGGCAATACCTGCCCAGAAATGTGACCAAAGGGACTCTGTCACACCAGACACCAAACCATCAGTCTATTGCATTTAAGTCGGTTTCTTAAATGACATCTCACACCCCAGAGGAGTCAAATGCATACTCTGAAAGGTCTCCAACTTGCTCCCATCAGCCCACAACCATTCACACTCAGGTAAAACTTTGTTTTTTCTCTGGTAAGAACTGTTAATGAAACCTGGGTTCACATCTCCATTTCTGTGTTCTGGCAGCAATGGTAGCTCTGTTATTGCCTAAGGTCACTACATGGGGCTCACTCTTCTGTATCTAACTTTGCTCATATCCAACAGGAGATTATTTCATCAGTTTTACAACATGCACAACACCCCCAACCATGACACTGAAAGGGTTACAAATATACAGGGTAATAACAGAACAGAGTGGGCTGGGAGCACAGGTTTGAATGTGCTGGTGTATCACATTCATTGGCCATCACTGAACACAATGAACAGCATTTTCCCCTCAAAACTGCCTCCTTCACATCACGCCAACATGAAGTTCTGCAGCCTTGGACAGCACAGGGCAATGCCTTTGCAGCACTTCACGCTGGCGTACAAAGGATTTCTTCAGCAAGCCATTCCAGTTTGATGAAGGCAGAGAAGGAAATTCAAGCCAGCAACATCTGCTTTGAAATCATCTAACCCTATCAGAAACCTCTGTTTATGCTCTGCTTTATGCTGTTTGAAGATAGCAAAAGTTCATTTGATCAGTGATAGGCAGAACAGAGTGCTAAGATACACATGCACTGCAAAACTGCAGGTACAAAATGAAAAGCAAAGAAACACAGGGAGAATAAGGTAGAATGACTTTTATTTTGGTGAAGACTTGGTGGATAGTTTTTAGCTCCACTTACCATGGCCTGTGGAGAGAGAGAATGAAAGCATACAAAGGAAGTAACACAAGTTAATGCCATTATTGCAAAGATTTAAGATACAACCAGTTGGTAAGACATGTATTAATTTTCCCATGCGTAAGCTGGCAGAAAGATTTGCATGCACCTTTTCACACGTATTACAGGATACAGAAACTTTGGTCTTTCAGCTGTTACAGCATTTCTCCTGTATATGAAATCGCTAAGTGTACTGCACACAGCCAGCAGAAAACCATTTGTCCCTCAGAAGCCTTATTTCTCTGCATCACATAAGCATATGAAACTTGTCCTCATTACCCGCTTGGTTCTTTTGCTTCCTCAGTGCAGAAGCCTACTGGCAATACTGCAAATAGCTTTAAAAATTCAAGCACATATGCTCATTTATCTATCCTCTGAAATTCCAACCTTCTGGAAGGCTGACAAACCTCACACGGACATTAGAAATTTCCCTAAAGTATGTGATTTTTAGGAAAACATTTTAAAATAGTGCAGCCCTAAAAATAATGAAATATTATGTGTAAAATAAAAAGAACATGAAAAAAAATATCTTATTTCTGCCAAATGAATGAAACTGTCTACAAAACCATAGCTTGTTCTGAGTTTTTTCCAAGACCAACTTCTAAGTCTTTAATGTAAGAATTAATTTCACAAAACAGGAAGCGTTCAGCTTCATAAGTGACAATGAATGTTACCATATGTCAAATTGGTTGTGTGGCTAAACAAAAACAAATCTCTTACCAGATCACTGACAAGTGGAATTGGCTTCTTTTTGCGCAGATCGGGCATGCTATCGATGCCATAGAGACCACCTGCAGGCCTGGAAATTCAGGAGAAGAAGAAGAAGATTAAAATTCTCACCAGCAGTAAAGAGATGACAAAAACGCTTCCTTAAAACATCAGCCCCCTTGACAGTATCATAGTCTATGAGCACAGGAAGAATCAGTTCACTGCAAATGCAATCTGAAAATAAACCAAGGTTGTTAACACAGTTGAAAAAGTTTGTTTTCCTGTTTTCAGTTCTGAGGCCTGAGCTAGGTCAGAGTAGACTGGGCATGTGCTTGAAGAGCACCAGTGCTTCAGAGCTACAGATCTGGCAAAAATACTTACCCAAGGGCAGAACCAGAGCTCCCTGGCAGTAATTCACATGCAGCTTAGTCTGTGGTAACTGAGCTGCACACCTCTGCTTTCAAAAGGATGTTTTGTTCCTTAAGGACAGCTCAGATTATGGTTTACTCCTGCCATGGAGTGCCACGGCAGGAAAGACTTTGGTAATTTGAAAACATCCTGTCTCCAAGTCTTTCTCCGTCCCTTTTCTTTCCATTCAATTAATTTAGGGTTCTGGTGTGAGGAAAGAGATGCTTTACTGGAGTAACTAAAGCAAACCAGAAGATAACACTTAAAAAAGTGTGAAGTTAATAATAAAATGATTGTTTATCTTCTTTACACACCACAATCCAGATGCTCCTGCCTGGTGTTGATGGTTGGGAAGGAAGCATGTTAAAGTGAGAAGGCCAGAGTGGCAGGATGCTGCTAGCCATCATCTAATTCTAGGCTAGAACACTCTAGGCTTAGTCCTGGCCTTTGAGGCCCACACAATTATTAGGAAAAGCCTCACATTTGAGGAGAAAATAGATTATTTTTATTTCTATAAAATGGACCATTTGTGGTGCTCAAACCATGCAGACCTCTTCACAGAAGAGCTGCCATTTGCTGGTGGTAATAGTGGTGGAGCAAAAGGGCCATTATCATAAAATCATAGAATCACAGAATAGTTAGGGTGGGAAAGGACCTTAAGGTCATCAAGTTCCAACCCCCAGCAACACTCAGAACCTGCTAAAATAAAACACTATAACCTTCCAATGTGACCAACCTGGATAACTGTATCTGAATCCTGCTGTTCACTGCTACCACCACATGGATGTAAGCCTATGCTTGAAGACCCCCCAGTAAATCACAAAACACCAGCTTGGAAGGGACCTCAAGGATCATCTATCTTGCCCAGTGTTCCCAGGCAAAGCATGACCTAGACTAGATGTCCCAGCACTCTGTCCAACCACACCTAAAAAGCCTTCAATGTTGGGGAATCCACCACTTCCCTAGGAAAACTGTTTCAGTGGTTGACAGTTCTCATTCGGAAAACTTTTCCTCTTGTGTCCAGTCGTAATCTCCCCAGGATTAACTTCCCATCTCCACATTGTTTTCATGCCTTCCTACCACTAAGAAGATGGTTCCCAAGGCCTTTTTCTTGGCTACAGAGACTGTAAAGGAACCTTCATGCCTCTCTATCCTTACCCATTCGTTTTCACCCCATACCATGCTGGCTTACACCTTTTTGCATCTGTGTGGTAAACTGGCTCTTTTAACCTGCATGTTGTGCTGATTTGGTACACCACACCTAGCTACATGCTTTAGGACAAAACAACTACAGGAAGGAGGAGCATAGGATAAGCTGTTCTCACTGCAATAAAACACACACATGGACCTACCCTTTAAATAAATTTAGGAAGCCAAACTGCCTCTACACATTTCCATGTCATGAAAACTGGGAGGCTGGTAAGTGATGAGGCTACCTGCACTCCTCAGCAAGCAGCACCAACTCAAACACCCTCTGAATACAGCCAGAAGTCGAAAAAACCCTACTCTGGATGACCAAACCTATGTTATAGTAGACCATGCTTTAGGGTGGGAAAGAATGTGAAGGCACAGCCTAGCACAAGGGAGGGAAGCAGTTTGTTATATACAGAAACATAGAGCTAGAATGGTAAAGTGACTTTCTTGTAGGAGGGTGATATGTCCGAGCCTTAGCTGAGCTGATAGCTGCTGCTGGCTGAAGCCTGGTGGGAAGGTGAGCAGTCACACCTAACTGCATGAACAGTATCAGCTCTGTATGCTCCATGAGTCACATCTGCACCGTGCTCTCCTCTCCATGCTCCTACACGGTGAACACAAACCTCCCTCAGGCAGCTGACACAGCTGGGGATGGAAGGCAAACTCGGGCTTAAGGAAGGTGGAGATTTACAGGAGTTAATTACAATTATCGGAATCTTTGGGCAAGAATGAGAGCAGTTTTCCAACGCTGGAAATCCTCACAGCAAGGCTACATAGTATTTTTACTAAAGGCTACTCTCATTTCCAATGGAGAATTGTAATAATCCCTTCTGATTTATTATAGAAAGCGAAAGCAAAATACAAAGGGAGAGTCTGTACGCTGAGAAGATGCAAAAGACAGTCACAAGCAAATATATGGCTCCTGACAGGAGTCAAGGGCACATCTGGGAATCTACATTTTGTTTCCAGTGACTTTTTTTGGTTTACCCTAATTCAGTTGAAAGGAACCTGTGATACTCTCACATTTCCAAGGAAAGGAAAACATATAAATTGCACGGTCCAAATTAAAGATGAGCCTAAAGAAGTTATTGTGCTTGAGAAACATGTCTAGTTATATGTCTGGCTTGCTGCAAAATACTTCAGATAGACTGAGGTTTATGATAAAACCAGTTGTAAGCCAGACTGTTAGAGAACAAACATATTTGAAAGGTGCTTTTTTTTCACCTACTGTATCCTAGTACCCATGTAGTTATACACTAAGATTATCTGCTTTTAGCTTCTTAATATTAAAATAAGAAACAATTCTAAGCAACAATTTTTAATATTCAAATTTATTCAAAATAATATTATATACTATATATAATATTCAAAATTATTCAGCCTATGCTTTCAGCTACCTCAGTCTATTCAAACATAATTTCTACTTCACTTAACAAAATTGGGAGTATTTGCACAGACAGAAGTACTGACAGTGCCTCATATATACACACTGGAGCTTTATACGTTAATAGGGTAACTCTCCTCTGCAACACATGTAATTATTTATAGCATTAATATGGAGTGCTGTATTGAAGAGTGAATAGCATTTCTGTATGAAAAGATGATCTGCACTAGTAAATAAAATATACAAATATGAGATACTACATCCAGATACTGATCAATACTACCAACAGTACTTGTTTTTGAAGCTATCTCTCCAAAGCCAGCAACTATAGACAGGGAACTACCATTGCATTATGCTGGAAGTGAAAACAGCTTGAAGCATGCATTCATCTTTTAATACAAGTTATATCATATAGATGCTTCCATTAAATTTTTAAAATTTAAGGAAGCAAAGGTGGTTTGCAATGACAGAAGTTGATTGCTTTGTTCAAAGGATACCCTAATCTGCATATGAAAGAGAACACCAAACGTAAACGCTTTAATGTACTTTGTGGCTAATAAACCACAACATAGCTAATGGTGCAATTAAAGGTTCACCACTCACAACCACCTCCTCTGTAAACCCCCTGCATGCGCTGATACAGCAAATAAGCTGAACTTTTGTCAAAACTACATTAGCCAGACTGTTTTATCTCACATTGAAAGAGAAAATTACCAGACTAGAGCAAACCTTGCCTTGAACTGACAAAACACATCTTTAAGTATTTCAGGACTGCACGTGTATTCATCTTTCAGGCTGGGAAATCATCTGCGTGCGTGAACCAATAAACTCAGTACATTGTCTCCTTGTTAAAGCAGGAGAAGGTGCTGCTGATAGTTAGAATAAATCACTTTCTTCTGCCCCTGCTAATTGCCAGTTCTCCTGGAACCTGCTCACTGAAGTCCCAGGCTCCTTAGGAAAGCATGGGGTTGCTAGGCAGCTGCAAGCATCCGCAGGTGTGGAGGACGCTTAGTGGGAATACCAACATCTCACAGAACAATGACTCCAAAACCAGAGAGCCGTATAATGAAGCCTCTGATTTAACTTTGCATTTTATTAAGGAAGCTACCTTCAGTAGTTTGAGAATTAACTTACGCATGTAGCAAGCCAACCTCTTGCTGAGATTTCAGGGCAAATCTGCTACAACATCAGCTCCTGAGTGTACCACCACCAAAGCGGATCACCCTCATCACATATAATGCACATAACCTAGCAGCATGTACAGTGTGTCACAGTCTTTTTTTTTTCCAGAGGGGATTCTAGGGAAGGAAGCTCCCACGCTGGCACCTATTATGCAGAGTGTCATGGTGAAATTACAATCAGAATTTGTCTGCTTCATCTGCAGCGAGTAGCATGTTGCAGAGAGAACACGCGGCCTCTCACTGTCACCTGTGCAGAAGAGGCATGATGATCACTGCAATGATTTCCAGACTTACCAATGTTTTGACTACTACAATGACCACATAAATCACTGCAAAGACAGAAGATTTCCCCAAAGCTACTTTTTTCTTCTCGAAAGGCACAGCAGTCTTTCTGAGCTACTCTCTCCCTTCCCTGGGGCCAACAGTGACTGACTCAGGAAAAAGGATTTCATCCAGACCACCCTGTGGTGCTCAATAAGAATGTTTAATATTGTGCCATAAGCACTTGCCACCATCAGGTTTCATTCATTAGGGACTGTAGCGATAGGACAAGGGGTAACGGATTAAAACTTAAACAGGAGAAGTTTAGATTGGATATAAGGAGGAAATTCTTTCCTGTTAGGGTGGTGAGGCACTGGAATGGGTCGCTCAGGGAAGTTGTGAATGCTCCATCCCTGGCAGTGTTCAAGACCAGGTTGGATGAGGCTTTGGGTGACATGGTTTAGTGTGAGGTGTCCCTCCCCACGGCAGGGGGGTTGGAACTCGATGAACTTAAGGTCCTTTCCAACCCTAACTATTCTATGATTCTGTGTTCTTAACACAGATCTCTTCAAGAGTTGTGCAGCCCACCTCCAGCTGTTTCAGAGGAGACTTAAATACAGCAGCAGCCTGACCCTAAGTGAGTCATGGCCACTTGATTAATCCTTAAATCAGCCATTAAAAACATTAGATTTTCTTATTTAGATCGAACCGCAGACCTCAAATTACACTGTACTTATAAACACAGAGAAACAAGGTCCCAAAATACCACTTACCCTCCTTTGAGCCACGGTGGTTTTGATGGATCAGCCTCATCTTGACCCTTAAATGTGGGAAAGCAAAAGAACAATATGAAATTAGTTTCTGAAAACCCCAGGAAATGTATGCAGATTATATCCTGAGGAAAGGATAGCAGACCACACTGCATGCAGGCAAATGCATACAGAAACCTATTTAAGCACCTCTGATGACCCACATATCAGGGTAAGTCAGGCAGTAACAACATACCAGGGTAAGACACAGACAGGCTATGCAATTTGACTGAACACCTAAACCGGAACCTGAAGAGCCTGTTCAGTGCACTTCCTCTTTCAAAAGACCAACTGTTGGCTTTTTATTTCCAACTGAACAAAACTGTGAGCTATTGGAGAGCTCCTCCACTCATGTGAACATGGTCACCACTTACGTGAACATGGTCATAATGAAGATGTTATGAATTAAAAGCAACTTTATGAAATGCACAAATGACTAATCAACATGAAACTTTGTACAGACACTGTTGAGCTTTGCTCATGCTCATATGCAAAGACTCATCAGACCCCTAAGCAGGAAGGCCCCACTGCAGCTCCCCACATCCATATGCAAGTACTTAATTTTCCAAGAGGCGTAAAACAAGGGCTGCTGCTCGCAAGATGATTGCAGGTGAACTGGGATCTCACACTATAATAGAAAACACCACAGTCTGCAAGTACGAGGATTAATATTAATGAATTTAAGCCATGTTCCTAGGTTTGTATTTGTAACAATATTATGTTCATTTGTTTACAGAATGATGTTCTGTTTTCTTTGAGAATCTTCAGGGCTGAGAAGTGCCTAAGCAATTGCAAAATGCCTGAAGGAAACAAAAGATTTTGAGTAAGGGAAAGATAGGTTTATAGGTTTACCTATAACCAGAAACCTCTTTGTTCCAGCTTACAATTCACAAATTCTCCTGCTCTCCCTGAAATAAAAGCTGTTTTCAAACAGGACTAAGCAAGACACACTGCTGATAGCTAATACCCCGACCTCAGATAATCATGCCTGCCAACAGTATGAAAAGACTGCAAGTTGTATACAACAGAAAACAAAGTACTTTATAACTTGAGAATTGTAACAGAAGAAAGGGGTATGGGTCAGGAAATAGGCTCCAGCTTTATGCAAGATAAAAGAACGAAACAAAAGCGTGTATTAGATGTCTCAATTTGTACAGCAGCAGAAGTCCAAACTTTTTGTTAGTTCCAAAACTCCAGGGCTGGGCAGATCTGAAGACTACATAGTTTTTATTACTCTAAACAGGTTTGAACAACATGACATTATCCATAATTGCATGAACACTCCAGCTTTTCTACATGATCATGCAGGAGGAGCCTAAACCCATGGACCAACACAGCCAGAGCAGCACACCAGGGCTAGGCTCTGCCCATCTTCTCCATTCCAAGCTGTGCCTTCAGAACCCCTTAGCCTGAAACCTGCATTTCTCCCAGAGGGATCTGAATCAACTGCTAGTCAAGAGAAAAGATCTTGTGAAGTAAATGCAACCAGATCCTTCAGAGCACACAAGGGAGGACATCTTTGTTTTCAGCTCTGAACACTTGGAAGAGCTGTGGCTAGAAAGCAATCCTAAAATGGAACAGTGTTTTATACTGGACTAAGCTTAAAACCAGTCAGTTCAGCTGTACTGAATGACAGATAATGACAAATACAAATGTGGCAACATTTGCTGGCAAAAACAATTAGTGTGACAGGGTTTTCAATCAGTTTATCTGAGAAACTCGAAGTACAAGTGACCAATATTTGAGACATAAAAGTACTACAAATAGCATGGGCAATACTGAAGCCTGGAGACCACAAGAGCATCAGAAGATCTGTTCAAGGGAAGAAGATCCAGGGAGAGTTGTTTACCTAAATGAGCAATAACCGCTTCCTACAGGCAACCATGAGTCAATGGAGAACAGCTGGGAGTGTGGATGAAAGGAAGAGCAGAAAATGTGATCAGGAAACAAACCTCCATCATCTCCCAGATTTTGAGACATGCCAAGTACAAATTGTTGAGAGTCCAGGTAAACTGTACTTGTTCTCATTTACTTTTAATTACTTTTGCAAAGCCTTTTATACCTACAAACAAAAAGAAAACAAGAGAAGAGAAAGAGCTTCTCTAGGGTGCAACAGCACAAACCAAAAGAGCGAGCTTTCAGTAAGTGACAGTATTGATGCAGGGGCAAGCAGGTGATGGTTGTGTGTAAACAGGAGTTATCACCTGCTGAAACTAAAGAGGTAATTTGCTCCGGGCAGCATCCTCCCTGAGAAAATGCCAAGAGAAGCAGCACCTTACTTCCATCAAAAGGGGGCTGATGCTTTGAGAATATAGGAAAGCCAATGCAGCACCCACAGCTAAGGTGTGGGGGAAGGAGGGAAATGTGATCTAGACTAGTGTAGGCTCATTATTGGCTTCAGCAGCTTGGAAGTCTTTAGAACAAACACAAAGGGAAAATCAACATGGAGGCAACTGGAAAACAGGAAAAAAATGCAATACATGGCACACCAGTTTTGAAAAGATGGGGTTTTGTTCGACAAAGAAACTGTTTTTCTTTACACTGTAAAATGAATTATCAACTGAATTCTGATTTCAACAAAAAACTTTTGATGCAATGCCATGTGACGTTAATAAGGCCGGATAAGCTCAGAAGGAGTGGGGAGCTTTAGGGTGGATAAACAAGTAACTGTAACTGAGCCAGCCACGGACAACGCAATAAGGATGCTAGTGGGAGTAAGCAGGATCTGCTGATAAAATCTGCTGATGACAAACACAGGAGAATTATTGATACAGAACTCAGATGGCGAGTGGAAAGAACTGATGGCAGCAAAGACCGCAACAACAGAGGATTAAACATGGTAGAAATGGCAACGTCAAAGCCCTAAAGCCTGCCATGAATCTGACCACACAGGAGGTGTTCCTCAGTGGAGAAAAGCACATGACAACAGACTTTACTTCTAGTCATCACACTGGCAATGAGCCACTAAGACAATCTGTGAGCCATTTAAGGATTAAACATAATCCATAGAGCATGTCCAGTGGAATGTCTCTGCAGAAGTAAACCCATAAATGCCTCTGTACTGTGCTGGCAAGACTCCTTCAGAAAGGTATATACTATCTTTTTATTCTATATCAAAGTAAAAAGAATTCACAAAGGAAAATGGCAAAACAGTATGACAATGTAAACACATTATAGGAGGAGACCAGGCCAGCTTGCTTATGCCAACAAACGGCACCTTTTCCTGTGCTTATTCAATAGACATATTGTATGGATGAACTGCAGCTAAATATAAACAGAGGATGAAAATTTGAAGGTGTCTCACCATGACAGTCCAGACAGCCTTTCAAAAGGAGAAGCAGACACTACACCTAACCAGTTTTAAAGAAGGAAGTTGGGCAGTTCATATATGAGGTAGTGGCACAGTATCACACAGTGGCAGAGAGCTCGCAGTCGCCAAGAAGTCCTTTGCAGGTCCTTGTTGCACCAACTCATGTAGTCAAAGAACCAGAGGCTGAATTACCTACGAGTGTTGGCATGAGTGTTAGCAGGGTTCAGACACCTCTGGGAGTGCCAATTAAACAAAACAATCCACAGTTTACACCACTTTTGTGGGTACGAACACTTCATGTATCCCTATTCCTTTAAAAAAGGCAAATGGCAATGCTGTTCAGATGGATTTTCTGCAGCTCGGGAGCTCCCCACTTTCTGAAAGCAGGACCCAGGAAGGCTCCAGTAGGTGCTCTAGATCTTGCCATCAGCCATGGGTCTGCTTAAATTCAGCAGATGAGAGCATCCCCTTGATGAGAGCATGGCTTGCTCAGAGCCTGGGCAAGCAAACAACAGGCAGATGAGAACAACACTGGAACAATTGTGAAAGCAGACACATTGAACACCTGGACATCCCCATGCTGCCTGTAACAGAAAGCATTTTGCTGGCTTATGCTTTGCTTCTCTACACAGATCTGTCACTTGATGACTTAATTTTCATCTTAATTTTTAATAAGTAAGCACATAAAGCAGCACTGATAAGATGCAGAAGCAAACATGTAAACAAAATAGCCCACCACATCTCTATTCAATTTTGTTTTATTTCTGATGCTGATGGATGACAGTTTTATACCTACTGTCCAACAAATACCTTCAGCTGGCAAAGTGCCTGTTACCGTAGTAATGCAGTATATTCACTCACAGTAAAGCATGCTGCAATGAGTGGCTGAAAGGCCTTTTCCATGTAACTAAAGTTTCTTATCAGGCAAGAAACAGTTAGCAAAATAATGCTTGTGACAAAATAGCAAAGATTAATATCCTGGATTAAACACATCAACAGACATGATTGTTTAAGGAACATTATTCAGTGATAGAGAAGGCAATGTTTGGTGAAGCCTGAAAATGAAACAAATAGGAGTTTTCACTTAGTTGTGAAAAGCAGCAGCTAGGCTTAAAAGTAACTTCAGAAATTATTTAACCAAGCTGCAATTTGCAAATTTCACAGTTTATCTCATACACATGATGCTTTAATGGACAGAATAATCACATACTTCTGTAGAGGAGGAAGTCCATAAAATGGACAGAGGCATAAAATAAATAAATGAATAAATAAATCAGCAAATCTGAAGCAGCACAAGAAGAAGGAAGAACATCCTCAGCTCTGTTAGCCCTCTCCATATAAATCCATCCCTCCACATAAAAGACTTTCTCACAATGTAACTTTCCATCACATGTAAGTACTGTGTCGAGCACATTACCCTCTTAGATAAAATACAGATGTAAACCATGGAAAGATGATTTGTTTAAACAGATAACAAAATACTAATGATTTTTTATTTGTTTTGAAAATCATCCTTGCTTGTTTTCAGATACCATGCTTCATTATTAAACCTCAAGGCCTCAATTTAGCTATAGATTAATCTGAATCAGGCTAAAACAAGGAGCATCTGTTTCACTGTCTAAATTAAACTCCTGGTCATGCCTAATTAGAACATTTCTTCAGGGGTATTAGCAGAATTAGTATGAACTAAATCATCCCAATTACACTAGTCAGTCTTGTAGCTCAATGTCTTCATTGACCAAATACACTATGTTTTACATGGATTCCAAGGCTGCAACAAGCCAAGGGATTATTTGAAATTCATTCTACATTCCATATTCTACAAGAAAGTCAATTTAGATAATTACTGAAGAGCCCCACAGGAAGCTCCTTCCACCTGATATATCTTCCAGTACCAATTTTCCAGCTGCCAGATGAGCAGCTGAAAGGAGGCTGCGGTGTTTTGCACTGAAGCCAGAAGAGGACAGAACTTGATGCCAATATTTGACACCAGGTACCTCTACATGCCTGAAAAAGCGCTAAGGGACAGACATTTACCGGTAAGAATGAAACAAAACTGCTGATACATGAGCCAATAAAGCTTAGAAATGCAAACTCATCGAACTCAAAAGGATGAGATCTGCATGGAGGCCAGAAGCCATGCAATGTTCAGCATACTCCAGGAAGCTGATATGGGCTGATTCATACAACTAAGGGAGAGGCAGAAGCACAGCAGGAACCGAACCCACATAGCATAGATTCAAAAAAATATAACAGATGACAATCTAGGATCCAGAAACTTCTCTGTATGAGGTACAGTTGCAAACACAAGATAGGATGTTACACAGCAGTCAGCAAAATTCTGCGTATCCTCTTAGGAGTTACCTGTTGTCCACAGAGTGATAAGCAGAGAGTCAACCACCCCCTGAGTGGAGAGGCAATAGCTGTAGGTACTAAAGGAAAAGTCCTGCCCTTTCTGGGGGGCACACAGCCCTGCTCAAAGCAAGGAGTAGCCTGTAGCTAGCTAAAAAGGCAAAGGATCTGCAGCAGACAGCTCCCAGCATCCACAGTCTTGCTTAATCTCAGAGTGGTACTTTTTACCTTAATTGCTGTAAATGTGCAAACGAGGTAGACAGAGATGGAATGAAGTAATACAGCTGACGGAAAATGAGGAAACACTTGGTTTAAACACGATTCATAAAGGGGACGACTAGAAAGATAAACAGCTTGTACTCTGCTAACACGGTGCCTGTGCACATTACGCGCACCCCACAGAGCACTGAACGGAGATCACCTCAAGCATTCTTGTTTTCCTCTTTGTACAAGGTAATAAGCACTGAACAGCCTCTTAATGCATACACAGTGTTAGCGATTCCTCAGCAACCATAACATGCTAAACTGAACCTCAGCGCCTCAGTGGGAACAACTAGCTACAAGAAGACAAGGCATGCACACACAGGCATTTCAGAAAGAGAGGCTGGTTACAAGGGACAACACGTACAACCTGGAGCTCTCCTCTACCTCCTTCTGTGAAGAAAAAAGAAGGAGAGGAAAAAAAGTTAATAGACCAGACTTCTGCCATGAGCTCTGTAAAATGACTTCAGAAAGTAGGGTAAACGTATGCCTCAAGTTGATACAACACTCGTGCAGTGGAGAGTTTTCCCATGTGCTTCCTGGGACGTACATCAGTTAATTAAACTCTAGCAACTAACCTCAAGTTAAACTAATCAAATTTTATCCATAACTGCACATGCATTTAGAATATATACTTTTAGAGAGATTCTTTTTAGAGTCACAGTTCCTGTTCTATAAACTCCAGAATTTTAAGTAATCTTCATATAGAATTTGAGCTGCTATTTACCATACTGTAAAGAGAACCTGTCTTTATTACAGAGAGGAACAGAATTTTTTCCCTTCTTGCCTCCCTGACTGCATCCACTGCCTGCATCTTAAGCATCCCCCCTCCTTCCCTCTTCGTCCCCTGTACATTTTGCCCATTACAAGGAAACTGGTAGCTCCCACAGAACACATTTTGCTTTTGCAGATACTGTAATGCAGAGAGATACTTTCTGGGTTTATAAATCTAGGCAATCCTCCTCTGAGAAAAGAAGAAAAAAAAAAAGAAATCCAGAAGCCTCCTACACTAAACCTCATGTTTATGGATAGGCAATTTCATGGCTAGTAAAGTTATATGAGAGTCATACTCAAAACTTCCGGTACAGGCGCGATATCTTTTAAGTAAGTCTTCCAATCAGATAATTCTATATTTGCATAGGAGAATCATACTACTCATTTGCATATGAAAGATGGAGGGGAAGGAATATCTTCATGGCAACAAGGGCCACTCAAATTGGTTTAAAAGCAAAAATAGTTTTTGAAGTTACTGTCTGTATGGGTGTAATTACACACATGCAATCACTAAGACGGGAAAATAGAGCAGCTATTTTGACTCAATCACTGAGGAGAAGTCAAATCACTTCAGCAAATGAAGTGCTGGATTGCAGCTAAAATAAACCCCCTACTTTCCAACTTAAGACATGCCTGCGTGGATGCTCATCAGGGAGGAAAGCCTCCGGACTGCCCTGTGGGCCTCTCCTTCATGAGCTAATGGGGGAGAAAACGCAAGCGGAAGGATGTTGCCATGCTCTGCGCAACAGCCGGTGCTGCAGGAGTGCCGTGATTTGACAGTCAGCTCCGCACAGACCGGCCAACCTGGAGAAGCTGAGCAGATCTGGGGTCCATCCCAGACTCTGATGGGAACATGCTTTTTTGGGCGCTGTCTGTTCCCCTCTGAAGTCATTTTCCGTACCATCCTCCCACCCATCCCATTCTGTTTGGCAAAACCTCACCCAGGCAGACCTATTTCCACTGCAAGCCCTCTGGTTTTGTCCTTTTCACCCCAAATCCTTCAAACCCCATCTCTCCTGAGTTGGTCCCTGGGGTTGTTTCAGCCTGTCTCAGGCAGATACCGACTTCCGTCATTCCTGTGTTTGTAACTCCTTTGTATTTGAACCAGATTCCTTCCTGATGTCTCCTGTGAAGTCTCACAGAGCAGGAGATGCAGAAGACCTGGACTTGTGTCCCCTCTCAGGTCTGCCATGGCTCTCAGTCATGCCGAGCAGGGAAAACCCTGCTTTAGCCCCCGGCTGGAAAACACTGAGGACAGATGGAGTCTCTGGCAGCACAACAGCTCAACTGTAGCAGGCTACCAGTGAGCATATGCAAACTACACATTTTTCAAAAGCTTATTCACTTGGCTCATTTGGGGTTGATTTTCCACAGAAAAAATCCTTGACACAGACTACCACTGCCAAATTTTAAGGCCTGAGGGCACTAGAGCTTCCAAAATATAGGTCAAACTTATTTTTATAAGAACAGAAAGCAATAAATCTTGCATTACACTCTTTTTTTTCCAAAGAAAATAAAAAAAGAGGATTATTTTGGCATAAATTCCATACATGTCTTTTATTTCTGAGCCCCTTCATTTTAAAGCTGTTAGGGACAGTTTCAGGCCAAATACAAGGTTTGGTAAAGCTCTGAGCAACTGCAGACACAGATGTAAAATCTTCAGATTATCTTTCATTACAGCAGGTGTGCTCACAGCAGCATCGGTGGTGACTAATTCATCTATACAGGCCGACGGCAGAATTCTTTCACCATTCCACTTTTGAGTGGTCAAATAACATCTGCAAAAGTCTCTGTCATTTTAGGGTTTCTTTTAAACATACACAAAATCCAACTGTCTTCAACTTCACTTATGATGGGGATTTTATTTCCCCTTTTTCTTGGATTAAAACTTTAAAAACTTGCTTAAGATTTACAGCAGATATTTTATTTTTTCCCTTTGGACTTCAAATTAGACAAAATTACTTATAAGCATCTGCCAAGTTCTTAATTGTTCCGATAATTTGCATCTATGTACAGCTATAAATAATGTAAACTTTTATGACAGTGCATCCTATCTCTGATTCACCATAATACACAGATTTACCAACACCTTCAAAGTTATCATCCATTCTTTCGCTGCAGACTGCTGCCAAACACATTTAATAAAATACCTTGAACTGAACTTTCAAGTGGGTGGGAGTAACAACAGTGGTTATTCAGGCTCAGAAGCAAAAAGCCAGTAGGCAGAACCGAGTTTTCAATGGACCTGACCCAGAAGCTTAACATCCTATTAAGAACAAATTCAAATTTTAAAGAGAGTTATATATACTCATCTGCAGCTGAGAAAAAAAAGCAAAACCAACAACCTTCCATTGCATGAAGTATGATCTTTTTCCCAAAGGAAGAATATAAAAGCTTGGCTCAAACTTACTTTGAGTACAGTGAGGAAGCACCTAAAACTGTTGCCTCCCTTTCTCAGAAATGCATGCCAAAACAAGCCTATTTCAAATTGAATGAGTATCCAATTAATTTTGCCCTGCTCTACAGCCCTTTGCAATACTGTCTTCCCCTTCTCTTGCTTTCGCTACAGCTAAGTGGTTATTTGCCTGCTGGATCCTTTTCCACTTGCTCATCCTTCATGAGCACTGCTGCTTTGATTGTATCCCTTGACCTCTGCTCGGGACAGGCATGCTCTTCCCGGCTCCCCTGCCTTGCTTTGGTGGTCTGAGCTGCTTTGCCTCCCGACAGCTCCTCCAGGTTTTTTTTCCCCATGCTCTCTCATTTCTTATACCTTAATCAGTGTTTTCCACTACCCTTGACTCCCTTAGACTTCTGCTGTCTCTCAGAGCACATTTCTTACATTGTGATTTCATCCCATACTTACTGTTGGAACTTCAGCTGTCATATGTAATATATAGATACAACTTTACACTGGTGTCACACAAGCATCAATCAACTCTTTTGTCACATCACTACACGATATTTAGGAGAACTGAACCAGGGAGACTCAGCAATGCCTATCCACCCTGCAGCCAGCTCTAAGGTACCAGATCCAGCAGTGATCCTCCTCCTCCTCCTTTTCAACTGTTCTGGCTACTTCTCGCCTTGTGAACATGCCTGTATTGCTCAAACTCTGCTGAGATGAGCAGCCTCCTCTCACATTCAGAAATAGGTTACTTCAGTGTTTTTGCTGCACTGTGGCAAATGCTAACCCACTGTCTGTTTCCTCAGGTCCTAAAATTAGGACTTATGTCCAGGACTTGAGCACTATGCAAACACTGCCTAAAACCAGGGAAAGAATTAACAGAAAGTAAAAATAGCTTTCCGATTTTTTTTAAAGGCATATACTATCCATGTCCTAGTAATCTAAACATTCCCTTCAAACTCAAAAATACATACGTGTCTGTGCCAAGCCTCCTAACAACTCCTAGTGCTTCCCTCATTAACAAGCTATTGTTTGAATCAACTTCCGTACTAAAGACCTCATACAAAGTTAAGAAAGCAAAGAGCTGATTACAAGCTTTATGATCTGCATAACTGAGAAGGTCACTGGTACAGAAGTCAAATATAGATTGACAGATTGTTTCTTCGCATCAAAAGCACAGTTGCTGGAAAAGACACTTGGAACGAGACAACTCTTTCAGAGAGAAAAAGAGCACTCTGATTATTCTGACTAGCTTTCATGATTGCAGGAAGAAAAGTGCACAAAGTATTTAATACAAGGAGGTTCACAATAATGATATAAAGATTTCAAGCTGTAGTTCCAGTATCTTCCACTCTTAAAGCCTTTTCCCTTAACTGTGCAGCGATTTGGAGATGACACCAAGGAAGTTTAGAGAGGGAGAGGGCAGATGGACCTACACTTCAAGGTTAGGTTTCATTTTACCAAATCAAGGCATATCAAACATGATTCATCAAAACATGTCAGTCATTTCTATCTCCCACATCCTCATGAATGGGTTAACCAGCACTGTTCCACCGCTGGATAAACCCATATTTGCTGTGGTCAGACACTTCAGTACCTGTGCTGGCAGTAAGTGATGTAGCTCCACAGAAATGGAAAATTTCTCATCTCATGGACAAGTTATGGAAACAATACCAAAACACAGGTGCCAACGTCTTTATTTTTGTTCTTAAAGGTCTCTATTAGGGTGACATCTAGCAGTGATTAAACACTGAGAACTCCCACTTCGTGATGGAGCCACTTGAAGTCTGGATCCACTCAGCTCTCAAAACTGCAAGTCTGGCTACTTATAGCTCAGAGGCACGCTTTGTTATCACATGTCTTAACTATTATATTTAACAAGAAACTAAGTCACGAATTATGACGAAAAAACTTAACACCTGCTATTTTGAAGATGCACTGCAAATCACTCTCCTTCCCTCAAAGAAAAAGAAAGAAAAGAGGTGAAGCTTAGTAACATGCATTTCAGTGTGTTACACAATAAATTTCGGGGGGGGGGGGGGGAGGGAAGGTTGGTCAGTACTGTTGCATAGCATATGTCTTGTCTTTGTAACTATATCCTGATAACTCCTAATAAACTGTCCACCCACATAGTGAGGTTTTGACTACTGGCTGCACAAATATCACACCTCAACAAGTCCTTAAAAGCATTGTTTTGGTTTACCTGAATTTGTCTCCTCAGCAGAAATCCAGTTTCCTTCCTGTGCTAATTCTTTTAAGAGTCTCCTACGCATCTGCCTCTTTTCCCTCAGCACATTTTTGAAATTGTTGATGCATTTGTTCAGGTAGATGGTCTCTGCGCACACCTTGTCGAGGCTCATGGGTCTGCAGTCCTTTGCTGGCTCAGGTAGAGAGTTCACATCTCCCCCCGGCTCCTCAGGAGGTAAGCACTGCCCAGCGGGGATTTCACACTCAGATGATGGCATCGCACTTGAGGCAGGAGGTTCATGTGGAACAGAGGAAAGGCTGGAAGGAACAAGCTGCACCTGACCAGATGCTTCACTGTTGGCAGTTGTGTTTGCCTGGCTCTCAGAGGACTGACTAGGAGGGGTTTCAGCAAAGTTGTCAGAGCTGCCACACATACCTGAACTGGTCAGCATCAGGGTATTGTCATCATCCATCTGTAAGCCACTATCATCTTCTAGAAGGGCTTCAGAATCACTTGTCTCCAGTTTGTGAAACACCACCTGCAGAGCAGACCTGAAGTGATGAATAGCTTTCCCAAGCTTATTAGTGTAAAACTTCATGTCTACAAGATCAATGTTGTCCCGGGAATGGTCAAGGAAATACTGGGAATTTTCCAGGACATCCCTAAAGACCTGATCAGTTGGATCTTGATCATTCAGGTCCATTTGGATCATATCCTTCAAACTGTCACTACTGTCAGCCATTTCATCTGTTGTATGATCATAGCTAATAGTTGTCACCCCACTAGAAACATCTTCTCTTTGAATATCAGCTTTCTCCACACTGGTGAGTTTGCATGGAGTATCACCATCTATTTCAATCTCTTCCGTGGTTATCCCTTCATCTTTATCTAGAAGGGAAGAACAATTCTCAGTGATACTTTCAGTGTCAAGCTTGTGCTCGCTGCTATTGCTTGAAGCAGATATCTGGCTTGCATGACCTGAAGAGTCAGATGAGCAGCAGTAATTTCCATCAGTTAATTTGGTCAAACTGCTCACCTGTGGGTTTTGCAGAGATTCATGAAGGGCCTGGTGAACATCACTGTCATCTGAAGGCTGCTCACTGCAGCTTATTGGCTGTGCTTCCTTCCCACTTTCAGGTACCAAGTTGCTTTTCTTAGTCAAGGTTGATTTCTGCACAGAATCAAGTCTCTCCCCTACACACTGTGTTTTCTTGCTCGTGCTTTTATTCTTAACCTGGCCTGAGTCCGTTCGAAGGTGCCCACCTCCATCAGGATCCACTGAGCTGCTATGGTTCTTCTTGAAGCCAGACTGTGAAGAGACTGAATCTGTTTTGTGGCCCCTTTGGCCACTCTTATGCTTCTGCTCTTCACTGGTTGCAACCCGGACCCCTGAGCTTTGCAGAAGGGCAGACTTCTGTAAAATAAAGTCTCTCTGTTCACAACTGACAAGTTTCACAACTGCTGGTCTTGGAGTTAGTGGCTTGCCTGTTCCAATATTTGATCTATAAGCATCTTTTATATACTTACTGTACTGGATACCATTGAAACAGTGATACTCAGACAAGAAGTTACAGATAAGCTCTAGTGTGTTCTCACCATCTTCTTCTGGGATGCCATAAAAATACAATACTGGTTCTTCCTTGTGTACCTCCTTACTTGACTCCCGAGCATGTGTACCCTGGGTTTTGCTTGTGGAACCACTTTGCAGGCCTTCTATCTCACTCAAGACTGTGTCCACGCAGCTGGAAACTTCATCCACAGAGCCTTTTATCAACGTGAGATGCTCCCGGAGCTCTGCAATCTCTGTCTGGATGCGACTTATTCCCTGGAGCTCTTTAACAATATAATCAACCACGTCAGCTGAGCGATCTTTCGATTGCCGTCTACGACTCTTGTATGTGGCGGGGGTTTCCTGGAAAAAGTAATCCTTCCTTTCAGCTACCTCCTTCCAGCTCATGGTAACGCTCAGGGAAGAAAGGTCCTGTCCCTCAGACACTCTGCCCTTTCTTTCAGAAGAGGTCTGCATTGTACTATCAGAAGAAGTTCCCTGTAAATCCTTCTTGTTCTGTTGGACGGAGCACGGTATTTTCACATAACGATCCCAGTTCAGTTCCACCTCACCAACACACACTTCGCTCACTCCTTTGGAATCACGTCCTCCATCCTGACGGAAGTCCCCTCCAGCAGCAGAAAATTCAGTGCTCGCTGAGCTCCTCTTCATTCCACAAACAAACATGTCCGTTTCTATCTCCACTGGGGAGAGCTGGCAGTGATGAGCGTGGTTTGGATTCTCATCTACCTGGCCTTGAAGAAACCTCTTCATTTTGTCCCGCAGAAACAAGTGGAGTTTTTGTTTGCGGAATTGCTTCCTGCCCCACAGTTTTACAACAGGTTTTCTGAGCAGAAGCACAATTTCATTTTCTTGCCTTTTCAATCTACTTCTAGCAAACATCAGCACCTGTGCTTCTCATAGTGCCACAAGCTGCACAAGCACACATCAATCACTTCCTAATGCACAACTCGCATCCAGTTTTTACTCTGTCACGAAGCAGCTAACAAAAGAGGGGAGAAAACATTACATTTTGGTTCAGACAGAAATAGCCAAAGTCACTTAAGCAACAGAATGGAAAAAAACCCAACAAAACAGCATACACATAAAAGCAGACAGAAAGAGGATGTGCTATTTAAAGAGTACAGACAACATCTTGGTTTTGGCCACCTCCCCAGATCAGGTCCTTTTTTGTCAAAATAAGCATTCCTCACTCCTTCTTATATCCAATAAAAAAAAGATAAAATTAAAAAGAGTAAAAAAAAAAAAAAAGAAAAAAAAAAGGAACAATCAAAGAGCAATTATATGACCATTCCCTTTTTTTACCAGGTTTGCAAATTACTAAGCTGAGCTAAGCTGAGCTCCTGGCAATTGAGCACTGTGATTTAATTACCCTTCTGAATAGAAAATTCTGACAAGTATAGTGATTCTTCTATCCCTGCGTATTTCCTTTCAAGTCCACAGTCTTCATCCTTTCTTGCTTCAAACCAAAGCAGAAATCAAGTTTTAACTTGGCACAGTACCAGCTATCCCACAAGAATTGCACAGAGTGATGTGAAGTGGCAGGAAAACTGGATGACAGATTTTAAGTGTAAAAACTTGTTATTTTAATATTTTTATCTTAATATTTTGCTACCAAACACTAAAAAAAAACCCACTTAAAAAAACCAACAGAACCTTAAAGCTTACAAGCTCCTAAGTTAACCTGCAGTTAAATATGCCACGCTCAGCATATGTACGAACAGGCTGAGCTGACAGCATGAAGATTTTGCACGTCACTTCTACTCCAACCCCCAAGATTCTGCAGTGGATCATTTTCCCAATTTAAATCGCCACTGTAAAGAGCAACAACAACAAAAAAAACCCTATGTTAACTACTTAAAACTTTCATGGCTCTTCACTGCCGCACTCACTAAACAACAATCAGCCAGAGAGTAAGGCAGACAGACACCCATACAGAGGTCCTCCTGGAGCCAAGGTCACTGAATGACAACGTCTGGTGGTTCAGTTTGGACCTCCTGCTGAAACACATATTCTGATTCACATTCTTGCTTAAGACCTATAGTAATTGCCTTTCACTTTTATAATTACCTTAGTTCTAAAAACTTTCAGGCTAATTTAAATATTGCCAAGCACATCCTGCTTCGCCATGTTTTCTGCCGTGTAGAAAGGATCAGAAACAGGGGGTTTAAACTTGTTTTAGCTTTAGCTGGTTTAAGGCTAATATGTTGTGGTTCATAAATGCTGTTCCATTTGCACCTTCTCTGGCTCTCCCAATGTGGTCTTTGCAACCCTGAAGCCTTCTGTGGGGGGGACACATGTAGTCCCAATAGCACCCACTGGGGATTGCTGAACCAGGCGCTCAGCCCAAATGTTTCATGCTCTCATGGTAAGCAGAGGACAAAACACTACCCTAGGTCTGTCTGCACTTGATTAAGGCCCAATCCATTGGGCCTCCCAATTCCAAGCATTCTTACTGCCCAAGGGCCAGCTCCAGAGCTCACAGGAGCTTTCACCTAGTGCTTCTTTCAAATGTCACACAACCTCAAAGCACTAACTCGAAGTTTCTATACCTGCACCAATCCCAAACTGCTGCAGTGCAGAAACCCTCCCTAACACATCCTCCAGCTCCAGATGACAGCCATTCACACTACCACCAGCATTTCTCTGTCAGTGAGCGTTTTCATCCTGGTGAACATCTTGTTTTCATTTTTGCTGTTTCATTTTGGGGGCAGGGAACAAGAGAGTGGGTTTTGATCTGGAGGAAGCAACATTCGCAAATACCAATCTCTATAATCAGAGCTAATTAATATGCTATAACACAGGCTGCATCTGTGCTTCAGGTTTAAGCCTCATCATCCAGTGTTTCAGCTGAACTTCTATGACAAAGACAGTACCTGCCCTTATGTAGGCTAAACAAATTCCCTGTTAGATTGATTGTCGGCTTCTGAAAGAAAATATATTTTGGTTTTCTATATAAAATATAGAACAGGTTGCCCAAGGAAGTGGTGGATGCTCCATCCCTGGCAGTGTTCAAAGCCAGGTTGGATCACGCCTTGGACAACATGATCTAGTGTGAGGTGTCCCTGCCCATGGCAGGGGGCTGGAACTGGATGATCTTAAGGTCCTTTTCAGTCCAAACCATTCTATGATTCTACAAATTTTCACGCCATTGGTCCATAAAGACCAGGTCTTCTTTTTGAGGTCTTTCTTATCTACTTCCTCATGGGACAGTGCTGACGTAAGAAATACTTGCTCAAGCTCTCCTCTTCTCCCTTACACAGTTTACCTTCCAATTGAGTGGCTAACTGGTGTTTTAACACCAGAAACACTTTTGTATTGGTATCAAGAGGCGAGCCCTCATGGAGCAAGCACCTAAATTCAACAGCAGCCAAGAAGAAGAGCTCTACAGCTGTGGCTCCCCACACATGTTGCTTGAGGGGAGCACAGAGATGCTAATTTCAAATATTTACCAAAATATTGTACCCCAACAGTAGGAGAAAAGCCTATACCTGCTTGTGCATGGATTCCTTCAGAAAGCTCAACGTTCTTTTCGCATGCAGGTTTCAAGGCACCAGAGGGGCTTAATGATCAATTTAGTTTTAACAAAAAAGGAATCTGTTCTAGCGGGAGTTCACCCTCATTTCCTTTGTCTGCTGCAGCTCTCCAGTAGCAGTTTGTTAAGGAGAACACTTATTCCTGCTGAACACTTAACTTGCAGCAGTTTCAAAGCAGGCAGCTCAGTGCAAACACTACAATGCTGTCACGTTTAGTTATATATATAGTGTTTGTGGTATATACATATGTACGTTTAGGTATATATAGATACATAGAAATTGGAGGTTTTTGAAAAACTATCTTTGATTCCCAATACCAGCAATATATTTCCAGCAAGAGCTTCCTCCCAGGAAACAAGGCCAGAGCAGAACACGAGGACGGCAGCTCCGGCTCAGGGGGAAGCCTTCCACCTCTCCATGCAGTGGGTGGCAGTGAACGGAAATATCCATTTCCATTAAAGAGCAAATCACTGCCCACTGACAAGAATGACAAGAAGCAAGAAGCACCTCTCCCACAGAATTCCTCCCTCCATTCCCCATATTCTGCCACCCCAGAAACACACTCAGACCTGGGTATTCCCCCTCCTCATCCTTTGGGCTGGCTCCACAGTGCCTTTGTACCTCCTGCCAGGGTCCTTTCCTCCTCCTTTCCACCCAGGGTTGTGCATGTGCTCCTGTCCCCTTCCAGCACTCTAGCCTAAGTGCTCTGAAGTCACTTGTCTCCCTGTGAAGATCCCTTACTCCTCTGATGTTACCTGTGTTAGGGTCATACTTCTTTGTAGCACAGATAGGCAAAGTGACAATGGAAATTAATGCAGGTTCAGACAGGAAAAAAAAAAAAAACAAACTTATTTGGATGCAAATCCCAGAATCACAGACTGGTTTGTGCTGGAGGGTTGGAATGGACCTTAAAGCTCATCCAGTTCCAACCCCTGCCATGGGCAGGGACACCTTCCACTAGAGCAGGTTGCTTCAAGCCCCTGTGTCCAACCTGGCCTTGAACACTGCCAGGGATGGGGCAGCCACAGCTTCTCTGGGCACCCTGTGCCAGCGCCTCAGCACCCTCACAGGGAAGAACTATTTTCTAATACCTAATCTAAATCTCCCCTCTGACAGTTTAAACCCATTCCCCTTTTTCCTGTCCCTACAGGCCCTTGTCAAAATCCCCTCTCCAGATCTCTTGTAGCCCCCTTTAGGCACTGGAGACTGCAGAATCCTTGCTGAAGTCTTTTTCTCTTCCAGAATCAATTCCGGAGTTACATTGCACACAACAAGAAATCAAGTCTTTAAAGGAAAAGTATTTGCATCCTGGTATCCTCCCAGATACTGCAAGCCCTCACTGACTAAGTGAGCTTCATTCTGACTGCCTTTTTAGCAGGCTTTTCTCTCCAGGAGAACTCCATGCTCAGCTCAGCACAGTTGTCTCTGGGTTGGCAGACTGAAGGGTGGCATGCACCCCCAACTCCCCAGAAGGAAGCCAGGCTCAACCTAAGCAGGAGGAAGACATTGCTGGCTTTACTTGGGGATGTTTGGGTTGTTTTGCTATTCCCAGGATGACAAATTAAGATTTTAAACAGGGGAAAGAGGTGAACTATGACCAATAATGCACAGCTTATTACCTTGTCACCATGCACACTTCCAAAATATCCTTGAAATAAATGAGTAACAGTTATTTCTCCTCCTTACATATGATTTGCTCTAATAATAGGAGCAAAAGCATGGCATACCAGCACCAACGAGTGACAAAAAAGAACATGAAAAATCCCATGAAGGAATAAAATGCGATTATGAGATCTCTGCTTAGCTGGGGATCAGTCACACTTTACACTTAATAGCACCCTGGGGAAGATCAGGCTCTCACCAGAGAGATGGCTGCCATCACCCCTGAGCAGCATCTTCACTTCTGTTAGCCACTGGGCAATGATGGTTCAAAACCAAGGCAGCACTGCAATGCCTTCAGCACTGCCTTGCACAGCAGTGATGTAGCTGCAGTCAAGTGGAAGAATAGGTGGTGAGAGCAGCACCACTACGTCCATTAAGCCTCTGCGGAGATGAGGTAGGTTTATCTTACAGAATCATAGAATGATATAGGTTGGAAAAGACCTTTAAGATCACTAATTCCACCCATTAACCCAACACTGCCAAGTCCACCACTATCCATATTCCCAAGTCCCACATCTCCCTGTCTTCTAAATAACTCCAGGGATGGTGACTCCACTGCTTCCCTGGGCAACCTGCTGCAGTGCTTAACAACCCTTTTTACTGCCTATCTGGTTTTCATGCCACGAACAGAAATACTGAGACATCTGTACCCCACACCATCATGTTAGAAGGTGCTGGTACCCCAGGGCAGATATGATGTTCAGAGTCACCAGCAAAGAGGTACAAAACCTATCAACTCTGATTAAAAAAAAACCATTTCACAGCAGCCTCTCTGGCTATCAACTCATGCCACCATGGCACTGAGTGAAGTCTTTTAGATTGTATTTATAGCATGGTCCACACGAAGTGGTATTGCATTACCTGTACTAGCAGTTAGTAAAAAGCAGTAAAATTACTGATAAATGGTGTTGCTGCTTTGTAAAGAACCATTTAAACATAAGGATATCAGTAAGTAAAATGCAGGACATTCTGGAGGAAAAAAAGGTTTTGGCATTAACAAGAAACAGAAATCATGGCTAAGGCTGCCATAGCAACATCGCCCCAGCACTCCGCATGCTGAAACATCCACTCTTCCTGGGAATATTATAGCATTTTTAAACACATTAATTGCTCAAAGAATCTTAACAACAAGGCTTGACAGGACATATGAAGGGTTACCACCAGCTTCGCCTATTTTTGACTTCTGGAGGTGAGGATGCAATTTTCTAATTAACATGATGAGATTTAATTTTGTGTTGGAACATACCTAAACATGACATCATCGCTTGCTTTTGAGAATGTGTCTGTTTTCAAACCTTCTCCTGATAATTAACAAGAACTTTAACTTTTAAGTCCTGGCATGAGTGATGGGAACAAGAAAGTGATGAGCAGAGTGATCTTGGCCAGAGCAACAGGATCAGAGGACAAAATAGACTCTTGAAAAATGTATTCACCTCAAGACATTTTGACTAAAAGCAAGGTACAGAGAGACACATGGCACGTCACAGTGGATTAAAGAGGAAATACATCTATACTATTGAAAATGCAGTAGTTACAAAAGGACGAGAACTATTCAACACTGGGAGCAAAGAAACTATTACTCCACAGTCCCTCGGTAACCCTTTCACAGTCCTATTGCATCCAAACCTCAGACTAGGTTTTTGTCTAGGAATTAACAGCACAAGATGTGCAAAATGTGCAGAACCACATCCCAGCCCTGCCTGTAGAACTTTCTGAAATTTTAAGTACTTCCAACGAGGTCTCCAGGTTTCAACTGTACCTACAGGTTTGTTTCAATAAAGGTGGGCAAAAACTGCGTTACAACACTTCAATGCAGACATCAATGAGAGCCAGCCTTCACACTGGTCACATTTTAGACAAACAAACACTTGAAATCTTTGCAGAGCAGTCTGATAAATGTGACAAAAGGACAGGTTTGGCCAGCCAGTCTCCCTCATGGTGGAAAACTGATGCAGGGAACACTGCACACTGGCTGAATGAATTAAAAAGTCCTACACCTCCGAGACTGCAGTTCTCACCTTTTACACAAGGGCATTAAACAGGGGCAAAAACTGCCTCTGAGTAACATTTCGCTGCAGCGGCAAGTTATTGGTGTAGCTACAAAGTGAAGAAACAGTAAAAATTACTAGAGTATGAGGGTAAAACACCCACTGAAATTTTGCAAGTGCATTCACCAGATTCACTGTTGCGAAAGAGCATGAAATTAAATTAATGTAATTAAAGAGTATCACTATTTAGTAGAGCAAGGAGATAGCACACCCTGCCTTAGGTGGTATCCTATTCAAATATATGGGACACCGTGAAAGTTGGTAAGTGGGTCTCAGCCTTCTGTAAAATGAGACTAACATCGGTCATCTACCCAACATCAGTTCTCTAAGAACAGCTGGAGAGGGACTGAGATATTTGGGTCTTTTAAGTCCAACTGTCTTGGGAGCACCCAGACAGTGCCTCGGCAGCAGGCAGCTCTGCCATTCTTTGAGACATTCTTATTCCCTCTGCAAGCCACATCCTTCTGTCAAGACAAAAACAGCAGTGGCTGGCACAGCAATGCACCAGCTGCAGTAACAAATGAGGTCTGTCATTACCTGGTGGCCAAGAAAAGGTGGCATCCAGAAACAGAAGGAGGTGTTGCCCCTGAGGGAGGCACAGGATGGAAGCTGCTCACCATGGAAGGCTCATGCCTAATCAGTAGCAAGCTAAGTCTAAGGCACCTACCTAGTTCTGAGACCATCCTGTGCTGAGAAAAGGGCAAAAAGAGTAATTGACTTCTAAAAAAGAAGAAAGAAATCATAACTGCTTCTATCATTCATATGTAAAGTCATTTCACTCCATATCTGAGCAGCAGCTATGAGAAGATTAGGAGCAGACTGAGAAGCAATTAGGTTCAGCAGCTCCCTTACTTCCAGAGCACAGGGGATTTGTACACAGCTGAATCAATCAATTAATGTTTTCCCTATGACAACCTAATGGGGTAGTTGTTCCTTAAAACAGATTTTTCCCAAATCAGGATCCTAAGGACTAAGCATTATATTGAACAGATGAGCCAGGAGCAAGAACTAACTTTTTGTTTAAAGGGAACAGCACCAAGAACTGAAACACAAGTACTGGAGCATCCTGACATGCTGGCTTGCCTTGGGATTAGAACTGTAGAAATGCCTGCTAGCCTTTGGGGAAAGGTTTCTGATTGTTCAGCAACCCCTATTCAGAGAGCAGAGAGAAAGCACTCCCAGTACAAACCCAGTAGTTCTGTTTAAATACGTTTTGAGAGCACCGTTATGAAAATGCTAAGAGCTCTGCCTAGACAGACAGAACATGCTGTGCCTTTCCTCTACTTGTAATCCAGTTTACAATCCAGCGCTGAAGCAATGGTGTGCTACGTTTTTGATAAGGACCTCCAAGAAACACTCATCCTTAGGAATTTTCCCAAAACTCTGATTATTCCCTGGAGCTGGTTTTTGAGTTAACAGCACCTCAGCTCACAGGGACACTCAGGGTGGGGAAGGACAGGCAGCACGTACTAACACAGGGTGACAAATTAGGAGACCCAACTTCTGTTGTCAGGGCAGTGCTAGCACAGCTGTGGTATGGACTGGTGCTATACGATTTTGCTCACTGCTTCTGACATGACTCCTTTAGAGCAGACACACTCGGCAGCATTCATCCAGGCTGGGTGAAGGTAACGTAGGCAGCTGATGGAATAATTAGGGTTTCCAGCTCCTGCAGCGCTCTGCAACTAAAATCCTCCTGGGCTAAAACTGCAGCTTTACTTCTATAAGCTTTCCCCCTTTCATCTTGAGGACAGAAGACCTTAGCATACTGTATTAAGTCTTGATGTTCATCCCCAAAAGGCTCACCCCACTGGCGAAGGAAAGATGCCCATATAAAAGGAATGAAAACTGAAAAGATATCTGAAACAGTCACACCATCTGCTCTGATTCATGAGCTTGTACAGCACCCTCATCGCTCCTGCATGCCAGTCATTTTATCTCATCAACTCACAAGCTTCTCGGCACAGGAAATCAGGCCAGTGACAAACACCGTGGGTTAAAAGCAAGCCTGTTTTAAGTGACATTTAATGAAGAATCAAGCCAAAAACTCACAGTCTATTTGCTTTTCAAGTGACCAAATTTAACTTATCCCCAAATCCCTCTCCCTTTTACTCTTCTTCACATAGTGATTTTGATGTCAAATTCCAGCTGAGAAACAAACCCTCCCAACAGAGAAGTATGAGAAGTAAACAGACACTACTTTGATCAGAGCACCAATAAGACATCTACAATTAGTGACTAATGGGTGAACACAAAAACTGAAATACAGCATACAAATAAATGTACTAAGAGTAAATTGTTTCTGCAAAGCACGTGTTTAAACCCAGTCAGCTTCATATGGAGCTGTTTAGCTGTTACTAAAGTAAACACACACACACATGCACACACACACAGAGTCCACTCTAAAAATAAAGAACAGTTCTTGGTTGCTGCCTGCTTGCAGTAGGCAAGTATTCCAATCATTCCATTCAATCCAATCATTCACTTACCTTGCTGGTTCAAAATAAAATACAAGGCTAAAATGTAAAGGAAATGTATAGAATTAATAGAAAACTACAGAATACAATAGCTTGTTCTCATAGAAAAAACAAGTCCTGCAGGATTCCTAATCTTATTAAAGGTTCACCAGAGAGTGAACTTTCCCCATGGAGATTATAAACATATTGTTGGTGTCCCATCTCAGGTAAGAGGGAAAACAATGTTAAAGGCACCGAGAGTATCCTGTTCCACAGCAGCAGTAGGATGAGAAATCACGTAAAGTTGAAGGCATATTTTGAACGGCGAAGAAAAAAAATGCAAAGAGCTACTAAAAATCCAAAAAGCAAAAAACAGCAGAAGCCAATGAATGTAAAAGCCAAAAATGCAGAAATCCTGTCGGCTTCCAGGGGTATCCCTCAGCAGAAATTCATTAGTTCAGCACCACAGTGCATCTTTTCCCTTTCTCAGGCAGTACCAAGTACAGTTAAAACTTCATCCTTCTCTTCAGTTGTGACTCAACAGAAAATATTGTACTTCAGAGGCAGAGAGAAAGCTGTGCAGCTATTGCTACTTTACTCCTCCTCGTCAGCTGCTTGCTGCCTAGCTCCTCACACACGCAGCCTCCCCGCTTCACTCCTCGCCTCGGAATGATTCTCCACTTTATTATCCATTCAGAAGGAAACACGAACTGATGGAGCCAATCTGACTAAAGACAAAACGCACTCCTCTGGCATTACGGGAGCAGGCAGTACAGCGCAGCGAGCCGATCTGTGCTGGAAAAGCACTCTGCCCTATTCCTGGCATCCTGCAGGATTGCCGAGCAGGCAGGCTAGGGGTAAAAGCCCAGGACTCAACACAATCAACCAGCTCCAAGGAGATTCTTCACCCAACTCTGACATAGATGTTTATTTTTGTAGCTCCTGTTCACCCCCAGACTAACCTGCAAGATTCAGCGACGCCCTCGCTGAAGCAAATCGCATCCAGTTTCCAAGGAACACTGGTACGAGTTCTGCTACAAGTGTGGGGGATTGAACACCCATTGATCTCACGTTTCCCCAAAACAGAAGTCACATCGTTACATAAAAGAATGACTGCAGGACTGTTGTGCACAGAATCACATCCACTCGCATTCTACCAATATTCCACTCCCAGGAGTGAGGAGCGGCAGGCATCCATCCTGCAAGAAGTGCCTGAATCAAAGGCACCATTTATTTGCCCCACAAATGTGGTGGGGTGGCATTCTGAAGAGGCCTATATGACTTAGCTGTGGAAATGCCACTATCCTCCCATCTGCTCAAATACCTCCTACCTCTTTGTGAGCCAGCTTTGCTGTGAATGATACTTCCCCTCCAATCTCTTACCTACAACCAATATCATCTTTTATTTACCACTTCCCCCACAAGCATCACTATCCTTCCAGCCCTGTCCTCGCTGCATGGGATATTCTCCCAGCACCTTCTGCTTTCTGGTCCCACAGCTCCATCCCAGCACCTCACCAAAGCTTCAGCTGGCAGCAGCCAGGCTGTGTCCCCATCAGCTCGTTTCTCTGATGGATGTAAGCACAAGCTTTTCATACAGGTAGACTGATGCTACAGTTCACAATACTTTGTCTCAGCACCACTTACCCCTGCTCTCTCCATGCGTAGCCACAGCGCTGTCCCTTGTAGCCCAGCACAGAAATCACACCACCAGCCTCCTTTCAGACCCTCCCCAAGGTTAGCGCTCCTCTGTGGTCACTCATATCCTTCAATCCCCCAGGAAGCCCTCCCTCTTTTTGCACTGTCTCTCGCTGCAGCAGACTGGACCATAGGTCAGATCTTCAGAAGTGCTTTAGCTTTAAATGATTTTAAGGAGCCTGACCCCAAGTTTCTCATTATATGGTTGCACCCCACCAGGAGAACAGAGCTCCAACCCAACTAAAGGCACTAGCTTCCACTGCAATAGAATTGATGGCTACTGAACACACCAACTATAGCACTTGGGCTCAGAGCCGAAGCTCCGTATCAAATTCATCCACATGAGGATGAAGACTGCCCAACTGAGAAAATAAAAATGCAATCCCAGATTTGCGCAGCACTTAGTTTCTTCATAAGCTCTGCATGTGAATAAGGCAAAAAAGATCTTGCCAGGGGTCTTTTTCACAGCATTAGTTAAAAAGAAAAAATTAAGCATCTGTCAGACAGCACTTTCTTATTCACATTAGTGCTCTAGAGCACCTGAAATACCCATTAAACAGCCTCTCAAGCTTTTATACGTGTTACTTTTGCAAAAGTTCGAACTACATCTTGCAATTGCTGCTTTCCCTCTTTCCTCCTTCAGCTTTGCCTGTCCTTACAGCTGTTAACACCACACATTAGCACATGCAAGTCAAAGATGCACTGGGGCAAAACCCAGAATCCTCCAGCTGCAGCTCCTGAGCCCCAAAAAGGCTGTGCAGATTTCCAAGCACCGCTACATAGAATGCCAGTACTCCCATGCTGCCTCAAAACAACAGGAATTGAACAAAACATGTTAAAAATGAGCAAGTCTCCCAGACAGACAGGCAATGAGGTGCTGGAAGGTGTCACAGCCCTTGCCATGGTTCACAAGGAGGTGGAAAGGAAAATGTGGATACAAAAATATGGGTGCCCTCAGAAGCAAGGGAGATTGCACATTTCAAGCATTCAGAAAACCTCACCTAAACACAGGAGATTGAGACAAGCTCTATTTTTCATGGATGTTTTGTTTATGGAAATAATTTAGATTAGAATCGGGAAAAATAGACACGACATGCATCTGAAATAAACCTATTAGAAAGAGTGTGCTTTACCTTAAGGCTCAAAGCACTGAGTTACTTGCCTTCTACTAGAGAAATACCCACTTAAAAATTTAAATACTTATTGAAATCTTTTAATTCACCAACAGATTTTAATTTTAGGTTGAGCCAGCAGGGAATTATTAAAACTGATAAAGCCCAGCTCAGCTATATAGGCCAAATGCTTTGATGTCTGCGAGGTATACATTACCCTTTCTTCTTTTTTAATCCTCATTATCTGTTTCATTCCAACTTCCTGTAAAGTACTCAATTACTGATAAAATTGTAGAAAGCAAGCAATTCCTTCACGAGCACGAGTGGATTAACCGAAGGAAAATGAGCATGCTTTGAGCGCAGGTCCTGCTCCTCTCTCTCCCACACTCACACTGCTTCTCCTGCAGGAAGAGGAGCAGGAACACTTTCAGCATCCTGGCTCCCAGGGAAGTAAAAAATTGGGTGGCTAAGTAAACTAGAGAGTAAGAATGTTATATAGAGAGATGAAACAAAGAGACGAGAGGAAAAAATGTGAAGAGACAAGAAAGAAGAGACAATGGAGAGAGCTTCTCTGGAACAGCAGCTGCGTCCAACTCTCACCCAGGTTTAGTTCATCTCACAAATGGCAACCCAAGAGCTCTCTAAAACAAATCCATTTGTTTCACTGGAACAAAAATAAGAATCATCTGTCCCAAATGAAACTGCCCACTCTACCTCCCTCCCTACAGACTTCTCAGTAAGGTATTTTTGAGTTCAGTGCTGCATTAGACCTCGGAAGTTCAAATACACAGCATAAAGCTTGTCAACTGACTCAGCAGTGAAAACATGCTATTTATTATCTTCTTCAAAGCCTCAAGAAGATCCAGTCAATCAGCAGTCTAAAGATGAAGTGTTAATGAAAAAGCAGTGACCTCCTGCTGTTTGACAGCTGTCTCCAATAAATACCACACTTTGAGGAACTGTGCATCACCACAACCTAAGCAGTGCTGCTGAGACAGAAGCCTGGAAGAGAAGAGACTGTATATTCCAAGACATTTAAAACTAGCCTGTCAATGCCATTTCTGTTGTTACAATAGCTCCAGAATACACTTACGAAACATATGCTTAAGATGTCACTTTCAGATGAAAGAACATATTTCTTTAAGAACATGTCATTCAAAGCACTGATTCTCTCTTTTCCATTTAGGAAAGGGTAAGGCAAAGTGCAAGAGCAACCTATATGCTCAGAGAGGAACAAAGGAACAGGTAGCTCCTACAGCACCCTGCAAGCACCTTGGAAACTGGCCAGACATTAGCCTTGAAACACTTGAAGAAAAGGAAGGCAATCATCTCCCCCCCAAGCCTCAAAAGTTCTCCCTCCTTACAAAACAGTTTTTTTTGGTAAAAGTTTAATTATTTGGTTTACAGAAAGATAACAAGAATAGCACTGGCATGTTGAAAAACCTGCTAAAGGTCACAGATATTTGGACTGCTTACCTTCCAAAGACAGTCAAGGTAAGTTCATTTGTTGTGACTAGGTGAGACCAAACCACTGGCTGACTGGTCTTCATAGGAAAGATGTTTACGCTCCACTGGACCCCAAGACATGAACATTCCTGAATTAATAGAAGGAAAGCCTTTCACATGAGAATAACAGGTATTTCCAAGGCCAAGGATGTAGTAAGACTTAAGGAGTCGGATTTTCATGAGGTTATGAGTTAGCACAGCACTGATGATTTTGTAGAGACACAAACCTTTTACACCTCACAGTTCAGGCTTATCTTTATCAGGCAGGGATTGGTCAGAGACCTTAAGGAATTGCCTGCAGTGAGACCTCTCATATCGTTCCCTCGGCAGCTGTTGCTGCTGCCACTCCAGTCAAAAATTCCACCATGGGCTAGAACAGATCTAGCCTGAAATGGGAGATCTTAAGGTGCAAAACCCTTATAGGGAGCGCTGGTCATAAAATTAGGAAAGCTCATATTAAAATCGTCCTCTATTCTATTTGTTTACAGTCATCAGTGTCACTCACAACAAAACCTTTCCTGAGTGACGTGAGACGGCTGTTCAAATGCACAAGCTAAACCTGCTTGCCCCTTTCTTGTCTCCATGTATGGGTTCACACCCTGAACTTTTGGGATACAAAATCAAATACTATCGGCTCTGTCACCCAGCATTTCATAGAAAAGGGTATTTTGTTCCTCATCTGGTAAATGCCAGACACTTCAGGGCACAAACAAGCCTTACCTCCCAGGAACCACGCTCCCTTTAGAAGCTGCTGCCGAGACAATGACAAACCAGCTCATCACAGCCCACACCAGCCTTCACACTCAAGACTGAGACACCAAAAGCAGAGCTCTCTCAGGTGATGGGCTCCGGAGCAGCATATTGTCTCCCTGTGCCCCAGCAATTACAGACCAAAACCTTCCTTAAACATGCTCCTAAAAACAACTGAATCATAGGAGCATAAAATCATAGAATGAATGCCCCTAGAGCTGTTGCCCTGTGTTCTGGCTGCCCATCCGAAAGCACGGAAGCCCTTCTCTAACTGAAGCACCCATTCACCACTTTTTAATCCAGATGTACAGGTAGATGAACTCATAGCAAATCTGAGCTCCTGCCCTGCAACTCAGTTGACTCGAAAATTTTACTATGTGAGTGCCCACATTTCAGAAACAGCTGTGAATCTGGCTTTTAAGGCTAGAGTCAGCTTGAATACCTTAGGTCAACAGGCAGTGAGAAAGCATCTACAGCAGAGAAAACTCTCCCTCTGCTGCTTCCTCCTTCAAATTACATCTCTCTCCCTCCTAATGGTATCCAGAACATAAGGACTTGGTATTTCATGCAATTAGAAAATTACAATCAATGTCTTAATTGCACAT